AGGCTCCCTTTAATGCCCTTCTCATCTCTATCCATTACTTTATTCCAATGCCCTCTCGATCCACTTCAACTCCCTTTGCACTTAATTTGTCTTTCTATTTGGTAATATATTTGATTTGTAATTTATTATTATTTGTATATAAATACAGCCAGGCTTACGCTATGCATCACCAACTACGTTTATATGATTTCTTAAGAAAAAGTAACTCCAAGAATACAGATCCATCTGTCGTTTAAAATTTAAGAGCTGAAGAAACTGGTCAATCATTATTTCGTGAAATGAATGAAAGGAGAATGAGATCTCTGCAAAAATAAAAATTGATTTTCGCTATGAATTATTTTAAATATTTGAAAATAATAAACAAGTGTTACAATTTTGTAATACAACTCGCAAATCGAGGTAGTGACTATGTGTTATAAATAATAGAGTAAGTTCATAAAATCAGCGCTAATTACATCGATAAATTTCATCAACCGATTGAATCCGACAGCGATAGCTATTTATGACAAGTATAGGAACGACCTAATGAATTTCAGCGGAAGGTTAACATTTCTGGAAGGTTTACAAAAGAGAGAAAAAATAAATTTAAAAAATCAAGAAAATCCCTACATACTATATTGTTGGATTTCAAAACAGATAGAAAGTAAACTATTTTTTTTTCTTCCTCGCCTTTCAGGCTATATGGGATTTTTATCGGCCCAGAGGAGAGGGTGGAGTAATTATATCAGAGTTAAAAGTATGCATCAACTCAGACCTACCGACATAGGACTGATGATCGTACTCCATGTATTTTAATCGGGAATCGCGGTGTGGTTTCTCAGGAAGTAATTAGTCCCAGAAAGTTGGTACATGGACCGTCTGTTAAGGGAAAGAAATATAGGTCCTACTATACCAGCTGTTTCTGAGCATTCATCATTCATGGATGAAGACCAAATAGTCACTGTTCTGCTATGGGTGACCTACTAATTAGTTAATCCGGGAGACCATGCTTCGTAGCAACATGGTGAGGTTGTGTGATGCTTCCAGAATATCTGTACTTCCGAGAGCAATTTACGTCTATAAGAGGACCATACTGCAAGGCTAAAGATCAACATAAATATTTGACCAAATATTTACGGACATATAAAGACAATGGACCCTAATCGTCTTACCAGACAAATTTTATGAGAACAAAAGTAAAGCAGAAATTGACACTATAAAATGGCTTAGTGAAATAAAAATGAACATCAACTCAAATGGCAAACTGATCCGCAAGAAGTGCCAAACACTAGAACCTAGTAGACCTGAGAGAGAAAGGAAGCACACAGCAAAAGGATGAAAGAAATGTGGGCAAGAAGGAAGACAAGGCCTCGAACTTAAAATAATTCTCTTTACCTCAATCATTCTTGTTTTTGCCGGATGAATTGACTGGCTAGGAACCCAGTATCTTAAAATAAAGAAAATGATAAGCATAAACGCAGACTTCGAGAAGGGGGAAGCGATGGGGCCATCATTTCTCCCTCTCCCCCAATAAAAATGTTGACGGGGCGAGAATATCGTTGGCCTTCCTCCCCCAATAATCTTAAAAAAATAATTAAATTGATAACAAATAAGCTACAATACATTAATGAATAAAATATGTAAACTAAAATCGATTAAAAAAATTAAAAAAAAGGCTAAAGCCTATAAGCAGGTACGTTAACTATTTTATCACGGCCTAAATACCTCTATTATTTAAATTTTCATTCATATTCATGGATAACAATTCTCCTCTCATGTAGACACCTCCATTTTCACGTGATTTTCTTACATTTTTTTTGTGATAAAGTTGGAAAAAAATTATAAATTATAAAAGTACAAGTATAAATATATTTTATAGAGAATGTTTTTATAAAAACATTTACGTAAATATTCAGACTGTGAAAACATTTTATTTTTATTTGGAGCTTGTACAAACTAAGAAATCCAAAATATTTTTTAGTTTTTAACATTATTCATTTTTAGTTGAAAAAGTTCTAGAAATTTACCTACGGTTTGTAGATTGTTTCTCTTCCTCCCATTTTTAATGTATATAAATACTAATATGTCCAACTGTTTTGATCAGATATTTTCAAGTAAATCATATGCACATAAAAAAAAATTTACAACTGTCCAAACATTTGATATTTAATATTTGAATCTTTATATTCATTTTTAAATATTCAATAGGTATTTTATTCGTTCGTTTCTCAATAATTATGCTGAACGTTTACAAATAATATAAACTGCCGCTATTTTTATTTATTTTTTTTAATAAATAAAAAAATCGCCCTCTTCACGATATTGTTTTCTTTGCCACTATTTCCAAATATTCAGGCGAACATAGATTTACAAGCCATATAACGCCAACAGCAAAAAAAAAGAGATTATCTAAATCTAGCGCCATTCTGGCTAGAATGGGTTGGTAATCTGTATGATAGTCCATCCGAACAGCATTAGTTCAAGTACTTAAGAACATTGAACACCCATAACAGCGTGCACTGTAACTTTTTATTTATTTTTTTTTACGATATTAAAATAAGTGTAACATCTGTTAAATAAAAATGTTTAATTGCGAATTGAAATACTAATGATAAATATGACACGATAAAGAGCTTTCACGGTCAATTATAAATCATACAAAGAGGTATTAAGTATCTTGTTATATACAAGAGAGTATTGGAAAAATAACTAACCCTAAAAAAATAAAAAGTGTGGACAATACTACGGAACATTGATGATAACCTAAAACCGAAAAAATCTAAATGGCAACTTCGAAGAACAAAACTCAGGATGGCAGGAGAAGGAACAAACATTCTCTGTTCGCCAGCACATTCGAAACCGACATGCCTTGGAAGCCACGCGATGCTGTAAGACGTCGTGGTAGAGCGCCCAGACATAGGGAGGAAATAGGAAAACAGTTGGGCAAGATAAGGCAATTGAGGAGTTTCACCAGCTGGAGAGAGATGAAGAAGGCGTTGGACAACTCACTCAGCTGCAATACGGAGGGTATAGACGTCACGGACAACGAAGAAGATGAAGCCTCCAGTTCGACGGACGACAGGTCTTCGACGGTACGTCTGGAACCGGCCCGTCTCAGCCTACCTCCGGAGTTCCAGACAAGAAGACCCATGGAAAGATCTCCTCTCACCCTCCTCTTCCTCAAGGAGGAGGAAGTCCCAGAAGTCCACCAGGAATGCCTTAAGAAACAGCCAGAGACCACTTGTACATATACTAAGTTCTTAAAGAGAGTTATTACCATAGTAATACTTCTACTAGTTTTCACTTATATAATAAAGCCCTTTATGGGAAAAATAAATCACAAATATTCATAAAAAAAAGAATGGAATTTATTCAATGACAATACGAATTGGTCAAAAAACAAACTAAGTTATTTTACATTTATTTATAAAGAGAACATTTTCAATTATTTTTTATTTCAGCGATAAATTATTTAAATTGTTGTCCATCTATTTGACCACGGAACTAGCGTCTATGAATTGAGTGTATAATAGTTTAATAGCAGGTATGAGTTGCGGTTTAGCGCTGATGTATGGACTCTTAACTCTTGAAAAACATATCGATATATTGTGTCGATGGTTTCCAAATATAGTGAAATAGTATTCTGATATACCAAAAAAATTTTACACATAATCATATTAAGTGCTTCGATGTTTTTAATATTTGAACGAAAGCAAAGAGGGTTAATATTAAAGTTAAGTTATAATTAAAAATTACGTTTGTATCTCTAAAACACAGATAAATCACGTCAAGTCATAGAAAAAAAATCAATATTACATCCAAACACATAGAGTATATGTGATCTTGTTTTGTTTTTTTTTAAGATAAAATTATTAATATTTATTATTAGAAAAACTTACAACTAAGAAAAATAAATTAAAGTGCTCAACATAAAAAAATGTAAAAGCTATGTATTAAATAATAATATAAATAATAGACAAAAGGTCTAAATGCTTTAATAACATTAATCAAAGTACAAAAATTTAACGCTTGAAAATAAGCCTCCTTCGATGTTCCATTGATCATCAAATTAAGGAGGAGCAACAAATCTGTAAAATAATTAGTTAATTATTAACAAGTTAGTTAATAATTATTGGTTCAAAGATATTTTCAAACAGAAAGTCAAGGCTCTAAATTATTTTGAGGAAAAAGAGTCGAGTAAAACAAAATTTGAAGAAAAAACCCAGTAAAAATCAGACAGTAACCATTATAACATAAACAACCAAGAGGATCACTATAGGTCACAAAATAATAAGTAACGTAAGGTATATCATTCCAAAACTAGTTAAATGCATTGATGAAAATTATATAACGTGAATAATCAAATAGTTTTTTTTTTAATTTGTATGCATTATAATTTTATTTTGTTAAAAATGGATTAACTAGGTTTTAAAAAAGAAAATAAGACTGTCCACATAATATGTACCAATCAAAGAAATGTTAAGGGTCTCTTAGACATTTCACAAACTACGCACAATACAATTATCTACCTTAACTAACACTGACATTATTGCTAAACCAAACTATTTATTTTATTTCTCTTGATATCGACAGCAGATGGAAAATATCTAAAACAAGAAATAAAAATGCTAGCATAGTGAAACAACCATTTATATATTTGTTTGTTCCATAATTTGAGAAATTTCCAAATGCACCTTTAGAGCTGCTGAAACAGAAAATAAAGTTTTAGGAGTGGTGCCTATCAGTAAAGTAAGTAATTAAATAAATAGGGGGGATCCAATAATGGACCAGTAAATAATGTCTTAATTAATATTTATAAATTGACTGAAAAGTATAATGCAGAAAAATATTTTTCAGATGCAAGATGGATTTTAATATATAAATTCAAATATGTTATTATACAATAAAAATATTTAGCTGTATATATAGCACAATATTATTTTTTTTATAACAGAACTAATTATACTGATATTAATAAAAAATCAATTATTAATGCACCAGTGATGATCAACATTGATTATCAGAAAGGTTGCCATGACAACTACTAATAACCATGATATGTAGTTTTTATTGTTGAGTGACAGAGAACTATTAGAAAATGCATGTTACCTTCGTCGGTCAGAATGGACAGAATATTACTAGGCTCATGTTCAGCGACTGCCAGTGGCACCAGCTTTACGATCAAGTTACACAGAAACAAGGTGAGAAAGAAGAGAATGAGAAAAAAAATTTGGATTTGTTGAAGAGGAAACAACTATCGATGGATATGGCAAAAACTTGGGACAACACTTACGTTGTGAGCTATGAAATTAACATTCAATTAGTTACATGAAAATAAAAATAACATTTTAATCTGAACTAAGAAGTTATATTATTACTGTATTTTTCATATTGTTTAAAGGCAAAATATAACATTTTCAATTATTAATAGTATACCAGTGTCACTCCACTTTGATAGGTGGCACAAGATCTCAAGATTACACCATAAATAGAATCCTGAGAATAGCCAAGTGTGGCGAAAAGTGGCGTAACTGTTTCGTAAGGACCCGACCCCAACTGAAAAATAACCGATTTTGGCTTTGCTTATCCCTTTTAAGCAAGCATAGTGGTAAGAAGTGGGAAGTAGCAATGTAATTAAAGCTAATTAACACTCCGATTTTAAATGAAAAGAAATGAAGACAGTTTGGAGTTTATTGAATTGATAAATTAATATCTAAATAAAGGGAAGTTATACTTTGATCGAGTAGTCAATTCTCAGCAATCCTTGGAATCCCATTTATAGCCTGATCATAAGATCTTGACCCCTTTGTCAAGCTGGAGTGATACTTGTACAGTTACACCGGAAATAGATACACTGCAGTCATTGAGAGATCCAAAGAGGGCGTATGCCCTTCCTAAACACTGAAAATATTTTAATTTTTATCATAATCATGTATGATATTTTCATATTTTTAATAGGCAGCATAAACAAATCTTTAAAGCTTTTAACTAATGATAAGTTTTATTTTCAAGCACTATTTATCAAAAATTCATAAAACTGACATTTAACATTATAATTTACTATTTCCTTTCAGAACATAAGAAAAATACGGTACGAAAAACGTAAGGAAAGGTTGAAAAGAGAGAAAGAATATAAAGATAAAGTATTTCGGCAACTACAAGAAGAAAATGAAATACTCAAAAATAAGATTCGGGATAAAGCCAAAGATGTAGCATTCTATGATCAAGATTGCGCAAAAACATTTCATTCAGCTTTTAGAGCTTCCGAGGTAATGTTCAGTTTTAATTTTTATTTAAATTTAATGAATCATTTAAATTAAATTACATTTATTTTTCCTTAATTTTATCTAAAAAAAATAAATATTAGTTTGTTTAAACAGCTTATTCACTTAATTTGTTAGTTAAGTCAGAATCTGTAGTTTCTAGAACATTTCAATGTCGATAATAATGCTGTTTCAGCTTCTTTTCTTTTTAATTTTGTTAAAAATTATTAATAGGAGACAAAAAAAATTATAATAGACTGTAAAATCCATAAATATTTTAAGGTTCAAGCAGAAAGGCAAGCTCAATTGGAATTTAATGAAAAAATAAAGAAGATCGAGAAGGAAATAGAGACAAAATATGCACAGAGTATCTTAGACGATGCGAAACGATATAAGGAAGAACAAGATGAGAAGAAAAGGCAGCTATTAGAATATAAAAAGAAATTGGGGATTCAAGCAAGGATATCGTAAGAAATTAATCATTAGAAAATATTTTTAAAATGATTTGATTGAACTATTTAATCTTTTTTTTACTACAGAAAAAAAAAGAGAGAATTCTACCACTACAACTTATGAAGAGTCTAGGTTTCAGTACTCTGTAAGGAAGTACTGTACTATACTATTTTTTGGTCTATGGTTGTGCAATGATATGAATTGTCCAAGATCATGCTCAACTACCAAGTTTTCTCCTATAATTAATTTATTAATTAAGATTACCCGCTTCATAGAGGTTGGATATGCCCCAGAAGGGTCTCCTGACAGAAAGGTATCCTTACATTCCCGGCTGATGTAACAGAATAAATAATTACCTGCCATTAGCCGGATTCTAACCAGAGAATCCGAGAATTTGGAAGTCACTAAGGCTACCCAGTAAGTAAGATTACCCACCGAGCTACCCCACTCCCTTTTTTTTCTACAAACACTTTATAATTTATACTCAAGAAGGAGATTTATTGCGAAAATAACTTATAGTAAATAATCTTATAATTATAATAATCTTTATATATTAGTTGTTCAAGGTTTTTTTTTTTATAGTATGATAGAGTATATGGACTTTTTACTATGCTGGTACTTTATTTTATTAATTTGATATCATCATCACCCAGAGGAATAAGTCAGGAAGCTTTAAAGTGGTCTCTTCACCTGACTTAGGGGCAGTTGGCTGATATCCAGCTCTTCTTAAATTTAACTTATTGCAAAAAATGGAAATAATTTGGTCCAAGATCGGGACAAATGGTCCAGACTCTTTCTATTTTTTTTTTTATATTATAGAATTATGCACTATTGCGGTATCGCTCGATGTAAATGTCATTTAGAAAATTTGTCCATAGCTATCGATCCATAGCTTGCTCTTCTCTGATCCCATCCCCCGCCAGCCTTTCCTTTTCGTCTTTCCATTTTACCTTCGATCTTCCTTTTTTTTTTCTTCCATCTACCTCCAATTCTATACTTATTTTTTGTAAACTTTTTTTGCAGACATACTTTCAACGTGTCCTAACCATCTTAATTGGTTCTCCTCAACATCTGCTCGAATGATCTTTGTCACCTCTGTCAGTTTCAGAATTTTGTCATTTTTAATTCTTTCCCTTCTGGATTTTCTAACTGCTCTTATCCAAAATTCTATTTTCACAGCTCGCAATCTTTTTCGGTATTTGGTATTAATGACCCAAGTTTCCCAGATATATGTCATTATAATAGCTGCGTAAGATTTGTTATTGGTGCCCCGAGGTACTCCCATGTCTCTCCACTACACTGAGTTAAGGTGGCTCTTCCCCTCCTTCCGAAGACAATATTTTCTAGGTACGTTCCTCTACCAAATCATCAACAACCATCGTCCTTCTTACGCCTACAACCTTCTCCAGTTCAAATCCTCAGTCCATTCCCTGTCCACAAGATCTCGACCTTCTGACCTTTACATGCCTTCTCACAGATCTGCCTCATTCCAAAATTCCTTTATTGTTCGCTCTGTCAATTTCTGGAATTCCCTCCCTATCAAAATTCGACATTCCCCCTCCATATCCACATTCAAATCCCTCCTATTCAAATTCCTATCACAAAAACAGTCAGATACTTGCTAACCATTCGAGCGGATTTTAATAGAGAATTTGATACATTTTTATTTTTTAATTCTTTATTTTTTTCGGAAAAGTGTATACTGGTCTATAAGAGCAAATAGCTTTAAGTATTTTGTCATAGTATTAATGGTTTTGTATATAGTTTAGTTTGTTTTGTATATAGAATTTTTACCTTATATTTTTTTTACATTATTTCTTTTTTTCGATTGATTTTATTTTGGCCAGATGTAATATTTTAATTTTGTTCTATTTTGTTATTCTCAAGGGACTGTGTCCCAGAATAAAGTTATTTTTCTATCTATAAAGTCGAATATAGATTTGTATATTAGCTTTCTTGTACTAGGCTGTATATTCGAGCTCCTAAGGACATCGTTGAGCACTTTTCTTCCTTCTCCAACCCTCCGTTCTATATTACTGGTGAGAGTTCCTTCACTATTGGATGACCGCAAGTATTTTAACAAAACGACTGTTTTCAATTGTTGTGTTACCTGTAGAAGTGCCAAACTGCTCTCATTTCAATCTCACTTTTCATATGATTCTATCACTTTTCTAAACCTGTAGTTTATGCCCTCTCTATCTTGGGCTAGAATTACTTAATCATCAGCAAACATAAAATTTGTGTTGCGAATATCTTACATAATTTTTATTCTCGATTTCCCACATGTTCTTCTTCACTCTCTGAGAATGACTTCCACGTATATTTTGAAAAGGGTTTGTGAGAAGTAGCATCCCTGCAGAATTTCTTTTGAATTTTGGAATAGAGTTAGGAAAGACTTGACCCTATTCCGATAACACAACTGCTGTTTTAGAGTAAACTTGTATTTAGTTTTGTTATTATTATTTACAATAACAATATTAAATATTTCCATTTTCTATATAAAATCATTTAATTAGCCCTCAATGATAAATTAATGCAGTCTGAGATAAAGCATGCAATATATTGACTAAATTAATATTAAGACAAACTTTTGTCGTTCATCATGCTCATAAATTGAGGAACACTGATTTCAATAATGAACTATTATCAGATAAATATTATATTATTTATTTTGTGAGTAAATAATGTTAAGGTTTTAAAAACTTGATTAATTAGTAAAATCTATTTTTAATTTTACTCAGGTATGCAGAAGCTGAAAAAGCAAAAAGGGCAGAAAAAATCCAAAGGGACAACGAAGACAAAGAAGATATGGAAATCATGAAGAGACAGCTAGAACAAGTAATTGAAAATGAAAATTTTCAGGTATGAATATTAATTAAATAAAATTTTCAGCTTTAATACAATTAGTATCATTATGTAATGATACTCCCAATATCTTAAAGGTGATTCAACACAAACTAATGGTTAGGATGAGTCTAATTGAAAATAGGGAACTTGTAAAAAAGAATAAACACCTTGCCAAGCTTGAAGATGAAGAGGAGAGCAAAGCCATACAAATAATAGCAAATGGAAAAATGAGGATAAGTAAAATAAGAAAAGAAAAAGAAGAGCAGGTAATAATTATTATTTATTTTATAAAATACATTGTTCTACATTTCTTCTTGTACCTTTTTAAAGTATACAGTTGCTGAATGAGAGTATAATGGTTTTTTTTTTTATGTTACCCAACTGTCCAATAGACACAACAACAATAATTTGTAAAAGCCTTAAAGTTTTGACATTATATTTAACTTTAAATCTTTAAAAATATCTCACTTATATTGTTCATATCAAAACGGGACCTGCTAGGTTATTCCAGTGAAAAGATGTTTTAACAATTACTTGATTTAAGCACAAAAAGAAAACTCTCATCAATGATACAAAAACAAAATTGGTCTGTTATTTAAAGTTCCTAATATATCTGTTTCATTTTTTTTTTTCCTATCAACTATTTTTTTTTCAATTCTATTTAGATACTTTAACACTATTTTATTTACCAAATATATTAACAATAGAACATTAACTGTTATTATTCATGTATTAGAAACCAACATTAATGTAGTAATCTAATAATTAATAGACTTTAGCAGTTTAGATAAAGGTAATTCACAAAAAGTAATGAGTTTCTTAATAAAATACCACAATTTTCATTTAGATGTTGAAAGAAAAAATAAACAGATATAATGCTTTATCAAGCAATATTGAACAAGAAAAACAAGGAAAATTAGAAAAAGAAGAACAATCCTACAAACTTGCAGTTCAAGAACAGGAAAAACGGTCAGTACAGATATTAATGAATAATAATATAATTCTGTAGTTAGTTTGTTCATCAGGACTAATGGTCACTTGTAATAAATAAATAACAGAAACAACATAACGGCCTAATAACATGGCCTTATCAGTTAATATAAATAATTTCTTTCTGTAATTATAAAAGTATAAAATGTACTACGAGCCAGATCTGGTGTGCTTCGTAAGAAGGAGTCAGTTGAGGTGGCTAGGGCACATTGGGAGAATGGCAGTGGACAGAATCCCAAAAAAGTTATTAGGAGGAAAGCCTAGAGGTCGCAGAAGCAGAAGACGGTTAGATGACCTAAAACAGGTCCTCCGTAGCTTAGGAATAAGACAATGGTGAATAAAGGCACTGAATAGAGAGCAGTGGCGAAAAATAGTGGAGGAGGCCCAGGCTCTAGTAGAACCGTAGCGCCATGGGTTATGTAGGTAGGCATGTAATTATAAACAAATTTTTTTTTTTCTCTGCCGGCTGTATAGAAAATTTAAATATTTGGACATTTGAATTGGCCTTCTCATCTTCTGCATATCTTGTAAGATACATTTAGTATCTTGCCTACTATTGAGCTATTTATCGTTGTTAAAAGACTGCATAATGAATTGCTTCCAGCTGAAGTCTCTACCCATCCTATCTTTCTTGCCTTCATATTATGAGATATTGACCGACCGAACAGTTTTTGTAAATAGTATTTTATTGATTCTTCTTATCCATGTTTTTTTTTTAATCTGGTCCTAGATCACTCAAGTGATAATTTTTGAGAATTTTCCCCTCAAATGTTTCAATTACTTTTTCTAGGTTTCCGGAAAAAATTATGTCAATAATTAGCTTTATTGCAGAATTTTACAACATAGTTGAATTTATTTAAGTTTTAATACTCTTGAATGTGATAAGAAAGCTGTTCCTGAGGTCTTTTAGTGTCCTGTAGAGTTTTGTTTCCAGCTCTTTTTTGGTTCAGCTCAACTCTGTCTTCTAGATTTTACAAGAAGGATGCAACTTTGACAGACTGGCTCAGGTATATCTTTTCCCCACCTTGCCACATTTAAACATGAAATTGCTTCTTACTATATATATATATTTTATTTTTTTTCATTTATATATTGTCTATTGTGATTAATTTGGAGTCTTAATATCGTAATTTGTTATTTTATGTTCAGTTCATAGTAGTGATATTGAGGATTGTTAACAAGATGTTTGGTACTCCATCTTTCTCTTTGTGGTTATTATAATCTTAAACTTGTCTAGAGGTAGGAGGAACCCAGCTTTAGACAGTTTGTTCTCTTTATGATTACCTCTAATATCACAGTGTGTGTGCGCAATAATTTATTGCAAAATCTATTTCTTGCAGACATAAATACAGTTTTCCAAGTTTGGCCTATTGGCCTTATATATAAATGTTTTATTTTTATAAAAGATGCATTATTTTTGCTATATTATTTTAAAATAAATAAGATAAGAAAAATAATGAATCGCCTCACCTCTCTAAAATTTTTAATACTTTAAGGTTTATAGAATCCAAAATTCCAGTAATAAAAGATGACATTGCCAACATTTAGATTTGTCACCATGCTCAAAAGTCATGCTAGAATAACCCTTGGATCTTGACATTGCTATTAACCATTCTGTTTTAGAAATTGCAGTATGTAAGCTAATATATATATATATATATATATATATATATATATATATATATATATATATACAGAGAGAAACACTTTGTTTTCATATAAAATATAAAAACTTAAAATCACAAAGGTGAATATGTTGCAGTGTTAAATAAAAGAGAGTACATAATGCCTAATTATATAATATGTTCACATTTTTATCCTCATTCATTGTTAAGCATCAAGAACTAATGTATCAAACATACTATTTTCTTAAATAATACGATTTAGTTAGGAAAGTTATTCAATAAAATTTAGCAGTGAACAGTTCTTCATAAAAGTGAGATATTATATTCATAACTAATTTTTTTATTATTATTAAATAGGGAAAATGATGCTATAGAAAAAAATAAACAATATCAGGAAATGTTGAGAAATGAAAGAATAAAAACTCACTTAGAAGATATGAAGAAAGAAGAAGAAAGACTAGCAAAAGAGAGGGAACTACTAAAATGGGAAATCTTAAGGCGTTTCAAGAGGGAAGAATTGAATAATCAATTTTCAAATAAAATAAAAGAAGGGAAAAGAAATAAAGCAGCCTACTATAAACAAATATTCATGGAGCAAATTGTAAGTCTTAACATTTTTTATACTTTTCATTATTATTATTGAAGAAGAATGGTTGAAGTGATCAGACAAAATAAATAATAATATTTATTTTTACATTTGCGGACGTTTCAGCCCGAAGTTCAGGCCTTCATCAGGGCTAAGAAAAGAACCAGATAACAATAGGTATAAGAAACTATAAACATTGAATAATAAAGAATTAAAATAAAAAAATCTGGTGAGCGCAACACACAACTTTCACTTACCAATCTACTTTGAATAGAAATTATTTTCTAGAAATGCTGGCTATTATAAACATTTTTGAAGTGCATTTTAAATGGAGCTAAAGCTTAAAGCTTACAGATAACAAGTCATTAAGACCATTATAATTACAAAATGTCTATTTAATATATCGACGACAGGCAATAAAAATCTAGTCACTCCATCTGTTTTTATAAACCACACAACTTTCTTTGCTTTTATAAGCCACAGAATGACTAACTCCAATCTCAGCATTTTTGAGTGATGTCATTTTAGACAATGCAGACAATGAGTACAATCAAATTAACTAGGTGGTGATTGCAGTGTTGAAATATAGAACTGAGAATAAAGGTATAAATTTAGGTACTTATTTCTTATGAAAGATGTTCTTAGGAAAGACTCTTTATTAAATATCTGTAGAAAAAAGGTTTTTTTAGTCTCAACAATTAAAAAAGTATATTTTAAATTTATTCAAATTTTCAGGGAAAAAAACTAGAGACTATATCTTTCCTCTTAATTGTCCAATTTTAACGACTTTGTTTTGTTTTTTTTGGGAATTCCATAAACTTTTAAAAAACCATACAATATCCCCAATAAAGTGTATACTTTTTGAGTTATTCGGAATTTAATTTTAACATCCCTCGTAACTTTTTTTCCAGCTTCTTTTCGTTGAAGTATGTTATATAGATAAATTTAAAGGGTATCAAGAAAATGACTTTAGCGAAGTTTCATTGAAATCAGTACATTCGTTTAGGCGCTACAGTCTATAGCAACGCAGATTTTTCTGCATTTTTATCTTTTTTCTCTTTTATTAACTTATCAAATTCTTTCAAAAGTTATATTTAGCAATTTTTTTGTAACTCTGAATAATGCAAAATGGTTAACTTTTTAAAATAGACCATATTAAAGGTACTTTAGAGGAAGACATATATGAACATTGGGCATTTAAGCCCTGTAAAGTGACATCAACGGGGGGTAAGACCTAAATGATATTAAAGACCACTTAATTATACAATGATATACCGAGTTTGATCAAAATCGTTAGAGCCGTTTTTGAGAAAATTGTAAAAATGTGTTTCAGTGTTCGTATAAAGTGGCACTTCCGGTTAGCCGATTTTAATGAAAAAGTTGCTGTCACATCCAGTCCATATACAAACCTTAAATACTTAATATCAGTTTTGTACTACTTTTCGTTTATGAGCTAGATTGTTAACACAAACACACACACAGACCATTTTACGATACTTGGTTATTTAAACTCAGGGGACCTCAAAACATGTATTTCCGTTGAAAACTGAGATTCGAAAATTTTCACTATCGCAATACTTACCCTTACTGTATATTACATATATACGTAAGTGAAAGTAAAAGTTGAAGTAGTCTAGTGAATGATAGTCTATACGTTTCACCATTTTAATTCTTTATTATTCAATGTTTATAGTTTCTTATTCTTTTCTTAGCCCTGATGAAGGCCTGAACTTCAGGCCGAAACGTCGACAAATGTAAAAATAAATATTATTATTTATTTATATACACAGGCATACACCGGGAGCCACTAACGGATCCAAGATCTAATTTTGGGGGAACTTCAGTCCGAAATCTTTATATATATTTATATAAAGTAATTATATATATATATATATATATATATATATATATATATATATATATATATATATATATAATTATTTTGGAAGAAAAATAAAGGAACTAACTACCAATTAAATTTAAGAAATAAATCAAAAATTTTTGGGGGGTGGAGGGAAGATATGACATCATTGGTTGGTGATGCCAAATGTCTAAGATTATATTGGCTTTTACTAACAATTTATTTTACAGAAAGGTATTTATTTTCTAAAACTAATTAAAGAAAACTTTAAAAAGTACTTCGGTGTACAAACTTAAAAATGTATGCTGGTTTTCTCCATAATCTGATTTAGATAAGGTCTCAACTTCAGTTAAAATTGACATTGAAAATAAACTGATGTTAAACAACAACAATAAGAGACAAATAAGATTTTTTTTATGCATTATTGAAGTTAATTAGAAAAATTAATAACTTTATTCATATCTATTTGATGATAGAGACATACATGACAGATATTGAAATGATGAAAGAAAACATCTTGACTTGAAAATGGGCTAATAAGCCTAAAACAATGTTATATGCTGTTCAAATATATTTAATGAAGTTTTTTAAAAGGGTGAATAGTTTTAACAGATAACATGATAATTCAATAAAATAGGATATATACTTTTTTTTTTTAAATTGTTTAAAAGTTTTAATTATTTATATGAAAAATACAAAACATATTTCTTTAATTAATTTAAGGTTAATACTAAATGTAATCTAGCATATCTGCAGCATAAATCCACAGAATTACAGATCAAAATGGAGGTGTAAACTTTAAATAATTTTCATTTCTATGTCATAGGAGAGTGATATAGATAGAAAAGTTAAAGAAAAAGAAATTGAGCTCGAGGCAGCAAAGAAAGCTCAGCAGAAGTGGGATATGAGCGATAAACAATTCCTTGAATATGCTTACAAAGTAAGAGAAGAAAGCAAAAATAAAGGAAGGCCATTATACCCATTAGATGCTGCAATTTATGTAAGTTGCAAAAATTTATTTATTTTTTATATTTAAAATACAAATATAATTTATTTTCAGCTTAAAGTTACATGATTCACGAAACTAACAAATAGATGAGGTATGACCCGGGATCATCTACCGTGAATCAGTTTAGCTGCATTAGATTTTTTTTTTTGTCTTTTTTTACAAATCTTTTTTAACAATTAACATTTTTACAAGATGAATGACTACTTTTTGATATTTACAGGTATACTTAATTTTAACGCCACCACCACTTGGATTTTTACGCAAACCTCTTTTAACTTCAGATTCTACTACACAATGATTCGTATAGATTAAGCATCAACACAAACCACTCAAACCATCATCACATGGAACATTCATTATCTTATGTATAATTCTAAAATTAATTTTTTTTTTCCTTTTTATTATATATATATTTAGCAATATTTTTATAATATTCAAATGAGGTTTATGTTTAATAAATATCACACATACTTTAAACTGAAATTTTACTTGAAGTCAATTTGATAAGAAAGTTTAGAATAAATTTAAAAACAGAAGCTCCACCACTATAGTCATAATGTTCATCTCATGTTTGTTTGAAAAACACATGAAAAGAGATTAAATTGTTTCATTAATGCTTACTCGAGAAAATTAAATAGAAATTTCAAATAAATTGAACTACAGAATTTCTTTTTTTTTTTGAATAATTATAATTATAATTAATTTGTTTTTATAATTTTTTCCTGAATTTGATTGTACGAATTGCCAGGAGAAAAAAATTTTGAAACCCCAATCTTGTCATAACCCTATAACAACAATGGACTCATACATGAGTCGAGACGGGATCGTACTCTGGTGACGGTGGACTCACAAATGAATTGGAAACCTGTCATGCACTTTCTCGTTAAATGACCGGCTGCTGAGTGATGAATTCTGCTTCCAAACTATCTCTTGGCCTTTATATGAGGCAGTAGATGAGATGAAAAGTATTCCGTTATAGGGGGCATTCACAAATGTCAACTGGTACCATCCTCAAAGCCATTCTGTCCTTGCTGCTCATACAAAATTTAAACTTACTTGATCTAATGAAGGTGGCTGGATATTCTGAAATATGTATATTTATCAACATACCCTCAATACAGCACAAAAGTTTATTATTTTCAGGGGGAAACACCACAAGAAACTAACGTCATAATTATAACTAATATTTATTAATAGTTTGGTAAACTTTTTTTTTTTGTGATTGAGTCACTCTTCTTCAGCTTTTGTCATTAGGATTCTAGCAACCCAGTACTGTGTTCTGTTTCTTATATCCAATAAGCAAGAGCATGAGTTTAAAAAGTGTGCATCCATGACTGCTCCCACTTTGCATAGACTACAGAGTGGAGTGTCTGCCACTTCTATTTTAAGAAGATGTTTCTTCAGATAATCATGTCCAGTGACCATGAGAAATTCTGCAAAACACACCCTTTATCAGCAGGTCAACTGGTACCCTTTCTTCTTCAATTAATAATATGTTCCACTGCTTCCCCATCGAAGTTATTTTTAGAGATTCCAAGAATGCTACCTCTTTCGACTTTTTTATTTCTTCCATAGCCCTTTTGGAATGACATCTGCTTTGATGCCATCCCTTCTTTGGCCAGTTTATCTGCCATTTCATTTCCTTGGATACAGCAATGGCTTGGTATCCACTGAAAGATTATATCTCTGTGGATATATTGGCATTCCACAACATCCAAGCTTAGTAAACATATACATAATATCAAGCATAGTAATTATTGGGGTGAGATACAGTGAGTATAGCCGCTTGGGAGTTTACCAACAATGCAATTTTTTGAGTATCTGAGTTAGTGTGGGCTTGCAACACCAACAAAATTGTGTGAATTTCACAGGATGTTTGTTCTTATTATTGTAAATTCACATAAATAAACAATTTCATATTAATGCAGCAATAAAAACTTTTACTTAAAAACCAATTTCATTTTTGTATAAGAACATACTAATCGCTATAATAATACTTTATACAGATGGTCCATTACACATTAACAGTTGTTTGACGGAAAAGTTAAATGTAAAATATTAATTTTATTCTCATTTTTAAATAATTTTATGAATTTAAAAAAACAATACTTTATTTATATATTTTATATTAAACATAATTAATATAATTTAAATATATCAAAATTCAATTCATATTTTAATTATTCTAGGAGTTTAAGAAGAAAAACCGATTGTTGAAAAATGTTAGAAACTTTATATATGATGCTAAAATCAATCGACCAGAAGGAATTAAAGATTATAAGTATGAAGAAAAAATACCAATAGAGGATGCAAGAAATCAACCAACTGCCAAATTAGAAAGCAGTCTAAACAATGTCCTTGAAAGAGAGGGATGTTGTTGCTCTCAAAATCGATTTAATGTCCTTGAAACAGAAGAATGCGGTTGCTCTAAAAAGGCAAATGGATTGTAGTGATGAATAGAACAGCAAATTAAAATTAATGAGAAAATCATTTAATTTATTGAAATATTTAATAATAAAATATACTTGTATCAATAAATGTCACTAAATAAATTGCTTGCTTAATGTGTTTTTTATGTCAAACCTAACAATTTAACCAAAAAATTAATAAGAAGCTGATTAATTGTTTTTAGTTTTTTTAACATTTAAAGAAACATAATACATTATTATGCGTTAAAACATATTTTGGTTCTTTTTTACTATACTACGGCAAACTACTTTCCAGTATAAACATATGATTTATTTGTCACTTATTGATAACTATTCTTACATAGTTGTAACCTTTTTTCGAATGAAGAAAACATAATGCAACTTCATTACGTGCTTTATGGAACATTTTCTTGACTTTTTCTCAATCCCTGCTTCTTCGATTGATTGAAGCATGTTTTCTTCACTCTGGAATGAAGTTGCTAATTGCGAAATATTCATGTTTTTTATATATATGCCAAAACGTACACAGTAAATAATCAATTGTTAATAGTTAAAAATAATTTAAACCATAATTCTATGGTTTCATTGAAAAGTGATTTACGATAGTGAAGTAAAAAATACCTCATATTTTTTAAATACATCATTCATTAGAATAATTCCCTCCCCCCTTATTCTAAAGATCAGTAGTTGAGATTTTCACGTTTTTTAAATTTGGAGGAGTTTAAGGAGTTTAAGGGTTTTAAAAATTGTTATGCTGAGTTCTTAGTCTGATGATGGGGCTCCCTAGTTGTCTTAGAATAAAAAATAATAAATAGGGATAAAATTTAAAGTTTCATAAATGTCTCTAATAATAGGAGGAAAAATTATTAAGAAATTAATTTAAAGAAATGATATTCCATGTAGTTCATTTAATTAAATACAAAAAAAAAAGAAGCTGTATCATTACGACTTGTAAAGGGTCTTGGGACCACTATTCTATAAATAATATTAGTGTTTATAAAATATAATCCAAAAAGAATATTAAAAAATATTACTATGAATAAAATTTAAGATCATAACAATCTGGTGAGAAGTAAAAGTTTTTTTTTTGTATCTTGTATATTTTCAGCTAAGACATAAAAATGTTAAAATTGATTTTAACATTTCATTTAACTATTTAAAATAAATATATAGTTTTAAAATAAAAACAAGGATACCCAAAACAAAAATAAAACTACGTTTGAGCTTAATCAATTTGTTTATTAAGGAAAAAAATGTTTAATAAGGAGTTCTAATACAAGATAGTATTTTCATTAGCCTAATGGAAAGATGTCGTTACTGAGGGTGTGGTCTTGTCGCCTTGAGGTTTCAACCCTCACCTGAGTATTTCATGATTAAACACTGACATGGTATGTAACATTCATATTTATGTTTAGTTGTATTTATTTATTTATTATTATTATTTGTGTCGTTTATATCAATCTATATTATGAATAATAATATACATTATAATAAAAAATTAACAAATTATATATTTATATTAACAATTAAAAATATATATAGACATATATAGTTTGAAAATTATAAAATAAGAAAATTTAAATTACAAATTTTTATAATGTAATTTTTTTTAATTGATATTTAAATTAATCAATTTGTTATTTTCAACTGTCCACAGACTGAATCCGTATCTAAATAAAATTTAAATTATTTGTTCACGTTTTTATTCTATTCCAATATTAATATCAAAACTTAATATTTAAAAAATAATATATATATATATATATATATATATATATATATATATGTATATATTTTTCAAAATCACTAATTATTTCAATAATAATTTTAAAAATATTGAAAATTCAATAGGACTGCTTTTGGAAAGAATAAAACTTTAAAGTCTGTTTTTGAAAAAAAAAAAAAAGGTTGATAAAGAAATTAAATATTTCTTTGCAATGATAGTTCAAAAAATGACTTTATTTTTAATTCCCATTAGAATAAAATGGTTAAAAAGGCTTTTAATGAATTATTATTTTAATAATACTTAAGGAATACAAGTATCATTACATTTCTTGAACAAAAAGACTGGTTTAGGAAATAAACTTATTTTCATAATACTTTTTTATATTTAGGTACATTTTTTAAGAAAAAAATAATAGTATCATCAGATTCATTGAGTGTTTTTTTACGGAAATCAAAAAGTATCTCATTTTCTAAAAAATCTATTAGATCTTACTTTGGAAATAAATGACTTGATAATGCATCGTTGGCTTATGTATAGCCTTGAAATAAATTACTTCTGACTCAAATTTATTCCTAACTTAAACTAAAATCAAAAATAATTAAATTTAAAATATAGCTCATTGCCTATTAGACTATGCCTTATTAAATTGTAGTCGAAATAAAAAGTATGTTGTCATAATTTAATATTGAAGAATACACTTAGGTACCAAATATGTTTTATAAAATTATTTAGACATTTAATTAACTCTCTAGTGCACTAAATATTTCGAAATGATTTATAATTTCTCAATAATGCAGAATGACACTTCAACAACAGAAGGAGTTATTCCATTTGACGAGGACTTGTTGGAAGATGAATCACTATGGAACTTACGAAGATGGCATGTCATACTCATATTTTTATCAGGATTCTTCGCAATCGGTGATTTATTACTCATTTATGTCTATAGTTGAACATAATTTTTGAAAATAATTAATTTTTTTATAATATACAGGTTGACATTCAAATATATGATAGTCCTGCAATTCATTGCCCTAAAATCCCTGTCCTTCCTAGTTTTCAATAGCACTACGGTCCTTGCAGAACGCTGGCCACCTCAACAATTCTTCATCATTCGTTCCTGTCCAAAGCTGCTCTTTTCCACCTTCAGACTCCAAGTGTCCTCAGGTCTTCCTCCACGTCTTCCAGTCACCCTAATCTGAGACACCCTCTTCTTTGTCCTCCTCCAGAAGCTTCTTCGGGATACACCACTCTTCCATCCTCTGTAAATGTCTCAGCCACCTAATTGTATTCTTCTTGATACAGGTGACAATATTCGGGGCGTTGTATAAATCACGGAGCTCCTGATTGTTTCTCTCAGTATATGGAGACCTCCCAGGGTGATTGTGGGACAAAGAATGGTCTTAGGAATGGAGAGTACATTTTCGAGTAGATACAGGTGTTTAAATATCTTGGGGCCAACATTCCCGAAAAGAATGACATACAGACAGAAATAAAGTCACGCATGATGGCCAGAAGTAGATTTTGCTGGGCGCTCGGAAAAGTACTTAGGTCAAAGGTTTTGCCCAGGCAGTTAAAAAGACCGTATATGTTAGTGTTATTAGACCAGTAGTAATGTATGGGAATAAGACACGAGTCCTCAATCTGACTAGAAAGTCAGAACAAGTGCTCAAAGTGTGGGAGAGGAAAGTTCTCAGAACGATTTTTAGTCGAACGATTTTTGGCCCCTTGAGGGAGAGAGGTCGGTGAAGGCAGAGAAACAAACTCCTACCCTACCCCTTCAGATATATGAGTTATAAATGATTATAAGAAATAAATTGATTATTCTTTATCAGGTGATTGGGTACTTGTAAGAAAAAAAATTGCATAAATTTCAGCTGCAGTAGGATCCAAATGATAAAAAGCTCATATTGAGATTACATTTTTTAAATAATTAAAGGTTCATATTTAACTAAAAACATGAAATAACCATAAGTCTAAAGAAATACATTTTGAAATAATATTTTTATTCATAGATAAAAGCATGAAAGATAAAAAAACTATGGTGTGTACTTTAGACCACACGATAGAAGTGAAAACATCAACAAGGCAAGATTAATAATATGAAACATAAATTATAAATAATAGCTCATTATAAAGAGGATGAAATAATGAATATTTCTCTCGCTTACAGTATGCAGGTCAGATTTTTAGTCTCTGAGTTATATTAATCCATATCTTCCATAAAACTGTTGTCTTTTGGTTTTCAACACTATTTTTTCCTTTTCGCCTCTCTAATAGAGTGTCTCGTTAAGATGCAATTTTGAATAATAGCCCATTGAGAGGATGAAATGCTGAGAAATTCCCTCGCATACAGAATGCAGGTCCAATTTTTAGTTTCTGAAATATTTTAATTCATATCTCCAATAAAATTCTTTATCGTTTGGGTTTGACACTATTTTTTCCTTTTAAGCCTCTCCAACACAATTTCGCGTTAAGATGCAATTTTGAATAATAGATAATTACAGAGGATGAAATGATGAACATTTCACTTGTTTACAGTATCCAGTACAATTATTATTGCTTGAGATATTTTAATCTATATGCAAAAACACTTCAATTAGTCCAACAATCCTACTTGACCTGAGTGTTACACATCGGAGATCTAACGGCTCAATCTAATTCACTCTCCACAAAAAAAGTGCAAAACACGCCTAAAGAAGTTTTCACTTTAAAAAGATATTTCTTGAATAGATGTTTTGAAGCTTAAAACACTAGTATAAGCCAATAAGAAAAATACATCAAATATTATGAGCTAGAAATAGCCAGCCGCTGATGTAGCCATTATCTCCAATCTTGTAACATAGCTCTGTTCCCACCACTTTTCTTAATACTAATTATCTTTGTTATAGGTATCAGAAAACTTTGGGACTTTTTGCATTTTTATTTTTATAACTTAATCCTTACCAAGGAATACAAATTGAAGATTCATGCAAGTAGCCAATTGTAAACATAAAATAAAATGGTTAGGTAGTTTGTGTATAGTTTATTTTTGATTTGTTCATGACCTTCAGTGAAATTTGTTCAGCTTAAGTGTACTATCTTCAGAATTCAGCAATGTTCAATGTAATCTAATAGTTTTGTTTTAAAATGCTTAATCCCTGACAAAAAAATATAAATCAGCAACTATTAATTTTATCTTTATAACTTATAACTTTAATCTTCCATAAAAAATAGAGTTTGAAGTAAATTACCATGACGTTTTTATGCACAGATACGTAGGGGTGCATAAAAGGGGATTTTTTGGGGGGGGGGATTTATGAAAACATGGAACAGATTGCAGCAAGTGTAATTTTATATGATCTACGATTTTTATATTTCTACCTTAGCTTGCTCTGTTCTTAAGAAAAGGTGAGCAATAAAATATTTTGGTAGGAGAGGAGAGATTCTTGTGCCTCCATCTTGGGGGGGGGGATGGGCACCCCTGCAGATACTTATTAAATTAATGTAATAGTATATATTTATTTTAACTTTTCTTATAAAAAGTTAGGTACTAGTTCACTGTAAACTGAAGGCTTTATTATCTTATTCTTGTTAATTTAAAAAAAATTAAAGGAGTTAAATATAGTTATTAGCATAGGACAAGTTCCTAAACTCAGCACTCAGCTCATCCAAAGCCTAGTTTAACCCAGTTTATAGACGAATTCGATGCCACCAATGAAATCAGCGCTGAGTTTAGGAACTTGACCATAAAATATTATAACGACTTCCGCCATTATTAATTGGATGATTCAAATTACGACACAATTTTTTATGGAATTCTATAATCAAAAATCTCTCCATAAAGAAGAAATAAAGTAATAATCGTAACTGTATGACGAAATACCAATGATAAGCAGTGCTAGGAATAAAAGTATTAATTTATTAATATGTATTCAATCCAACACCAGAACCCAAGAACAATTGAAATGAAATCTATAACTCACAATTTTCTTCCATGATATCGAATGGAGACATTCATTTGCTTCTTTCTTGATAAATTAACATGAAAAACAATTAGTAAGAACAAGTTAATTTTAAACTATTAAAACCCGTCCGTTAAACTAATTTACAGAACTTCACCAACGCATTAATAGAACTGTATAAGTGTTACCAACTATCGCATGCATAATTTTTAATCGAACTCTGATGAGCAGTATTATCAATTATTTTTAAATTTAATTTATAATTGTATTGACTGATTAAATTAATCATATTTATAATGAATATTACGGTTTATTAAATAAAATAAATATGACAAATTAAAATAATGGTTATTAAAAAATAATAGACGTTCATAGTACTATCTTTCCACGATGTTTTTATTATTTAAACAGCTTACGTTTTCGAATTGTGTTATAAACTTATATTCTGACCTTGCAACTAGCAATGATAATCAGTTACTCTGAAATAGAATATCATAAAATTAAAAATAAATATACAAATGTGAACTCTGGGTGTCCCCTTTGCCACCACATGGGATGCAAAATTTTAATTTTTTAGTTTAAGTTAAAAATATTAGTTTCTGCTTCTATAATAAATATTTCGAAATATCTTATCTAAAATACTATTATAAAGTTGGTTACTTTAAATAAGGGTGCCATCCGTAAGTAAATTGCCGCGTTTGCACAAAGTTTTAAGGTATTTTACGGCCTAGTTACTAAACTTAGCGTTGAGCTCACCGATGGTATGGGCAAGTCCTTATATCCAACGCTAACCCATTGATGGATTTGAGATGCTCATTAATGATCTGAGCGCTGTGTTTAGGAACTTTCCCAATACTACTTCGATGAGTTTAGGAACGGCTTGATGGATTCTCGATGTTCATAAATGATCTCAGTGCTGAGTTTAGGAACTTACCCTGAGAGTTTGATCGATTTTGATTATACTATCATTATTATATTCCTTCATAAAATAATGATTGTTTATGCTGTTTTTAAATAGTTCTAGGCAAGGGTGCACAACCCCTGAGAGGGATGGTGGATAACTCCTCCTTCCTTCCAAGAATATTAATTTCTCCCTAAATAAAAGTAAGACAATAAAAAATAGATTAATTTTTTGCTTTGTTCCTTGTTTTAAAGTTCTCCTTTATTCAAATCCTAAAAAATTATGGTTCCCATTAAAAATTAATAACATGGTAAATATGTATTCCACTAAAAAAATTATAGCTATAAATATAAGCCCCGCTTAAAAATCTTGATGATGCAACTTTTGCCATATTATCTCCTTTTGGGCATCTCTGATTCTACATATGGAAAATGAAAAATTTTAATTTTAATCTATTTATTATAGTTACATGTTACGTTTTAAATTATGTTCTAGTAAAAAAGGAGGAGATACCATTATCACAATAATTTCTATAATACATCAACTGTAATATAGCCACAAGCAATTAAAATACTTAACTCGTTATTCATAATTGGATGGGATAATTTTTTTTTTCATTAAAATTGATATTTATTGTGCACTTGTCTAGCATTGAAAATTATTTTAATTGTATTTTATAAATTGATATTATTATAATGTTTTTTTATCAAATAAATAATTTAAACAATTACCAAAACTTGTATATTTTATTTTGTATTACTTAAATAATTTTAATTTTCAGTGATTGGAATCTGCTGTTGTATTCGATTCAGAATTCCAAGAACAAAACAAGAAATTGAAGCTGACTACATTAGAAAAAAAATAACGATGAAGTTTAAGAAACAACTTAAACTAATTCAAAACTCAGAAATGGATGAGATGGATTTAAAAAAAGGTGCCAAGTTGATTCATCTTCTGAAGCTTTTCATGAGCTATCTATTTATCATATATGTGTAATATATTAATATTATACATATGATATATTATATTATACATATAATATATTAGTAATATCTTAGGTATAAAGCATGAAAAATTTATAAAGATCAAAGTCCATTTAAATAACCAGAAATGTGATTATGAAAATTGACTAAGTATGGTATAAAATTGAATAAAAGTAAGACAAGTGTTAATAACATGCATTAGAAGAACAGGAGATAAAGAAAAATATTAAGAAGGAAAAAGAAAAGTCTCTGAAGATGGACAAAGAGTCCGAAATGTTGGACAGATAAATAAATTAATATATACGGAAAAGAAAAGTTTTCATGCTTTATACCTGAAATAACACAAAACTCTTCCTTAAGTAAACTATTAAACATTAAATAATATAAGAAGAATTAATATTATCCTATATTATACAATTCTTTACCACTTACTCCATTAACTACTCACCCATTAATGAACGGGAGCTCACATGGTTGGAATGCAATCTAATTACGCTTAAAAACATTTGTATTCATGGTTCTAACATATTACTGAATATTTCATTTTATATTGCTACAACAAGAATAAAAATATAAACAATAAATATAGATGTCTTTACAAGATATTATTATTAATTATAATTATTTTAAATCATTTCAGCTCTAGATCGGGTGAGAACTGAGTTCAAATCTGATACCGAGAGCATTGCACAGTCGGAAGTATTTTCCATTGTGAGCACACCAAGAAGTCTATCCGACTCTCCACCATATTCTTACAGAAAAACAAGTGAAATTGGTGAGAATAATGTTTTTTTTTTTTTTTTTTTTTTTTTTAAATATTTTGATCGAATAGTAAAATTTAAATCATATTACATCATTCAAATTAGGTCAAAGTTTGTATTATTTCAGGCATAAACATTGATGACCTTATTGAACAGCAAAAAGAAAAAAAAGAAAGAGCTGGAAGATCAAAATTTACAAAGTTTGTTGACAGCATTAAAAAGGTAAATCGGCCCAAAGCTCCTGAGGATTCAATCATACCATTGGCTGAACAAGAAACATATTAAAATAGGTTACCCATTTATATTGTATACTAATATATTATAAAAACTAATTGAATATTTGTTTCAAATACATAACAATATTTATTAATGGTCGAGACATTGTGAACCATTAATGCAATCAGGAGAGAAGTCCATTGGGAGTTAAATAAAAAAACTGTAAATGAGAACTTATTTTAAACTTATGCCGACATTTCAGCCTGAATTGTAAATCTTACCAAAGCTAAATAAAACAAGATACAACTATGTAGGCAAATGCTTTTCTACTTATATAGTTTTATCTTGCTTAGCCCTCTTGAAAGCCTACAACTTAAACTGAAATGTTGGCATAAATTTAAAATTTGTATTTTCTTTCTTGATTGTTCCCGCAACAAACTCCTTTTATTCCAGATTTATTGCCAGGTTAAGCATACATCACTTATCATGACTAATGAAGATAAGCTTTCTGTGTGTAAAGATAGTGTTATCCTTATTTTTAACTACTTTAAATTTTATAAATAAACTTTAAAACTTTATATATATATAACTTTAAATTAAATAAATAAACAAATTTCTCAAAGATTTATTTATTGAAAACTTTTACTCTTAACAATAATTAACATCAAGATTTATTTTTACCTATAGAATTGCAGTCTTAAATTATAGATATTCATAAGTTATATTTTGAGGTAATATTCCTCCAGAAGTCGGTCCTCTCTTTCAACAACTCAGTTTTCATGCTGTATCCCCCGTTGTGGATATGAAGATAGTCATTATGAATTGATTTCTTCCAGTTCAAGATGGAATCTTTGGTGTTTGGTGATCTGAAATAAAATGAAAATATTTTTAGTGAAATACATTCTTGTCTTGATGTTTTAAAATAAGGGAAAAAACTATAAGATGATGAGTTCTTCATTTCAGAAGTGAATCACAGAGTCTTTTCCGACTATAGAGGTCAAATAATTGAGAGAAATTTACAAGAAAAAAAGATGAGGAGTTGGAGTAATGAGGGTTCAGTATAATGGGGTTCCACTATGTTTTACAATCTCAAGTGCCTACTTCATTTCTCAACTTTATAATGTATAACATTCCTAATAATAAATTTATTCTTTATTTCTTTAATTTTAAGATAAAATTCCTTATATTTTTTACTGTGTATGTGAGCTACAGGATTTATACCAATAATTCCTAAGTAAAGACGTAATAGTCAGTATATAATTCAGTATTTAATTAAATATTTCAAAATTTAATTTGTAAAATTGCTTACCCAGTCTTAATAAAATTAGTCCACAGCTTAACAAGGCTACGTGACACTATCAAATCATCTCCTGCGAGCGCTGGGAAGAAAGCTGTACTATTGAAAAGGTATATCAATTCGTCTGTATGAAAAGCAACTGGAAAAGTTGAAAAAAAGCAATTATATGAATAAAAACAATTTATTAATGAGAGAAAAAAAGAGATAGACAAAAATTACTTTTAAGCCGCATTTAGACATTTCACAAACTATGGGACAAACAAATATATATATAATATTTCACTATGCTATTATTTTTGTTTCTTGTTTTTCTATCTGCTGTCGGTATCAAGAGAAACAAAATATATAGTTTGGTTGAACAATAACGGTTAGTTAAATAATGATGTTTCTCATAGTTTGTGAAATGTCTAAACGGACCTTTAGATTATTATTGGCACATTCCAAAACAAAACTTTAGAGTTTCTGATATAACATAACACCAGATATACAGATCAGATATAGCACATAACACACCATACCTTTAAAAAAGAATAACCCATTATAAAAGAATAACAAAACTTTAGAGTTTCTGATATAACATAACACCAGATATACAGATCAGATATAGCACATAACACACCATACCTTTAAAAAAGAATAACCCATTATAAAAGAATAACAAAACTTTAGAGTTTCTGATATAACATAACACCAGATATACAGATCAGATATAGCACATAACACACCATACCTTTAAAAAAGAATAACCCATTATAAAAGAATAACAAAACTTTAGAGTTTCTGATATAACATAACACCAGATATACAGATCAGATATAGCACATAACACACCATACCTTTAAAAAAGAATAACCCATTAGTGACAGCGCATCTCTCCAAAACAATTCAACTTATACAACTTATTGGTAAAGCAACTTATTTCCATGTATTTAAGGAATTTAATTATTTGCTTTGTAATCTTCAAATGAAATTCTTAAAAAAATTATGCGGTAATTGTTATTTACCATTTAATGGCCTTTTAGCTCCTAACAGATCAATAACTGAATATTTTCCTAAATAGTCAAAGTAATAGATGTACACGGGTTCTTTGTGCTTTGCTATAGCGTCTGTAGTCGGGTACCAAAACCAGCCATCAGTGAACAACTAAAAACAAATATAATCAAAATTTTATTTAAATAATATGCACAATTCGTAAATATTATTATTTAATATCTAAAAATATTAAAACTGATCATTCTATATCAAAATACAATCACCATAAATTGAGGCAACTTGGAAACAGTAGGGACTTTTAAAATGTTTTAAATTACATTTAGATCTTTTATTATGGAAATAAAGACATAGTTTACAATATTCCACAACAGATAGCAGCACTAGCTTTGGGTTCTAAAAAATATAATCAACCTTTAATTTCCTGTTTCTTGTTTTTTGTTTTTTAATAAGTTAATATTAAACATCATCATTGTCTGTGTAATGAATAACAGCGATGATAAAAAACAAAGTACTATATAAGTAAAGCTAGCAATAATGTTTTAAAAAAACAGAAGTATTTTAAGAATTTCCTTTATATAAAAATTTGAAATGGAATAGAAAATATATTTTTCTTAAATTAGAACTATTCTACATTAACAACAAATTATCATATTCATCTTGGCAGCTACCAGGTTGGTAGACTTTAGATGTGGATTATACAACTTTTAGAACACTTATTAAAGTTTTTTAAACTATAACAAAAGGGTAACAAAAAGCTCCCTTTTTTCAGGTTATAAACACAAAATATTTAAGAATATTCTCTTAGACTTTGCAGTATCATTTTGTTGGAATATTTATTGTTTAGTTTTCCTTACATGATGTATAATAACAAATATTGTTCCTGATATTAAGTGAATATAAAACAGATGCTTAAGACCACATTTATATTTTTAATTTTTCGATATATTCATCTCTAAGAAATGATCTGCAATCTGCAAAACAACCGCTTCACAGCAGGCACAAACAATTTTTAAAACAGTATGACTCTAAAGATGGATATATAAATTCAATAAAGTTTTCCAGCTTCCCAATTGTTCTCTGTTAATAATAATACAAGTCATCACCATAAAGGTTGATTAATTATTAAATACTAATTACAAAATACATTCCAAGGAATGTATCATCATGATGTTAATGTGGTCAACAGGTACCACTTCTTACCTATCGATGAATTACTTGTTTTTTACAAATTTAATCATAAAGAAAAACTGATATATTAACTCTATTGCATAAAATACTTTTAAAATTACATTTGTCATATTTGCTAAGCTATCATTTGATAGGGAGCCAGAGTTGAAATAAAACTGTCTTATTTCATCGGTAAGCATATCGTCACCTGCCACGGGCTGCATATAAAGAAGAGTTTTACGGATAAAGTCACTTAGCTCTGAGTTGAGTGCATTCCAACCGAATGGATCCGAAAGAGTAAAAACTGAAACAATAAAAAAAAAATGAGAGATAAAACAAAAATAAAACTCATAGTTTAATCCAATTATGATAATGATGAATTATGAAAATACAAAGTTCAGCAGAGGGACAAAAATTATCTAAGGAAAGATAAAATACTTCACCCAATTTTCTAATTTAATTAAATTTTAATTGTTTTTTAAATTATCTTCACATGCTTTAGGATAAAGATAAATGCCAAAAAATAATAATTTAATAAATTTCTATTATTATTTATTCAATTATTATTGAAAATTATAATCATATCTATTAAAATATTTGTAAATGTCCTAAACTTGAATGAATAAATTAAGATGACTTCTAATTAAATCATCTCGAATACTATTCCTATAAAAATTATAAAATTTCTTGAAAAATAAATAAACAATTCAAGGATTAACAGGAACTAATTAATATGCTTAAATTATATACTCATGGATGTTTTCAACAGGAGAAAATATTTTACAGGAAAAGTGCACACCACAGTGAGTACTTTTATAGATAACTAGATCATTGCGGGGAACTTAAGTTATGGAGAATGAAGAAAAAAAAACAGACTTTTTGACTGAGCACCCCAACTATTCTTCTCTTCATTATCCACGAAAGTCAACCAATTACCAATTATTAAGTTATGGAGTTTGATGAATACTGAGTATTTTACAAAATATTTCAGAGATAATGAAGACTATTATTCAAAGTTAATCTTTTTTTTTTTTAAAGCATGGTTGTTTCAAAATTTTAAATAATTAAGATCTTGCTCAGCCTCAACTGGCTGTTAGTACTACTGCAGTTGAGAGATAGTACTGGGATCTGCTGGAGTTCAGTTTTCCTCTCCAAAGGTGAGAAGACCAGTTCAGAATTCCCTCTGACTGATTATAAATATCAAAGTGTTATTTTGCCTTATTTAACTTTGAAATTAACTGTTTAATTTTTATATTATTATTGTTTTATATTCTGTAAATATAGTGTCAATGGAATCTTTTCACATTATAACCAATGTCCTTTAATTTTAAAGTATTTAATATAACTCAATAAAACAAGATTTTTAAAAATCTGGTATGTTGTATCACATAACTATAATTATAAATATAAATTTAAGACAATTAGTATAAATCATTACTATTTTGTGGACTATGTTTTTTTATCAACCAAGATGGTATGAAAGATCAAGATCTACTATATTTTTTATATATAGATTTCATTTTGTAACCACGAAAATGCTTATTTTCCATCCAATAATATAAAAGGTGGTGATGTTACAGGTGTTATTCACGTTATTCTTACTATCTACTACAATTAAAATGCATCAGCGTTTCTCCACTTTATATTAACTTCTTCGATTTTATTAATTAATAAATTAATATTCGGCACTACTGCCCTTGGAGGGTATGGGCTTCATCACAAATTTCACGCCATGCTGATCTATCGGCAGCAACCACTCTCCATCCTCTAACTCAAAGTTGGCATATGTCTGCCTCAACATCGCCCAGCCATCTCATCCTGGAACGTCAATGCTTTCGCGTACCACCCAGCTTCCCAAAAAGTATAGCTTCCTTGGAAGATGATCCTCCTTCATGAGCTCCACATGTCGGAGCCACCTCAGCCTTTCCTTTTTTATTATAAAACTTCAACTTTATAAATTACATATTTATTAATCTAAAATTTTTAGTTTTCTAACAGTATTTTAGAGGAAGAAATTTTTAAAATTCCTGTTAGACTATTTTAATTAGGGTAATAACTGGATGGTATTAAAGGATTGTGAAGCTTGGTCCAGACTGTACAAGAAGTTACCTCAAACTTTATGAGCAATAGACAATGAATAATTATGATGACAATGAGCTACATATACATATGTACATAAACAGACCCTTCGGTCTTGAGCTAGACTTTCCACAAACACACAGACCTATTGCAAGACTTGGTATTTGAACATAGAGAACCTTGAAACATTTCTGTTGAAAAGTCGGATTTGAAGTTCTTCATAATCCTAATGCTTGCCCTCATTATTTCATATACAGATAAGTTAAAGTAAATATAGAGCGCAAAATATTTAACCAATTTTAGAAAAATAATAATTCTTACCAGCAGTTTTAAGAAGGCCATCACCAGAAGAGATGCCTACAATCCAAGGAACTGGATGGTGAGTCAGCTTCTTTGGGTGATCTGGAAGGAATGGTTTTTCTGATTTTGAGTCCACTACAGGGCCATAGTATACAAGTGGATCCCGAAGTTCATCCTTTAATCAATTTAACTAAATTTTAAATTACGAATTATAATCATATTTTTGTAACTCTTGAAATATTTATAATATGTAAAATATACAAACAATTTACATAGTCCTCATCTTACACAAATTTATTTTATGAATCAATTTTATTTGGATCATTAACATTGAAATTGAATGACTATAATTAATAATATTTTTGTGACCTGGTTTTGTGATCTGCACAGAGTATCCAGTGAGCATACATGGTTGGCCCAACAGTGGGAAATGGTCGGCAACATTTGGGAACCATTGGGATGTTGGCCGACCAAATATTGATGTAGGGCCAACTGTTTTTTACCAACCAAAAATTTATGGAAAATACTGCCATTCTCCAACATTGGTCAAACGGTATTTTCCAACCATAAACCAACAGAAATGGTACGTTTTTTAAATTATTTTCTCTCGACCAGTAGAGGACACAGATCGTTTTGTTTTTTTTACAATATTTATTATATACATTATTTACAATTTTTTTTATGACGGTAATAACACTGAAAGAAGAAGAGAATAGCTACATGAAATGAGGTTTAAGTTCTAAATATGTAAGAAAGAATTGTTGACTGTTCTACTACCGTATCCAGGATTTAATTTTGAAGGGCTTCAGCCCGAAAGCTTTTTTTTCATAAAAATAACCATAATTACTTTGAAAACAAATAACGAAAATAACTACCTATATGAAGTGGTGTTTAAGTGATTCCTAAAGTCGTTTTAAATGTAATTACACGAACAATACTACTTTAAGAGATAATTTTTTAATATTTTTTTCCATAAAACATGGTTATATTTTACCATTTTGGGGGGGGGCTCAGTCCCAAAGCCCTCCCTCCTGCAGATCCGCCCTTGGACTATTCTGTCTCCTATCAGTCCATAAAAACCTTTGCTGGCCACTATATGTACCAAGATACAAATTTTGTCAAATTTATTTCGTACCTCAAATTAAATTTATTTTACTTCATGACCCATCATCAACTTAATATTAATTTATATTTTATAATGTATATTAATTTTAAAATATATAAATTCATGTGATAAGCAAAGCTCTGATCTAATTTTTTCTAAAAACAAAACAAGAAAATACGAGAACGTTTCACTGAGGAGCGGCAACACTGTTCACCTACCGCCATTATGTTGAAAGTTGTGTTTGAAACTGTTGAGGTTTACGTAAATAACTATAATGTTTAATTTTCGCTCATGAACCGTTGAATTCATTAGTGATGTTAGACAAAAACTGAATCTTTGTAACATTCAAGACTTCGGGGAAGTTCTACAAAGAAAGGTATAACATAATGACAGGTATTTCTTGGCAAATAATGATACCCTACTTTATCTTTTTAAAATAATCAGTTTGTAGTATAACTAATTGCTTAAAAACATAGAAATAATAGATTCAACAATTATTTATTATGGAAATAACAACACTATCATTGTCTCATCTAATTATGAATTTTATCATTTATTTTTTGGGTTATAAGTTTCTGTCAGTGAATTTATAGTTAATAAAACTATGAATACTTATGAAAATCACTTCAGATTTTGTGTGGTTTATTTTTCTTGAAAGATGTGATTATTTTTGTTTTATTTTACAAAATTAATCTAGGACTTGTTGGGGAAGCTAATATCCGCAGAATTCTTACAGATCTCTTCTCGAACGAATTGGCTATGTAATACGATAGGATTTGGAGTGATGAAAAATCATTAGAGAATCTGCTCTTAAGATTACAAATAGTAAGGTTACCAAATTAATTGATGTATTATTTTATTTTTTATTTGACTGTATTTTGCCAACCGAAAGCGAAAACCATTTCCCAATCTTGAGCCAACCATGTATGCTTACCATGTATGTATGGGCCAACCATGTACTGGGTAATACTCTGGTACTTCTAAGTTTTACAATCTTCTTATTTAATTATATATTTCATTAATATATGACAAAATATATAGTCAATAGATAAAAGTGAGTAAATATAATTAAATAGCCATTTTAAATAAATAATAAAAAGAAAAAAATCTCTCTGAAGATATATCCTTGAGGGAAAAAAATCTGGTGCGGTGCACGCATCACACAACTTTCACTTACCACCTTCTTAGTAGAAATAAAAAATTTCAGATAAAAGGGAAGTGAAAGTAAAAATTATAGACGCCTTATTTCTTTATATTTCATTGTGAATATTTTTATTTGTTTAAGTACATAGAGAATAAAACCTACATTACATTAAAACCCGCTTAATTTTACACTGATAGCATGAATTTAATCAAAATCGTGAGAGCCTTTTTCGAGAAAATCGTGATAATATGTCACATCGACGATGTAAAGTGCCACTTCCGGTTAGCCGATTTTGATGAAAAATTTTCTGTAACATTCTGGGCCTATAAAAATCTTAAATATGAAATTTCACTTTCGTACAACTTTTCGTTTATGAACTAGGCTATTAAAACACCATCTTGCGGGACTTGATTATTTGGGCTTCTAACTAACGGGACTTATAAGGACCTCAAAACGTGTATTTCCGCTAAAAACTGAGATTCGAAACTTTTCACGATCGCAATACCATATATTTCATATATAGGTGAGTGAAAGTAAAAATACTCAAAGTGTTGAAAAATGAGTGCATGGGTGCCCAGAAAGAATTAGCTTGCGCAAGTTCGGTCATCAAAGTTATTGAGGAGGGTACATTTTGACCGGGTTTTGAATTTTTGAAGGGACACATTTCGACTGGGTTATGAATCTTCGTGATGAAAAGTGTCAAACCAAGAGACAAGAAGTAAACTGATAACCGCAGGTAACCATACCGCAGTATCATTGTATACGATCTTCGGTTTTTTAAAATCTACTTTCATTTGAAATGTTTTTAAGAAGAGGAGAGCAATAAAATATCTTGGAATGGGCAGAGAGATTTAAGCGCCATCGATCTTGTGGGAACGGTTACCTCTGGGCATGTACATTAATAATATAATTTGATATAAAAGTAAAATATTTTTTAAAGGAGAGGATATCTCTCCTTCATACTTCCTATACTTTCACTCACAAAAACATTAAATAATATAAAATAGATCCCCTGAGAAACAGGCCAGGTCGGCAATCGCTAAGGGTCTCCGAGTCTGGGGGGGGGGGGTCCCAGGAGGGTACCCCAAAATAAATTTTTTGTACTTCTTTATCGTCAAGGAATGACTGGGGGACCCCTCAGTGCGTCCCGAAGACCATTGTTCTATAATTATCTAGTGCTCTGATATGTTTGGCACCCAAATTTTTATCGTATTTTTTTGGGATCCGTCCGATGTTTTGTACTTCCTTATCGCCATAGAATGATTGAGGCCTCCTCTGTTTTATATTTTTTTAGTACTCTGGTATGTTTGGCCCCAAAATAATTGTTTTGTATACATTTATTTTCGCTAATTTTTGGGTCCCCTCCGATGTTATAAATGTTTTGTATTTTCTTACGGCCGTAGAATGAATGGAGGAGGATCCCTCTGAGAGCCCCGTAGGAGGTTATTTTGTATTAATTTAGTAGTATGTTGAGCCTCTAAAATGATTGTTTTGTATATGTTTATTTTTACTAATTTTTGGAGTCCCTCTGATGGGCCCCCAACATAAATTTTTTGCACTTTCTTATTACCGTAGAATGATTAGAGGGCTCCGAGGACCGTTATTTTGTATTTATCTAATACCACTTCAGATTCTGGCCGATGGCCCCAACGGAGTCAGACCGGACTTGATATATATATTTTTACGTTCATATTGGTATTATTTTACAAGTGTTGGAGGGAGGCACTAAATCTAATGAGCAAACTTTAAATGGAAACCGGAGAATAGCCTAGTATCGATAAAGTGTTGACTGATATAACCTCCCCTTATTCAGATCGCGACTTATATCTTCCGTAAAGTTTCAATTGGTCCTTTCAGTTAAAATCGGGGCCCTAATTAACTTTAATTGCATCGTTGCTTACAGCTTTCCATTGTCAGGTTCGCTGTAAAAGAGACAAATAAATCCCCAACGGGTTCTTTTCAGTTGAGGTCGATTCTTACCGAAATGTTTATTAACTTCCGTTTACTTTTGGTTATATGCGGCTATTCTCAAAATTCCATGTGTAGTCTGATCATGAGATCTTGTGCCCACCCATCAAAGCGGAGCAACTCTAGTGAAGTAACATTAAGATATTTTGTAATGTATCACAGTAAGCAGTTATTGACTCACAGTAAACTGTTGTCGCAGGCTCACAATGTCGGTCCCATTTTTAGTCCTAAGACATTGGAGTGTAGTCTTAGTTCCATTGTAAGCGCATCCAGCTTCTTCAGCAGTCTTCATGGCACGCTCTCTGGCAATTCCTGATTTAACTAAGGCCCATGGACTGTAGGCGTTACCACTCATACTTATAGCTTTGTGAAATAGTCCTTAAACATAAAAATATTGATTCATGAACTTATTATGGTATATATATGAATACATTAAGTATAATTATTTTAGCACTATTAAATATTGCAATAATAATGTTGTAAGGAGAATAAACAATCGGTAAAACTCAAGCTTTTCAATCACTAAGCTATAGAAGTATGTTTATTTCTTATTTCTAGCAGAGAGTTGAATCCTAGATTATGAGACTTCTTCTGGTTTAAAAACTGCAGGTTTCCAGCAACGACGAATATCTACGATGGAGAGATATCCTGATGAACACGTCCCCAGCGTGGAATCAAAACCTCTGTGAGTTGTACACGTAATAGCAGGAGGACTAGTGATCTCCTCCAGCGAAAAGATAAAACGAAGTATTTTTTAAAGAAGAAGGCTCAGGAGGTCTACCAGAAAATCTCCAAGAAAGAATTGCGACAGATCCATCTAAATGGGAAAGGATAATACGGAAGAACATTTTTGAGCAGTGAAATCGACCATTGGCAACTATAGTTACCCAGAGTCATACAATCCCAGACTCATAAAGGCTCTATCTTGAAAATAATACTTCCCTACCGTCTATTCATCGTTGAAAGCGAAATGGGTCCTTCCTGATATCTATTGTATATCACAATTTCGCAAGCTATTATTCCATAACTAAACAAAAGAAAGTAGTAAAAAAAACATCCAGGCCAGTAGAGAAGAAATTCATGTCTGGTTCCTACGTGTTTCAACTCATTTTGAAATTTAATAAATTTAAAAAAAAAAATAAGACTAATTTGAATCGGATAGTGTCATTGAATGAGCAACCTGGATGACCCTTGAGGTGAGGCTAAAGAAAGCAGGACGATGATGCAAGAAGCGATTGCAAGAAAGGACGCAGCTTTTAATGTATGTATTGAAAAGACACCAGGTGATCAAGGACCCACGTACGTACATCAACAACGCACCCTGGTTACTAATGATTCTCTACCGCCCAAGTTTCGTACTATCATTGAGCTTTGTTCGGACCAGAGAGTATAGGGAATTGGTTAATTATCGTTGTAGTAAACAAATAATTGTAAAAGCATCTAAAACGGTTCATAAGTCGGAGTGTCCATTAGGGGGTTTTATGACGCAAGTTGCGCCATAAAAATTGTTGACGGGGTTATGAATTTTCGAACTTAGGGACAATAGGAAAACATGGAACAGACAGCAGGTTTAATTGTACATGATCTACGATTTTTCTAATTCTACCTTAGCTTGCTCTGTTTTTAAGAAAAGTGAGCAATAAAATATCTTGGGATAAGGAGGAGGGAGTAGGATCTTGCTCCATCGACCTTGGGAAGATGGGCACCCCAGTTCATAAGTAGTATAAACAAAATGTTTTAGTAGAACCTCGTCACAAGATCGCAGTTTCCTCTCATTCCTGTGCATCCCCTCTTCCCAAAAAAAATTTATTGCTCTCTTCTTCTTAAAAACGGTGTAAATAAAAGAAAACCAATAAAAAATTGTAGTTTAGTTTTCTTTCATTCCTTCGTTAGAAAGTCCTCTTAAATTGAAACCTCACAAAACTACGACTCTCTCCAAACATCCATAATCCCGTAACAATTTTTCCTGTCAAAACTTTTTTATTATATCACAGGAACATAAATTAACTGTTAATTTCACTGTCATTTTCTCTTTTGTCGTGGTACTGACAATCAGCAGATGTGTTGTGATAATGAAGATTGGTATTAAAGGCATGAGGAAGGATGGCACTCAGCAGCACCTCTTCCTGGTCACTATTTACTTCTTTGATTTAGGTGACGAGATCTCTCATCCAGCTCCTTTTTAGTCTCCTTCTTATCGTTTATAAGTCTGTTTGTGTGTCCGTGTAGTTTGAGATGAAAACGAGAGTAGAGAGTACGTATGTGTTGGTCTGTAGTTGGTTGTCGTAAGTTCTTATGTAAAGTTTTGTTGTTAACGTACCGAAGAGCTGTTATAAGTCGTAAAATTGTGGATTGAAATGACTGTAGTTTTTGTAAGGGCGTCTTTTTTGCCGAACCGTAAATCTGAGAGGCGTATGTCCAGATGGGTTTGAGTAGGAAGTGTATTGGATTTAGTTTTTGTCAAACTTCCAATTTCGATTTAGTATTAAATACTCCCTCAAAAATTTAAATGGCACAACTTGGAATCCTCTTTTGGTCATCCCTGATAGATCATATTTTTGGTTCAATTATTTATCACAGTTGGTCAGGAAAAAAAATTTTTACTAAGACATCTTGACACAGTTCTAGAGTTTGTAATTCTAATAAAAGAAAAGTTTCAATTATTATCATATGATGGGTTATTCAAAAGATAAACTAGAAAATAGATACATTTTCTATCATTGAGTGTTGAATTTGCATCACTAAGTATTGGTAACGTAAGCTCTTATAAACTAAATATGAAATCAAAATATAATAAATAAATAAATTTTAAAATGTGAATAAAACTTATGTTGCATAATATAAATTAAAATATAAATGTACTGTATGGTGTAGCGGATCCAGGTCTTAATTTTGATGGGGTCTTTTTTTAATAATTTTAATAACTGTTATTACTATGGAAGGTACAAAAAAACTTATATGAAATGATGTTTATGTGGATTTTTAGGGAAAAAAGTTTTTTTACTTTCCATTTAAACAGTTTATGTGAAACTTTTTAGGAAAAAGTTCTTATAATAAAAGTTCTAAGGAACCTTTTTTATAATAGAGTTCCAGCTATATAGTAAAATTTTAATTTGTAGTTATTCAAGTTGTGAAAAAAGATTCGGTAAATGAAAAATAAGCAGTAGGTGCCATTAGAATAGAATTATAATTTGTCTTCAATGAATTGCACATGATTCTATTGTGTCGTTATTTTGAGTAGTTGTGAATGAGTCATTTTCAAGATCGAATATTTAGCGAAATCGATAGTACTCTTAAGTAAGTTTTTATAAAATAAAAGTTCTGTGAAAATTTGAAAGGGAAGAAGTTCTGGTTTCAAAAGAACTGAAAACTGTCGAGAATAAAAATTCCTGATATCGAAATTTTGACATTTTTTTTTCGTTATGAGCCCTGCTATTCATTGCTGAATAATAAATAATATTGCTTAGTTACTGTTATTTTATTACCGTTTACTTTATTAATTTGTAACTATTACTTTATATCAGTATAATGAACCCCAAGTAATTTCCAATCAATAATTAGTTTGTTATGATAGAGATAATAAGTTGTTGTTTTTTTTTTATGCTAGTACTTCACTGACGATCAAAATCAAATTTGTTGAGACGAATTTCTTGAGTAATGACATACCTTATGTAAGACAAAGAGATATGAATGTCAAGAAGAGTCATCAACTATCGGTCACTGGTATTAAACATTCCAGTTCACTGTCAAGGGCATGAAACTACTTTCACTGTCGCTAGTCCATCAATCATTTCAGGTCGATAGTAACTAGCCATTCGATCAATCAAAGTGTATAATGTAAAAATAAATAACATGCAACAGTAGTTGCGTAAGTATAATTTTAGAGCCTCTTGCAGCCAAATTTTGAGAACTCTTGAACTTCTTCCTTAAAACATTTTATGACGCGTTATACATAATAGGGTAAGTTCATAAACTCAGCGCTCATTTCATTGATAAATTTCGTCTCTGCAAGTTCCTGTACAGTTGTTCTAGGATTTTCTTCGAAAGCTCGCAGAACATTGTCTTCAAATTAATATGTCCTTTCATGACCATTATTGTCTTTCAATACTAAAACCTCCCTCTCGATTTTTTTTAAACCATCTTCGAATACGACAGCTATTTGTACTGAGTCTAGGAACAACCTGATCAAAAAAAATATTTAGGCAAATAATTGGAATTAACTATTTATTCATTTTAATTTGTCACTAGAAAGGTAATGTTACTTCAGATGTATAATTGTTGGGAAATAATAAACCATTGTAAAATAATTTACAACCGTTAACACGGTCTGTTCCATATTTTTCTCTTGTTCCTCCGTTTGAAAGGTCTTGCAAATTGAAAAGAACACTATAAAAGAAATATGGTTCTTGCCAAAAATTCATAGACTTAACAAAATTTACTCCTTTCAAAAATTCAAAACGTGACTCCCTCAACAAATTTTGATGTCAGAAGTTCCCCATGGCACTCCCCTCCCCCTTCTGGGCACACCTGCTTTATTTCTCATATTTATTAAGTTATTATAATCCTCCTAGATGGGTCATCGGCTTCACTGAGCCGAAGTTGCCTTGGCCTTATTTAAGCCTACGACATTACTACCTTATCAAGTACTGAATCCAAGACCCTTATGGATACAATAATTTAAAAAAAAACAGATTTTCCTTTGGCTGTTTAACATTGCATTAGGCTGACAGACATCAATGGATATTTAGTGTTTTAAAATAAAATAAATGATACGAAATTAATTTCATTGACCAAAATACGCTCCACTACTCACGATACATTTCTGCCAAACTTTTGGCAACCATTAGAATACCTCTAGAATGTGCAATCTTTATTATTATACAATTCTGAAAATAAAATTTCTAGCGAATTTTGCCCGATAAAACATTATTATTAAAAAACAAAGTGGCACAGATGTCTAAGAAAATAGTAGTTTTTTTTTTTTTTTTTTTTTTTTTTTTTTTTTTTTTTTTTTTTTTTTTTTTTTTGGTCCTTCCCTTCCTCGCCGTTAAGGCTATACGGGATTTTCCCGGGCCAGGGAGTGTGGGCGGGGATTTAAAAGACTCCCTCGGCACCGGGACGAAGAAAATAGTAGTTAGTAAGCAATAAATCTGGACACCATGGCAGAAGTTTTTTTTTTATTTTTTATTTTTGTTGATGGTTGATGCTTACTGAGAGTTTCCCTGCAAGTTCCAGTGCAAGTACAGGTGTTCTGTCTGGGATTTTCTTCGAAAGCTCGCAGAACATGTCTTCAAAGTAAGTCCTTTCACGGCCATCGTTGCCTTCAAGACTAAAACCTCCCTCTCGAATTGCTTTAAACCATCTTTGAATGGTGCACTCACTGACATTGATGTCGCGTCGGACTTAATTAATGTTTCTGTTTATTTGTGCATAACGTGTGAAGCGAAAATCATTCTTTTAAATCTCGCTAAGACTTAAGATTTGTAAAATGCTACAGAAGATAAAAAATATTTTTGTTTGGAAAAGGGTTAATAAGTGTTCACACTCACACAAAATAATAATCCCATAAATATAAACGGATTGTGAAATCAAGGATTGATGTAAAAAAAAAAAACATGAAATTCTGTATTATTTTTTGAAGAACCCAATCGCTTTAGATTTATTTATTTTAAATCTTAAGTTGTTTCATTCCTTTGGAATTCAGTTAAGGTGTATTTCTATTGTATATATGTCCTTGGTTCGCCTGCCATATCATCAGGAAGACATCATCATCAAGAAAGACAGCTTTCGTGCTGATGTTAATTAAACTTATCTCATTCCAATATCAAAGCTCTAGGCGGCTGGAGAGGCGTGATTGAAATAAGATGTTAGGGCTATCAAGATCATTGGAAGCCATTAACAGTGCTTGAACAAAGTCATCACTCACTACAGGATGTTAACCAGCATGCTTAATTAACTAGTTCTATTATATGTAAAAAAAAAAATCTAACTTCTTTCATTGATATTGGTGAAGATATTGTTGACGGTAGAATGAATTTTGCAAGTTTGAGGAGGAGGAGGGTGTAGTCATACATAATTTAACATGCTAAAAAGACCCTTTATTTTATCGTGTTTTGACGTTCAAGTCTAATTTTAGGCGTCATCAGGATTTAGTACAAAAACAAGATATTTACAAACACTATACAAGAAAACAGAAAGATACAAATATATATATATATATATATATATATATATATATATATATATATATATATACCCTTATACATATATATATATAATATACAGGGTGTATCAGAGTTGATTGGCCAAACTGCAAAAATGAACTAAGGACTTCAAAACAAGAAAAAAATTTCCTCTGAAGGTATGTCCGCAAACGCTTTGTTTAAGAGATATTCACATCTAAAGATTTTCGTTGTTATGAATTATTTACGTTATATGAAATAAATACAACCTATTTATTTGTTCTAACTACTTTATTAATTAAATTTAGACATTAACAGTCATATTAAATGTTGTTCAAAGTGATTTCCTTGTGCATTAAGACAGGCTCGGCATCTTTCTTCAACAGCAGCAGTGGCAGAACGGCACTTGATATGTGTTATTGTTTTACAAGATTCAATTATCCTTCTTCGTAAGGAATTAAGGTCATTGACTTGACTTGACAGCGATTCCAACAAGGCATAAAAATCCTACCCATACCTCACAGACTTTATAACATCATCTAACTAAAGTAAATGATTGGTGCAAACTCTGGAAAATTCGACTCAACCAAGACAAATCACAACATATTACTTTTGCTCTTCGACATGAAATTTGCCCTTGACAAAGTCCAAATTCCTCAGACAGATAAAGTTCAATATCTAGGACTGACATTCGATAGAAGAATGACATGAGGCCCACATATCAAGAACCAAACAAAAACACTAAACCAAAGAATATGACTGCTAGCTATATTCACTCCTTTCTAGACGTTCGAAATTATTCAAAAATTGCTACACAGATATACGGGACTGCCAAAAAGACTCACATACGTAAATTGCAGACTTTTCAATTAAAAACTTTCAGGACTATAACCAAAACTCTCTGGTACCTAAGTAACATTACTTTAGATAAAGACTTAGAGATGGCAACAGTAAGCGACCACATACGAACATACTACAAAAGAATTCACCATGAGTTGAACATACCAACGCACTGATTCAAGGCATGGCCACAACCAACATGTCTGATAGCATCCGTAGGAGGCTCAAAAGAAGCTGGAAGAGAGATCTCCTCCACTAACTATAAATAAGTTAGGAAAGGACGCCGCGAGGCACTTTCCCTCACGCCTCCCAACGTCTTCCTCCATACTCTTCTTCCCCACAGTACACTCGCAGTTTATTGGTTAGGGTTAGGGACACCTTTAGGTGTGAGTTGAAAAAAGATGTTATAAAAAAAAATTTTTAAAAGTTAGTACACCAAAGTTTTCATCATCGACAGGTTTCATTGCATTTTAAGAATATAAATGGACCATTACAACAGAACTGTGACTATGACGTTACCTTTACTGAGAGGAGAAACAAGATGGTAGTTCACGCTGGCACCTCCAGCACTCTCCCCCATTATCGTCACCTTCTTGGGGTGTCCTCCGAAGACCGCTATATTCTCCCTCACCCAGCTTAGAGCCAACTGCTGGTCCTTCAGGCCCATGTTTCCAGGGAGGTCTTCGTCTTCGAAGCTCAAGAAACCTAGAATATCGTTCCGTTTTTAATATCTTGAGGAATATATTCAATCTATGGAAAAAATTATATATTAGTTATATAATAGCTTACCGAAAGGTCCCAACCTATAGTTGACCATAACGACGACTATCTTCTCGTCCATGAGGTACTCTGGTCCATGAAGAGTCTGTCCTTGGCCAAACTCGAAGGCCCCGCCGTGGAAGTGGACCACAACAGGCAGTAAGTTGCTGAATAGTATCTGAATTAAAATAATTTTATTCAGTAAATAGTTCTTTTTTAACATTACATTCCTGCATTTTCACTAACAGAAAATCTTTTTATTGATGCAAGAGAATTAAAAATTCTTCTCAAAAACGGTCTAACGATTTCCATTAAATTAATTATACAGAGTGTCTCGTAAATAAATATTTAAAGAGGTGATAGAGGACCTCAAAAGCTAAAAAAAAGTTTATATAAATAATGGGCCAATCTTCAGCAGAAAAGTTGGAAATCCAAGTTTCAGGTTTTTTTAAAGTCACGTTTTTTTGTGGAACAGGAACCTATACCATAAAAAAAAATTAATTTAGATAATAAACAATTCCTTCACAGTAAACTACATAAAATTTCTTTTAAATAAAAGTAGAGTTCGTTAGTTTGTAGAGTTAAAACCATTCAGCGTTTGATAAAGTCTGGCATCCGGGACTGATGTACAAACTCCGTGAATTCCTACCACCTACATACTTCCTCATTATACGTTCCTACCTTACTGACAGATACTTCAAAGTCAATCATAACAATGCTTATTCATCTCTTTTTACTCAGTCTGCCGGTGTTCCTCAAGGTAGTATCCTAGGTCCTATCCTTTACACAGTTTATACAGCTGACATCCCAACCCAATCCAACACTGTCATCACCACCTATGCCGATGACACGTGTATCCTATCAGTTAATAACGATCCTTTAATTGCATCCCAAACTCTTCAATCACATATCACAAGCCTTGAAGAATGGTGTAAAAATTGGAGAATAAAAATAAATTCCAACAAATCTCATCAATTCACTTTTAGCCTCCGTCGTAAGCCTATGACCTCTTGTCCTACAGTATCCTTCAATAATACTCCACTTATTCCTGTTGAGCAAATCCGCTACTTAGGACTCCACCTTGACAAACGACTCACTTGGAACCCCCATACCAGACTGAAACGACTAGAAACCGCCCGACGTTTTCGACTACTGCAGCACTTACTAGACAAACGATCTAAGCTTTCAATCAATTATAAACGACTCGTATATATGACAATAATAAGACCTATTTGGACTTACGGAATTGAGCTTTGGGGCTCCACTAAACCATCGAATTCCTCTCGTATCCAATCCTTACAATCCAAAATCCTTCGTAAAATCCTCAACGCTCCTTACTTTGTCACAAATAAAATCATCCATAAAGACCTTAATGTTCCATATGTTTCCGATCTGGCCCAATCCAGATACCTTTCCTTCCATAACAAACTGCAGAATCATCCGAATCCTCTCGTTTCAAACCTTGCTTCCTCCTCGATCCCTGATAACCCTCCGAGGCGTCTGAAAAGAAGATGGCCTCGGGATCTTCTAATATAGAACTTTAATTTGAGTTCTACCAATGGGTAGTTTCTCTTCATGTTGTACATGCCATGTTACAAATTTCTCATTTACTTATTGTATTCTCTATGTAATACAGTTGTAAATTCCATTGAAATAATAAAAAAAAAAAAAAAAAAAAAAAAACCATTCAAACAGAATTTTTGAGCAGCCAAACTAAGCTAAGTTCTATTTTTTTAAAAATCATAAATTATTCGCGACTTTTTTTTGTTACCCACAATCTATACTACAGTTAAACCACTTTTAGAGAAACTTCCTTGTTTAATATGCTTTAAGTCCATATTGATTTGGATAAGGGTTAATTAGGAAATAAGTAGAGATTCATTTCAACTTGTGTAAAAAAAGGATCTGATTTGATATCGATGTACTTTTTGATACCGAATAATTTCAAATATACGAAACTATTAATGCAGATCCGACTTTCGAGAGACTATATGATCAAGATTTCTGTTAATAATTTAATTGTTAAAATTACTCCACAACTTGAGTGCAAAATGCGCAACACTAAAGAAAACGAAACACTTCATTATATATTACTTAACTGCCCAATTTACAGTAGTTTAAGGTTAAGAATTTACCAGGGCATGGGAAATATTGATGGGATAGAAATATTTAAGCCAACCAGTGCAGAAGATATGAGAAAATAATATTTTTTTATCTCAATTATATCAAATTATAGGGAATTGGTAGATTAATCTGGAATATTGTCTTCTGCATATTATGGCAAAAATTCCATATTGTACATCGGCATGAAATCTGTTCGGGTATTTTTCTTGTTTGCTCTTTTAGGTATAGGGGTAATCTTTAATCTAATTTTAAAACATAGTTTAATATCAATATTTTTAAAAAATGTGTAGTTATTGTCTTATGTGTATTTATTTATGAATATTGTTGACAATTTTAGATTTTATATTAATTTGATAATTGGAACTTTTTTAACTGTCTGACCTTTACCGAATATGATTTTTAATTTATGCTTAGGAGTATTGTAATATATATTATGTAGTATAAAAATATAAGTATGTATTTTCATTAAGATAATAATGTTTGTTATTTTGTGATAGACTCCATTTATATAGGGTTCTTCACTTAAAAGATTGATTGATATCGAATCACCTAAAGGTGCCTGTGTTTTCTGCGAAAATGACTAATTTTGAAACATCAATAATTTTAACTTTTTTTTTAATAAATAAAAAGTGTATTTATGCTAATATATACCACATTATGAGGGAGGGAGGCATTTAAAGCTTTACAATAATTTATAGGTTACTTTTTTGCCAAAAACAAGGGCACTTATAGGTGTCCGAATAAAAATTCACATCAGTTTTTAACACAATTTGAGGTGAATCTCAAGATTTTACCAAAAAATCCTCAACTTAATTAATATTGATTTAAAGCTATTAAGCCCAAAGATTTTCATAAAATTGGGGTACCTGCAGTATTGTTTGAGGGGGATAAAAAAAAAAAAAAAAAAAAAACACTTTAAACTTGAACAACCGCCAAAAAAAAAAAAACTCCCGCCCTAGTATCCAGATTTCTTGTTTACTAACTTCTATTTTCTTAGACATCTGCACCATTTAAAAAAAAAAATAATATCATCAAAATTCGCTAGAAAATTCATTTTCAGAATTGTCTAATAATAAAGATTAAATATTCTAGAGGTATTATAAAGGTTACCAAAAGTTTGGCAGAAATATATCGTGAGTAGTGGAGAGTATTTTCGTCAATGAAAATAAAGTTCAGAGGTAGTTGTATGTTATTGGCTAACTATTAAACTAGAGCACTAGCGGATCCAGGATTTAATTTGGGGGGGGGGCTTCAGCCCGAATTATTTTTTTTTCAAATATATATCGATAATTAATTTTACTTTATAATTAATAATACTGGGGGGGGCTTCAGCCCGAATGATTTTTTTTTCAAATATATATCGATGATTAATTTTACTTTATAATTAATAATACTTTAAGAGATAGTTTTTGATATTTTTTTCTATAAAACACAGTTATATTTTACCATTTTGGTGGGGGAGGAGGGGGACGATTCAGCCCGAAAGCCGCATTCTCCCTCCCCCCTTTCTCCTCCCCGTAGATCCGCCTGTGAACTAGAGGAATATTTCCCAATGGGATAAGCTGGTTACTTATTAAGTAAGTTGTTATCTTAACAGTCGTAGTAATGTATAAAGCTACACTAATTGTGTTAATTGAATATATTATCTTGATAATGTTACTTCGATTATACGAATAATATTTTGTAGATGCCACTTATGAATCAGGAAGATAGCTATCTAATGTGAGATTTCTTCTTGGGATATAATATTATAATATAATTGTTTCCTTAATATTGTACAATATTTTTCTTCAACCAAAGAAGGAACTAGAATACCAAATGACAGAAGGATTTTAGATTACAATGTGGATGTTGCAAGTCGTTGTACACAGTTCACACATTACTTCTGTTAGCGATGTTATCATGCATTAAGCTCAGAACTTTGTATGGAGATTGCAATCTGACATAGGCGTTCCATTAAAGTTTCCTGGAGTCAAGATTACTATTCGTGTAGACCTTTAGTGTTGCTTCAGCAGTTAATGTCCTCGAGTTAAGAATTATTTAAATAAATTTATACCTATGAAGTTTAAATTTTAAATACTTTGAAAGGAATAAATGTGAATTTTATTCTGGGACATTTGGGACAGATCTAAGAATGAATAAAAATGAAAAATATTATGTACGTTCGTCTGGTACCAAATATTATTCGAGAAATAGTTACAAAATTACAAAGCCATGTAATGAAAAATTAAAATAAAAGACAACTTTCAAAAATATATGTTTCAATGTTTTTGTCTAACAATATTCATATCGATAATAAAATTCGAATTTTCGAAAACGATATGTTTTCGAGCAAAAAAGTACATATGTCTCAATATCTTAAATCTTTCAAAAGATTTGGAATCTAAATATAGTACAACAATATTAATATAACATAGAATTGAAGCTTTAGTGTTTTTTTAATGAAAAATTAAACAACAAAAAAAATTAAATAAAAGAATGAAAGTAAATTAATATGCAATGAATTACTACATCTTCCCCCCCCCCCAAAAAAAAATACATTTACTATTAAAGACTTATTATTAAGAAGAAGAGAGAAATTAATTAAATCACTTAATTTAAAAAAAAAAGAAAATCATAATGAAATTACTATTGATTAAACGCTATAAAATAAAATTCATATTTACATATAAAAAATATGAAAAAAAATACATCAATATTTATTAGGCATTGTGTTTATTAAAAATATCAATTCATTTTGTATCAATAATTGTAAAATATATCGAAATTTCTATAAAAATATCGATATATTCGCCTTCGATGTTATTAAACTTTGAAAGGACGAAAACCGGGTTAACATAGAATTGAAGCTTTAGTTTTTTAACTGAAAATTAAACAAAAAAAATTAATTAAAAGGATGGAAGTCAGTTAATCAATATGCAATGAATAACTAACCCCCCCTTCCAAAAAAATACATTAACCATTAAAAAGACTTATTATTAAGAAACAGAGAGAAATTAATTAAATCGCTTAGTTTAAAAAAAGAGAGAATCATATTTACATATAAAAAATATGAAAAAAAAATATATCAATATTTCTCAGGCATTATGTTTATTAAAAATATTGATTCATACAGTATCAATAGTTACCAAATATATCGAAATTTCTATAAAAATATCGATATTTTTGGCTTCGATGTTATTAAACTTTAAAAGGTGGGAAACAGGATTAACAGAGATTTAAAGCTTTAGTTTTTTAACTGAAAATTAAACAAAAATAATTAATTAAAATAATGGAAGTAAATCAATCTACAATGAATTAATAACCTCCCCACTCCAAAAAAATACATTTATTATTAAAAAGACTTATTATTAAGAAACAGAGAGAAATTAATTAAATCCCTTAATTAAAAAAATAAAGAAACTTATAAATAAATTCCTACTGATTAAACGCTATAAAATAAAATTCATATGTATATCTAAAAATACATCAATATTTCTCAGGCATTGTGTTTATTAAAAATATCATTTTATGTGATAACTATAAGGTAGCTTTCTTAAAGATATTTTTTATTCTTTTTTTTTTTTTTTGTTCATTATTATTATAAATTTTGTTTTGGAAAAACTATTAGTTCTCGATAGTCAAAATTTAATATCGCTTTATTGTTATGTCGAAATAAAGAATATCTGAATTTGGTATTTATTTATTAAAATCCTATGGGTGCTTGTAGTAGCAAAATATTAAGCATAACATCTCACTACCCCGAGCAAAGCTCTTAATCATCTGTTCTGGATTTTTTGATTTGTTTTGACTTTTCAATCCAATGCTCAACTTTCGTGAGCTTCTACTCTTCTAATTAAATTAAAGTGTCCTCGATCCACCACGTCTTTTCTCACGGAATTAACCAAGATTTTTTAGTAAGCTATCCGGAATACCACAGCTGCTTCATAGCGAGTCGATTTTTATGCTGTGGCAATGAAAGTCCCCATGGCCTGAGAGAAATTTCGTTATATTTATATTTTCCTCAAATCCTTCCTTACCTGCAAGGAAACTCGCAGCCTCTAGTAAGATTGGTTGAACCTTCTAACTGGTTTTCTCCAAAAATATGATCTAGATAGTTCATTATACAGTTATCCATGAGGATAATAGTCTTCTCTTGACTCGACTACGATACGCTTTAAAGTTGGTTCCTGAGGTTTATTTGAAATCAGCGCGTTCAAATTATTCACTTTTATATAATATATATATTTATATAATGGATATTTATATAATAATTATAATACTTACATCTGGAGTGTATACACTGAGATACAGGCAGTCCTCGCTGCCTAAAACCCTTCCAGGAATGATGAGGTAGTCATACTGCAGACATTCCTGTCCAGGATTTAAAGCGTCCCTGATTCCTTCCCATCTATCAGGAGATTCTGGATCCTGTGGAGGTAATATAATAATGATCATCTAAGTTATGTATCAAGTAACCAGGATACTTGGATAAGTGGTTCAAGGATCTGTCTAGTTTGTCCTTCCAGCAGCAAGTTTATAAGGGAAAGATCAAACAGGAAAGGTTGCTTGATAAAAGTTATGCCACTGAAAATGCATAAAAAAAAAAAAAAAGTTTAGTGATGATTCTTCTTTTAGTCAAATAGCCACAACACAATTAAATAACTACCAAATTATAATACTGTAAAAATAATATACTAACAAAAATGCAAAAACACCGACAATTTCGATGATATCGATATAGACAGGAATGTGTTTAAAAACGTTCAGAATTTTAGGTATCTAGGATCTATGATAACTAGAAAAAACGAAATTGAAGTGGAGATTAAGGTTAGGCTGAAGGCGGGAAATGCTTGTTATTTTTCTTTGTCAAAATTACTTAGTTCTCACGTCCTGTCCAGAAAATTAAAAGTTAGAATTTAAAAAACCATTATCCTACCTACGGCTCTTAATGGATACAAAACGTGGCCCGCTTACATTAAGGGATGAGCAACGTCTTAAAGTTTTTGAAAATAAAGTATTGCGCGGAATATTCGGACCGAAAAAGGACGAGTCAACCGGAGAATTTACACAACGCTGAATTGCGTGAACTTTATCTGGTTAATAAAAATTGAGGTGATTAAGTTGAGGCGAATAAAATGGGCATGTAAAATCTTTGGGCTTAGTAACGAAAAGATTCCTAAAAAGTTAATATGCGCCGTACCGACCGGCAAGCATCCGAGGGGATTGGTGATATCAGCATCGAACCTTCGCGTTCGTTAAGCCTTATTATTATTATAAAAATAAAATAACTAAGAGAAAACTAATCATATAAAATTAAGTCTTCCAAAGATCAGTAAAAAAAAGATATGAGCAATTTTATTAATTTCAGATAAAAAAAAAATCAAATATTTACAACGCAATGGCTTGAGAATCATAAATAAAATTATTATAATTTTTTTCGCAAGTTTGATTCTACTTTAATTCCTGCTAGTCATTTTTATTGTAAATGTTTATTAGAACAATCAACAAGGTCTTTATTTTTTAAAATTATTTTTTATCAGTTCGAAGGTCCTTACTTATTTAATAATTTTCTTTCTATATTATTGTGAATGTTGTACAGATTATTATTTTTGTCCTCTAATTATTTATTAAAACTACTATTTTTAAAATAATCTTACACAAATCTACCAAACAGTAGATGTTGGTAAAATCCATATAAGGAATAAAAACATTAAATGGCGCTTAATTTTCTTTTAACTCAATCCGCCCTTGATCGGAACACAATAAAATAATAATAGAAACTTCATAAATATAAAATCATTACAGTAAAATAAAAAGGAAAAGAAGTACAGATCCGTAGGTGTAACTCCTTGAAATATTTAGTTCTAGAACTTGATAGGTCCCTAAATTTCACCCAACATATTAATAACAAATGCAATAAAGCAAAAACCACGATCAGCAAAACGTCACCACATTTCAATAGATATTGACAATTGACTATAAAAAATAAACTGATTCTATATATAACAGCAATCCACCCTTTAATCACTTATTCTGCCCCAGTATGGAATTACACATGCCAGACTAATTACAAAAAACTTAAAGTGATTCAAACTATATGTATAAGAATCATAAACAATTATCCAAGTTATACCAAAGTAGCATACTATCAGAGTTACAGATTCCCTCAATAAAACAATATATTTATTTTAAAACACAGAGATTTTTCGAGCTAATACCAACGTTTGAAAACCCTATGATCCGAATAATGCATGATGTAATGTATATAAAGGAATAAAGCAAAGAATATCTAAAAATTATTCAATAGCGATAAATTGATTGTTAGTATTTCAACATTCTGAAAAAAGTACTAAGTAAATGAAATATACTATAATTTCCTCACCCTTAATTCATCTCTCTCTCCCCCCTCCTCATTTCTGTTTACGACTTTGACTGTCCCCTTTCATTCATACTACAATTGATAATGCGAGCGCGTTTGTATGTCAGGGACAAGCTTCTGTAGTACGGCATCTGTTTTTTAAAACGTGAGATGAAGTTATCGCGATACCCCTTCTGCTAATAATAATTTTTCTAAATATTTATATATTCTAATGTATCCAAGTAATGAAACATTTTCAAGTTTGATAATAACTATGATAACCTCTTTATCATAGATCGACATTAATGCAGTAAAAACAATCTAAATATTAATTAACTTCAGCGATGGAATATATCATCCCCAAAAGCTGATGGAACCACTGAGCCATCGATGATTCAGTCCATGAATAAAGATAAGTGCTATATTCAATTGTTTTATATTAATGATTAAGCGGACAACGACTATTAATAAAGATTCTAATAAGAACAAATCAATTATAATTATTACAACGTTTTGAACAATGAATAATATTTATAAAATATGTGGGTAATTGAATATAAGTTAAAAAATATCTGGTGTGTCCATTCACACGACTTTCCTACTTGTTTCAGAAAAGTTTTTATATGTTTACATATGTTCATGAAGAAACAAAAAAGAATTGAACTAGATATATTTTCCTGAAAATTGATCAAACTTAAGATTTAAGTACGATTTATTTAATAAACTAAAGCAATGTTAACCGGGTTAAGGTAGATCAGTGTAAAAAAAAAGCTGTATCATCGCTGATACGGGTTCGGTTCCGATGGTTTTTTTTTTTGCTTTGTTGGTAATTTAATTACCTTTCAAAAGTTTTATTATAAATTTAACCGTATGATATATACTTAGGGAGTTAGGCCCCATAACATTTTTCTTTTCTTTATAACTTTATTTCCTGAATTTTTTCGGGAATTTAGTTTATATACGAAAATTGAAAGAACAATGATTAGAACATTATAGGAAAGTTTCATCAAAATCGTTAGAGCCGTTTTTGCGCTACAGTCTATAGAAATACATGTTTTTCATTTATTGCGCGCAAGCAATTGCTAGTCAAAACCCTACAAAATAAAAAAAGAAGCAACAAAATCGGTTCAGTAGTTCCCGAGAAAATCTTGGCACAGAGAGACAGACCAATGGCTAAAAATGTTTTTCGGAATCAGGGGGCTCTAAAACGTATAGATCGAAAACCGCACGTCGGAAACTTGAACCAATTGCAATATTTTCCTTACCTAGTATAGGTAGGAAAGTAATAGCAGTGTTTACAATGTATCACTCACTGTCCAATATCGATAAATGAGTTGAGTAACTGTCTTAAGAATTTCCGATGTCATCAATGAGCTAAATGCTGAATTTCGGAACTTTCTCTATTTAAATGTAGTTATTTATATGTTCATACATTTAATATAAAATTAATCAAAAGTTCATAATTTAAGAAAAAAATATTATCAACAAAATATTCAAAAAAGATAATTTATTGCCTGATCACATTGTGACACAGAGCAAATCGTTTTCTTATTATTTTATATGTAGGTATACTTAATATCGTGTATGTGTTCTCGTGTGTGTTTGTAAAAATAAATTATTTACATTACCTTAAACCGACGGTTGCCCACTGGTGGTTTGGCAAATGGTATTCCTTCGAAGCCAACAAAAGATTTACCATTTCTGCTTTCCATCCATTTCCCACGCAAGGAGCCATATCTTGTAGCCACCTGAAAAAAATATGAATGACAACGTTATCTTTTATTTTTGATCAATGATCTCAGAAGAATATGACAAGTACCTAAATTCAACGGACCCGATGCTACCGATGAGCTCAGCGCTGAATTTTTGAAATTGTCATAATAAAGCTAATAAACACTAGCCGAGCTCCGTGATTTCACCAACTGTAATCTTTGGAGGTTTGGTGGAGACTGGAGACGTGGCTTGTTCCAATTTAGTGAGAAATACATATACGTGTGACGTATACCGCTGTCAACCACGATGCTACCTAACTTCTCTTAACTCAATCTTTATAAACAAAAATTTATAAAAGCTACATACATTTTATACTAAATATTTCTATTCAAAGACTACTTTGTGATATAAAAACAGGAAGATACTTCTTAGATTCTTTCTTCTGAGGTACTTCTTAGATTTCCTATAATAGTCAGCTGGTTATACTTGGCCAAATAATAACATTGACTACTCTGTAATCTTAGAACCAATTAATTAATAATAATAAAAAGTAGGGGTATCCAGTTGGACAGCTTGACCTGAAAAGGATTTTAAAGATGTATACAGGGTGTTCCTTAAATAGAGGGAAATATTTAAAAGATTGATAGTAAACATCTAGATCTAAAAAAAAATCTTATAAATAATAGCCCAATTTTCAGCAGAAAAGTAGGAAATTAAAGATTTGTGTTTTTTTAAGCGAGTTCACATTGAATTGGACGCGGTAACATGAAAAATATTGGATTTAAGTAATTAAACATTGCTACGTAGTAAACTATACAAAATTTACTTTAAATTAAAGTAGAGTTTGACAATGTTTAAACTATTTAAACATTTATTTAAGGGATATTGAACAGACGAACATAGCCGTTTACAAAAAAGTCATAAATTATTTGTGATTTTTTTTTTTTATTACTCTTCAACTGTACTACATTTACCCCACTTTTACTAAAACTTTCTCGTTTAATAAGCTCTAAATCTATATTAATTAAGTTGAGATTTATTTGTAAAAATTTTGAGATACACCTTAACTTGTGTAAAGAAATGATGTAATTTTCTATCGTAACCTAAAAGTACCCGTTTTCAACAAAAATAACTACAATTAACTGTTTCAAAGTTTTTTTTTTTTTTGCTTGTAATGGGATGTATTTTAATAAACATGATTGCTTAAAACGCATTTTATTTATAAAAATAAAAAAATTAAAAATAATGATTTTTCATGTAAGGTGGTTACAAAATTGTGTTTTCTTCCAGATTTCTGTCATAAGAATTAATGCGTATTTCTAAGTGACAAACTTCATATTTCTAGCCCTAATTTTTACGTTTACATGAAAATAATTGAAGCAATCAGAAGGTTTCTTTATTTTAAGCGTAAATTTTAGTAAAAAAAATTAAATTTGTCACTGATTAGTACATTTTATTTGCCTATGAGGAAGATCTGGGAGAAGAACACAATTTCATAATCACATTACGGAAAAAATATGTTTAAAAACTTTATTTTTATAAGCTTTTTTAATTTTATTTTTATTCATTGATATTTACAACTGTATTATAATAAAAAAAAAAAATACATCTAGTAAATGTGCACTTAGAGATATAATAACATGATATCGCTTGTTGAGAAACTACTCACTCATTGAACTCAAATTTTATAAGTAAAATGTGTTTTTAGGAAATCATGTTTATTACAATAAATCTCATATCACAAAAACACAAGAAATGAAAGCTTCGTAACAATTAATTGTAGTCATTTTTGCTGAAAAAGCCAGTACTTTTAGATGACTGGATAGTAAATTCATTTCTTTACACAACTTGAGGTGAATCTCAAAATTTGCTCTTATAAACCTCACCTTAATTTATATGGAATTAAAGCTTATTAAACGAGGAGGTTTTCGTAAATGTGGGGTGAATTTAGTACAGTTGAAGAGTGATAAAAAAAAATACGAATAATTTATGACTTTTTTTTAAACAAAACTTAGCTCTGTTTGTCTGCTCAATATTCCTCTCAAATTGTTTTAACAATGACAAACTCTACTTTATTTTAAAGTACATTTTGTCTAGTTTAGTAAGGAACAATTTTTAGTTACATAAATTAAATATTTTTTTAAGTTATCGCTTCCTATTCAACAAAAAATACGACTCGCTTAAAAAACCACAAATCTTAAATTTCCTAATTTTCTTATGGAAATTGGGCAATTCTTTATATGAACTTTTTGTAGATCTTGATGTTTACTATCAACCTTTTAAATATTTTTCTCTACTTACGGAAAACTATGTGTATGTAAAATATTAGTTGCAGTATTATGGGGGCGCATACAAGGCCGAATATGTTTCCTTAAATGATAAAATCTACATCTACTTTAATCATAGTTCTTTTGAAAGTCTTTTTGTTAACATCCTCAACCTTCTTCAATAATGTTCCTGTCATCCTTGAAGAATACAAGAATAGAAATAGAAATATAACTTTATATTTTGGAACAATTTTTCTTAATCCCTAAGAGCTGTTTACAGATTTGTAATATATATTCTCTAAAAAAAATATATTGCCCACTAATAAGGATTTTTTTCTTAACAAGTGAATTTTAATGGAATCCTCATTAAACCAAAAACAAAATACTTTTTTCTGACTCTTCAACAGTAAAATTTCAAGCGTCTCTAAATCGGTAAACTTTAACGCCTAAAATTGCATTTTATTTTTAATTCATCAGTAGATTACCGCGCCATAAAACAAACAGGCAACATTATTTCTTCCTCATTCTTTTCATTTTAGCTAAAATTTTACGGCTCCTTAGATTGATGAATTTATTCGCCGTAAGTCGCAAATTTATTATTATAGACAGCGATGGGACATAAACGTCAGACTGTTCAAAAACCATTTATCAAAGTTTTATCTATCTTGTGGTGATACTCATTTTCGATAAATTTGGACGTCTTTACCGTACGGCCACCATTTTCGAAAGCAGCGACATTGGAATGACAGACTTGGCTTATTTTACTTAAAATTGCGTGAATTACACTTTCATAATTCACATTCAAAACTATAGGATAACTCCTCATATTAAAAAGATATAAAAAAAAAATAAGAAAATAGTGAAATAACCAGAGGGATACCCCATACTAACGGACCAACCCCGATTTTACAAATTATACTGTTCATTTAATTGTATTACTCGTTGCTCAAATTGTATACTATTGTATTGTGATTTACTTGTATTCTGTATTCCAGTTTGTATTTTTTTTTTTTTTTTTATCAACATAAAATAAACTGAACGAAACCACAGTTCGGACAAATTTTTAATTTCTTAAAAAATCTACATTATGCATCGCACCTTATTCCAATTTATATTATTATATAATTATAATTATTCTTATTGCCAATTTTTAACCATAATAAGGGAGAAATAATTTTGGGAATCAGAAGTGTGGTGTCTTCGTTACGATCCGTCCCGCGTTGTATATGTAAAATAAAATATTACACGGTCACTAAAAAAAGTTTTATATGATAGGGAGATAATAATTAAAAAACGAACAAATAATTTATACGCATATTTACAATAACTCCTATTAACAATATTTAGGAACTGGATAGTGATGAAGTATGGGAAAAATATCCATATATCCTTTAAATATATATATTTTTAAAATAAATCTATATAGTAATTTGATATATCGAAATATCAGAACTTGATATTTTAATTTTTAAAGAGTAGACGTAGATGTAAATATTAAAATATCAGTAAAAAACATCGATATTTCGTATTCCATGTTTTTAAACTTAAAAAGAAGGAAGGGGTTATTAGGTTTAAATTTACAATAGCTTCAATAGAAATTAATATATTGTTTGTCACAAAATAAAGAATAAATTTATTTATACTTATTAATTCAGTATTACTAAATATTACTAGAAACTAGATGAAAAATATGGTGGGGATAGAGAAAGAAGAAGAAACATTGTGGTATTACTTTTTTTTTAAATACTTTCAAATTGCCGATATCACGAAAGACGACTATGCGTTACCAAACACTCAAGAAAATGGAGGACATCGGTTAACTTGATACCGATTTTTCTCGTTAAAAAAAATATCGTTTTCAATAGTCAAATCGAATTATTGATGTATCGATATTTTATTTATTTATAACAATGGGGGGGCTCCTCAATCTCTTACGGATCATTTTAGCTCTTACACAATATTTATATGTGTAACATCAGATGAAATTTAACAATAAATTGAAAGTACAACATATTTAAAACATTAAAATTTATGTATTTGTTAGCAATACATCTATATAAATAATATCGGACAAAAATATTGATATATTCAAAAAGAAATTGATATACCCATATTTTTCCAACATCCCTAGAACCGGATAAATAGGAAATGATTGAATAGGAGAGGTTTAAAGAAGGGGAGGGGATTAGAGCGACAGGTGTAACAAGGGATGGAGTTTCTCGTATGAAACAAATGGGGAGGAAGAAGGAAAAATTACAAAAAAATAAATAATAAGACTTATATAAAATAATATAAAAAATAAATTTGAAGACTAAGAACGGGTATTTTACTGAGATAATAATCGAAAAAATTTCAAACTTATTTGAAATCCATATTTGTCAATCTTCAGTGAACTATGAAATTGGAATATGGAACGTTATTGAATTAAAAGTTATTTCAAAATTACAAAAAATAAATAAATAACTGTATCAATGCGACAGTCGGTAGCTGCTTCGACAATATATGCTATTAGTGCTAAGTGCACACCACACTCACTAGTCCCGAAACAGAGATCTACAATTATTTTAACCATCATGTTTTGTCGGGGCAACTACGAATTAGTGCTTGAAGACTAGAAAACTGTCAAGGAGACATGTAAATTATAAAGTATTTTGAAGAACAGCTTCTAAACATTCCATCAAATTGCGATTTTTTTTTTTTTTTAATGAAGGGCTAGTAATATACAGTTGTAAACGAATTGAAAGAACCAACTGAGTCAACAGTTGAAAATGATTCCTTTAAAACTAGAAACTGAGTTTAGTAGCAGTGACGCGGTTGAGAGAGTAGCGCAGGGATCACCTAGAATCCTGATTTTCCCCTCATAGTTGAACTGACAAGCCTGCCTCGGAATTCCCTCGCCTGATTGTAAATAGTGTATATTTGTATGTCAGTATTTTTTTTTTTTTTAATTTACTAACTTGAAGTTATTTTATTTTTATTTATTGTATATATTTTTGATAATTATTTAGTTGTTATTTTTCTTCTTTATATTTAATATTTTTTGTTCATATAGTGTGAATGTGGTCTTACCTCACTCAAATCAAATAAATAGGTTTCACGTTTTAGCCGCTTTAATAGACGCAAGGCTTCACGAATCTTAACAGTTTGATACCGTGGTTAAGTAAATGTGAAAAAGTCGCTGTTATATTTCAGGCATGTTACGACCATATACCACGGATCAAATCTTTTTTTTTTCTCTTAGAATATAAGTATATTATATCTGTTAAAATAATGATCTTAAAGATCTTGTGTTGTACATTTTTTTGTATTTTAACAAGGAACTAAATTTGAGGCTTTGCTTCTCTTTAACGATTTGGTATAGATTTAACAAATGTTTTTGAATTTCTTTTGAGATGTACTGTTCCACGGTTTCCAATGATTGTGATAATTATGCCATTCGAATTTGAAGTGCAACTCCCATTTGTAATGAAAAATGCTGTGTATTCGAAAGCATTTTGAGAAAGAGAGCTTAAACGCCAACACAGTCTTCATTTCAGTGGCATATAGACAACTAATGTCCGTTGCTGCAACTAAATACCTTATATCTATATATTATATATTAAACCATACCGGAATATTATTAGCAATAAAAGATATTTAATTATTTAAAATAAACAAAATTGTAAATACTATAGAGGAAGCTTTTACTATTTTGAAAATTATTCATTTAAGTCTTATCAGTTTTAGTGAGAATAACACTTTGCTGATAATAAATTTTATATTGATGTAACGAATTTAATTAAAATCTCTGAAGATATTTTCTAACGATCTTTGAAAAAAAAAAATCGATTATACAAGGCACCACTTATTTTTAATCGATTTTATAAAAATTAAAATTAAATAAAAAGATTAAATTTGACCTAAGCTGTATGCGATCACATAGAGACTATTTTATGAGACTTGGTCATTTGGACTCTGGGGACTTAAAAACGTTGATTTTTCTTGAAAACTCGATTTCAATTAATACTTTTGGTGGTAATACTTTTTCTCACTATATATATATATATATATATATATATATATATATATATATATATATATATATATATATATATATATATATGTTATATACAGGTTGTATATGATAGGGAGTAAGTAGAGGGAAATATTTAAAATGGTGACAGCGGACCTCAAGTGCTGAAAAAAAGTTTAAATTCACAATCGCCCGATTTTTAGCTGAAAAGTAGGAATTTAAAGGTTTTTATTTATTGTATATATTTTTTGATAGTTATTTAGTTGTTATTTTTCTTCAATATTTTTTGTTCATATAGTGTGAATGTGGTCTCATCTCACTCAAATCAAATAAATATATTTCAGAATTTTGTTTTTTGTTGAATAGGAAGCGATAACTAACTAAATAATATTAATTCAATTCAAATAATATTAATTCGTTAATTCAAGTAATTAACAAATGATCCACAGTAATATAGTATTGTTAAAACCATTTAAAGAGGACTCCTGAAAGGCTAAACTATACTAACTTCCTTTATAAAAAAATCATAAATTATTTACGATGTTTATTTATATCCCACCAACTATACTACAGATATCAACAAAAATGTGTTTTTTACTACGATCACTATTATAGGAATTGATTCTTATTTATAAGTGAAAAACTAAATCTTGAACTAATTGAATTAAAATAATTGGAGCAATCAGCTGTTTTCTTTATCTTAAACGTAAATTTTTCTACAAGAAACATTTATTTAATGACTTATAAATACGGATCAATTGCTGCAATAAAGATCTTAGTAAAAAAAAAAATGTATTTACAATAATTTATTATAGTCATTTTTTGATGAAGAAACGGGTACTTTTAGGTAACAGGATATAAAATTATATAATTTTTTTTACACAACTTGTGGTGAATCTCAAGTTTTGCCCTAATAAACCTCAACTTAATTAATATGGTCTTAAAGCTGATTGAACAAGGAAGTTTTTCTAAAAGTGGTTTCGGTGTATAGTTGGAGGATGATCGGGAATAATTTATGATTTTTAACTAAAATCCTAATTTTCTGATGAAAATCGGGCCATTGTTTGTTATATATTATTTGAATTAAATTAATATTATTTATTTAGTTATCACTTCCTATAAAAAAAATGGGACTTACTTAAAAAACCTCAAAACCTTAAATTCCTACTTTTCAGCTAAAAATCGGACGATTATAAATTTTAACCTTTTTCTTAGCACTTGAGGTCCGCTGTCACCATTTTAAGTATTTTTCTCTACTTACACCCTATCATATACACCCTGTATACATACATATATATATATATATATATATATATATATATATATATATATATATATATATATATATATATAGTGAGAGAAAGTATTGCCAACATAAAATCGAGTTTTCAAGAAAAATCGTTTTTTAAGTCTTCAGAGTCCAAATGACCAATTCTCAGAAAATAGTCTCTATGTGATTGCTTACAGCTTAGGTCAAATTTATTATTTTTATTTTTTTTAATTTTTATAAAATCGATTAAACATAAGTGCTGCTTTATATAATCGATTTTACACTTTTTTCAAAGATCGTCTAGAAAATAGCTTCACGGATTTTATTTAAATTCGTTACATCAATGTAAAATTTATAATCAGCAAAGTGTTATTATCACTAAAACTTTACAGGCTTAAATGAATAGTTTTCAAAATAGAGTATTTGCAATAATTAAATATCTTTTATTGATAGTAGTATTCCGGTATGGTTTAATATATAATATATAGATATAAGGTATTTAGTTGGAATAACGGGCATTCGTTGCCTAGATGCCACTGAAATGAAGAATGTGTTTGCGTTTAGGTTCTGTTTCTCAAAATGCTTTAGAATACAGAGTATTTTTCTTTACATGGGAGAGTTCGAATGACATAATTTTCGGAATCATTGGAGCGTGGAACAGTACATCTCAAAAGAAATTCAAAAACATTTGTTAAATCTATACCAAATCGTTAAAGAGAAGTAAAGCCTCAAATTTAGTTCTTTGTTAAAATACAAAAAAAAATATACAACACAAGAGTTTTATGATTATTATTTTAACAAATATAATATATATATATATTCTAAAAGAAAAAAAAAGTAATTTTATCCGTGGTATATGGCCGTAACATGCCTGAAATATAACAGCGACTTTCTCACAATAATTACTTAACCACGGTTCAAACTGTTTAGATTCGTGAAGCCTTACGTCTATTAGTGTCTAAAATGTGAAACCTATTTATTTGATTTGAGTGAGGTAAGACCACATTCACACTATATGAAGAAAAAATATTAAATAAAAATAACAACTAAATAATTATCAAAAAATATATACAATAAATAAAAATAAAATAACTTCAAGTTAAGTAAATTAAAAAAAAAACACAGACATACCAATATTATATACATATTTTTATTTAATTTTTTTAAAAGTGTATACTTATATTTTACTACTGTACACTATCTCTTAATGTATTATTATTCGTGTAATTACATTTAAAAGGAATCACTTAAACACCATTTCATATAGGTAGTAAGTTTCTTTCTATTTTTTCCAAAGTAATTATCGTTATTTTTATGAAAAAAAAACATTTCGGGTTGAAGCTCCCCTCCCCCAAAAAAATTAAATCCTGGACCCGCTAGTTCCATTGTACATAGTTTTAAGTGTTTCAAGTATTTTGTATAGATTTTTGTATTTTGTAAATAGTATGTTTAACTAATATTTTCTTTACCTTTTTCTCTTTTTTTTTTTTTTTTTCTTTTTTTTTACTTTTTATGTTTGTTTTTACTTAGGCCAGATGTAATATTTTAATTTTGTACTTTATTGTTATTCTAAAGGGGCTTCGTCCCAGAATAAAATTATTTTCTATTCTATGTATATATATATATATATATATATATATATATATATTTTTTTTTTTGTTCTTGAGGTCTAATATCAACCCTTTAAATATTTTCCTCTATTTATGGGACACGCTATATAACAAAATAAAATTTAAAATTTAAATAAATAAAAATATAAATGGACTTACTTGAGGCTCATCCAGTTCAGAGCAGAAGAAGAAACACAGGCAGAGAAGCAACTTGAACATGACTGCGTGCCGTCGTATCCGACTACAATTAAGGTCTTCGTCGCCCCACTCTACGGCGAGGTCCTACCAACCCTGGGACCGACCAGACTCTATAATATTTATTTTATAATATGTTATACATATACTACAGTAAAAATATTATGAGGCCCATAGAAGCAAAGGATCATTAGTAAAATAATCTAAGTTTCGAATAAACGATGGTTAAAGTTGAAGAACGTAAACCTATGACCTCATGTTCCACAGTATCCTTTAATAATACTACACTTATCCCTGTTGAACAAATTCGATACCTTGGACTTCACTTGGACAAACGTCTAACTTGGAATTCTCATACCAGACTGAAACGACAAGAAACCATTCGACGCTTCCGACTACTTCAACACTTACTAGACAAACGCTCTAAGCTTCCAGTGAATTACAAAAGACTCATATACATGACTACAATAAGACCTATTTGGACTTACGGAGTTGAGCTTTGGTGCTCCACTAAGCCATCGAATTCCTCTCGTATCCAATCCTTACAATCCAAAATCCTCAATGCTCCTTACTTTCACCAATAAAATAATCCATAATTACCTTAATGTTCCTCATGTTTCCGATTTGGCTCAATCTAGATACCAATCCTTCCATAATAAACTTCAGAACCATCCGAATCCTCTCGTCTCTAATCTTGCTTCCTCTTCTATCCCTGATAGCCCTCTGAGGCGTCTGAAAAGAAGATGGCCTCGAGATCTCTTATTGTAAATACATTTTTAGAGTGCTACCAGTGGGTAGTTTCTCCACAAGTGATTTCATGTTATTATTTTTTGTTATCAAATTTACTAAATGTATTTCATTTATTAATACAGTTGTCAATATCATGAATAAATAAAAAAAAAGTTGAAGATTTCTCTGTAACTTCATTAAACATTTAGGGTAGAATAGACACTGCAACAGTAGTAGACAGTTTTCAACTCATTATCACGTAATAAGCTTTGTACGTCTAAAAGAGATTTGAAGCTAGAATACTTAGGAAGGTAATGTCTCTAAACCTTATAGTCCGTGGTGCAGACCCCTTTTTATCGAATTATTAACATCCGACTGAAACTTTGTAAATAGTTTCATCTCATCATAACCTACAACTGTTTTATTTACGAAAACTCTTCGAATTGGGGTGTTTTCAATCTGGAGTTCGGCAAACTTTATCTATTTAATAGGGTACTAAAAACTCGTAAATACCCATTTAATACATTAATCGTAAGATATATTGAGCACAAAATCGAGAAAAATGATTGCCTTAAAAAATAGTGAGCCGTTTGGTCTATATAACCTCGTTATTTTGACATTTTGGGGACGTAAGTCACGCCTGAATGTTTTTGAAGCCCACATTTCTTCTCAATTTTATGCTTAAATTTTCTTACGGTTGAAGTGGAAAGCAAATGGGTATCCACGAGTTTTTAGCACCTAATTAAATAGACAAAATTTGCCAAACTCAAGATCGAAAACGACCCAATTCCAAGAGTTTTCATAAATAAAATAGTTATAGATTAGGATCGGATGAAACTATTTACAAAGTTTCAGGCGGAAGTTAATAATTCAATAAAGATGGGTCTGAACCACGGACTAATAGTTGATATCATTCCACAATGACCGATTGGCTGATTTTTAAATGGAAAAAGGCAAGATGTTTCTTTTAAGGAGCTGTCCTTATCACTTTTCTTTGGGAGACAAGTTTGAATTTTTGATTTATTCATCTGTATTTTCTTTTTACTAGTTTCAAAATGTGGATTATTTTAGTTTTTTTAATCATATAAAAAAAGTACCTCATTTTCAAGTAGGTATAAAGTTAGAATCTCTTTTCCACCTGCTTCAGGATGGGATGTACCGATTCCTGGTGGAAGTGTTTGGGCTAATAGGTTCATGTTGTAAGTGTGGTATAACACTGAAATGTTTATACTTTTCTGTCGCATTATCGGATACCATTGGGATATCCAAGTCCTTGGGTATCAAGTCATTCATCTCATTTTTGCAACGTTTTTGATTGGAAACATTAGCGGTTCCAGAATTTGTTTTTGGGGGTGGGAGGGGGGCTTCAGCCCGAAATTTTTTTTCTCATACGATCATAACGATAATTAATTTGAAAAAAAAATAAAAAAATTAATTACCTTTATAAAATGGTGTTTAAGTGGTTCTTGAAGTCCTATTAAATGTAATTACAAGAACAAGAATACTTTAAGAGATAGTTTTCAACATTTATTCCGTAAAACATGGTTATATTTTACCATTTTCGGAGGGAGGGGGGGCTTCAGCCTGAAAGCCCCTCCCCCGTAGATCCACCTGTGATTGGAAAGATTGAATTTCTATGATGTTAGAGATTTCCATAGTATTATGATTATGTCAATAGCATTAAATAGTTAAAACATCGAATTTGTTTTCTTTCCTCATTTCTTGATGTATTTTGTTTTTGTTTTTGTTTTTTTCTTGAATAATGTAGAACTGTAAAACTAGGAAAATATATAGTACTTTCTCACGCACTGATATCGACGCTACCGTCATCTTCAGTTAATGTAGCCAATAGAGTCTGCAATTTTTTGTTTTGTTTTTCTTGGCTATTATAAAAGCTTGAGAAAATTATTTAAATAAATTTATTGTATTTTGTTTAAAACTTTTCACTTGTTATTCCTTGACTATAGCTCAATATTTTTTTGACTTTTAAATTACCTTTCTAATATTATTTCTTACAGGATATTCATCGGTATTACCAGCCAAGGCCTTAATGATGCAAAATTCATAAGTTTCTCTTTGCATTATTTATAATGTTTTCTTCTTGGCCACGAGTCTTCTTAATAGAATATGAATTCGTTTCGGTTCAAATGACAATTATATGAACTCTTATTGCCAATTAATTATTATAATTCCCATTAATCTCTATAATTGGAACATTAATAAGGAAATGAATGAATATAGATTACACTTATTAGTTTTTTTCTGTCAGATACTTGGTCTCAGTTCTATCCGAGGAACTATGAGTGATCATACACCAATAACAGACTCGGAAATCATCGACGGTCTAAGTGTGAGGTACCTCAAGGTCTTCGGGCTATGGAAAGTCATCAACGATTACAGGACTACTGGGAAGAAGAACTTGATAATGAAATTACAAGTGGCGATAACACTCATGTACGTCGTGCCTTACATATCTTGTCAGTTACTGAGCTTTTTCGTCATTAACATGGACTTGCAGAAGGTCACCTTCATAACTCTGCATACTTTGGGAGATATCCAGATATGTTGTAAGGTTCTGGTGATTTGGTTCAGGTTGGATAGGCAGTGCAGGCTTGCAAATCTGATGAAGAAAGATTTCCTTCAATTGCCTGAACATAAGAAACCTGCTGCGAGAAAGATTTTCAAGAAGATTGCCTGGCAGTCTAATCTCCTGTGTATAGCCGCTCTGACAATAAACACAAGTTATTATATAGTATCTATAACGAACCCAGACACATCCGTAGACTACATACTCTACCATACAGGCAACATGTTCGAAGTCCCTCCTGGAAAAATGAAGATAATGGGGGGATGGTACCCTCTGCCAATAGACAGGTCACCGTATTATGAAATTATTTATGTTTATGAATCCTCTCTGTTTGTCTGGGTTGGGACGTTTCTTGCCGTTTACGTTTCACTCTTCTATCAGACTCTGATGTGTCTCTACGCTCAGTTTGCCGTCCTCGGTATCAAGGTGTCCACTCTGAATAGCGAAGATGAAGGAGAAAGGGATGGAAAAAAGCAGAAGAGTGATTCGGAAATGTATAAAGAACTGCACGCGATCATAAAATATCATCAGAAATTATTAAGGTATTTGAATATCAAATTTCTTTCATTGCATATATAAAAAAAAGATAATATCACAGATAAAGGATAATTATAGATAATATTCAGAACAGTAATTTTTAAGATTTGTATTGTTGCCGGCACGAGCGGATCCATGAATTAATTAAGGGGGGGGGGAGCTTCAGCCCAAAAAATTTTGTTTTCATATATATAACGAAAATTAATTTGAAAAAAGAAAGAAATAAACTAACTACCTACGTAACATAGTGTTTAAGTGATTCTTGAAGTCCTATTAAACGTAATTATACGAACAATAATACTTTAAGAGATAGTTTTTAATATTTTTTTTAAAACATGGTTATATTTTACCATTTTGGGAGGGGGGGAGGCTTCAGCCCGAAAGCTTTCCCCCGTAGATCCGCCCGTGGTTGCCGCCGTTTCAACCCTTCTTGTTGTTCATCATCAGTAGTCCGTGGTATAGAACCCTTTTTATCAAATTATTAACACACGCCTGTAACTTCGTGAATAGCTTCATCTCATCTTAACCTACAACTATTTTATTTACAAAAACTCTTCGAATTGAGTTGTATTCAATCTGGAGATCGGTAAAGTTTCTCTTTTTAATCAGGTTCTATAAACTCATAAATATCCACTTGCTTTCCACTTCAACCATAAGATAATTTTATCACAAAACCGAGGAAAAAAGTGGTCTACAAAAATATTGGACCGTCTGGCCTATATAACCTCGTTATTTTGACATTTTGGTAATATAGGTCACGCCAAACGGCTCAATATTTTCGATGGCCACATTTTTTCTCAATTTTGTGGTTAAATCATCTTACGGTTGAAGTGGAAATCAAATGGTTGTTCACGAGTCTTTAGCACCTTATTAAGTAGACAAACTTTGCAGAACTCCAGATTGAAAACACCCCAATTCCTAGGATTTTCGCTTGTTGTTGGTTACGATGAGATGAAGATATTGATGAAGTTTCAGGCAGATGTTAATAATTTGATAAAAAGAGGTCTGTACCACGGACTTCAGGGCTTAAACTTTTTTATAACATCAAAGATATATTACTATAATACAGATAATAGATAATAATAAATAGTGATAGATGATATGAAAATAATAACTAACTTTAACTGAAAATAATGCAGAATGATGTGAATACATGAGATAGACAAATGGAATACGTAATAAGCTATACAAATATTAAAATAATATACATAATCAATATAAATAAAATGCTATATTTAATATTCTTAACCATATTAACAGCAATGAAGGTGTCCAAAGTCTGGTACCTTGATGGAAAATAAGTGGGAGGTTCGAGAATAGGCTTTCCAGATATGCTTTTTAGATAGCAGAGATAATGAAACAAAATGGATGTTATCATATATTTCTGATGTTATAAAAAAAATTTTAGCTCTGATGATGACCCACTTGGGTCGAAACGTCGCTAACAATAAAAATCTTTAAATGATTGCATCCTCGCTACGTATGTATTACGCATATGTTGAACAGTCTACTAACTTCCTGCAATAATTTACAGAAGAGAATTTGTTGAGGAAATAAAAAGTTTAAACAGGATGTATAGATAAATCACTAAGGTCGTATTTTTTCATTCTGATTTAAAAAACAAATTAAAAATGTTTTTATTAATGTTTGACTGAGGAAATTAAATAGAATTTTAAGAATGGGAAATATTCAGTATATATTGTTTTTAAGAATGACAAATTGTACACTAGGTTAGAGTGAATTTTGTCTAGTTTCCTATGAAGCAATTGTCAATTACTTAAATTAAATATTTTTTTAGTTACTGCTTCTTATTCAACAAAATCATTACACTTAAAAAAAGGCAAAACTTAAATTTCCTACTTTTCTACAGATAGTCAGGCGATTGTTTATATAAAATTTTGTATAGCTCTTTTTTTTTTTTTAACTTGAGAAATATTACAATCTGTCTCAAAGGACATTGATAATAGTGTTCAGAGATCACATTCACACTCTATGTACAATAAATAAAAATAAATTAAACAGAAAAAAAATATATACAATTTTTTTTTTTAATGAAATTTACAACTGTATTACATGGAAAATACAACAAGTAAATGTGACATTGGTAACATGACATGTACAACATGAAGAAAAACTACCCATTGGTAGAACTCAAATTAAAGTTCTATATTAGAAGGTCCCGAGGCGATCTTCTTTTCAGACGCCTCGGAAGGTTATCAGGGATCGAGGAGGAAGCAAGGTTTGAAACGAGAGGTTTCGGATGGTTTGGCAGTTTGTTATGGAAGGATAGGTATCTGGATTGGGCCAAATCGGAAACATGTGGAACATTAAGGTCTTTATGGATGATTTTATTTGTGACAAAGTAAGGAACATGGAGGATTTTACGAAGGATTTTGGATTGTAAGGATTGGATACGAGAGGAATTCGATGGTTTAGTGAAGCCCCAAAGCTCAATTCCGTAAGTCCAAATAGGTCTTATTATTGTCATATATATGAGTCGTTTGTAATTGATTGAAAGCTTAGACCGTTTGTCTAGTAAGTGCTGCAGTAGTCGAAAACGTCGGGCGGTTTCTAGTCGTTTCAGTCTGGTATGGGTGTTCCAAGTAAAAAAGGAGATGTTTCTAATATATTTTATTTCACAATACTTGTGGATATACAATATTTTTTGTTGTTCCAATCTTCGTATAGATATAGAGATTATCTAGTTTTCCAACTCTAGAACACGCAACATATAATTGTCCATGCGAGAAGCAATTTGTCTCTAAATTTCCAAAAAAAAAATCACTAAATGTTAAACGCATTTTCTCTGCACCAAATTGTCCGATTTTAGTGATTTTTTAAAATAATCATTTTGTAGGAAATCAAGAAAGCTTTCAAATAATAATGGGTATAGTCAAACAAAAATTGTGTACTTTTTGAGTTATTCGGAAATATAGTTTTGAACCCATCGTAATCATTTTTTTCTTATTCTCTTTTCGGGGAAGAATTTAATATACATAAATTAAAAGGGCTTCAAAGAGAAGACTTTAGCCAAGTTTAATTGAAATATGTTGCAGCCGTTTTGGCGCTACAGTCTATAGCGACAAACGTTTTTCTTCCTCCTTTTCGAAACAGAAGGCCGGATTAATTAAATGTATATGAAAACACTCCTGAATAAGATGGAAACGGTAAATCAAAATTTCAAAGCAATTTTCAACAAACAAACTATTACGTTTATATATATAGCGATAATTACTTTCGAAGAAAAAGAAAGAAACTAACTACCTATATGAAATGGTGTTCAAGCAATTCTTGAAATTCTATCAAATGTAATTATTTACACGAACAATAATTCTTTTAGAGTTAATTTTTCATAAGATATGGTTGTATTTTACCATTTTAAAATGGTAAACGGAGGGAGGAGTCCGAAGGCCTTCGATAGATCCGAGTATGCTTACGGGACATCTTGTATAAATTCAAATTTTTATATTATATTTCATGAAGGCAATATTCATTCAAAACTATCTGTAATAGAAGAAAAATAAATGATCACGCTCATGAGTGAATTTGTTTTAGTAATAGTTGTTGGGGCTTACAAATGACAGGTAATACGACCCCTTCAAACGGCCTAGATACCATTTTGGATCGCGGACGCTTATATCGAAAACCTAATTCTAAAACATTCCCCGGACAGTGACGAACTGTGTGATCTGTGTAAAAAATCATGAATATATCTATCTATATATATATATATATATATATATATATATATATATATATATATATATATATATATATATATATATCATAATCATGAATATATCGAAGTTTGACTGTAAAAAATATAATCAAATTATTACACTATAGTCCGGTCAATGAATGGTTCGGAAGGAAATGTCGAGACTTTTAGTATATTTACCTCCTTACTAGTCCAAACAATACCCCAAAGTCAAAAATTGTGTCCCCGCCATTTCCATTTTGTACCCCATTTTCAAGCATTCATTGACTAGACTAATTATTATGTATTTAATATTTTCAGTTACGCTGACGAATTGAGGGTTGTTTACAATCCATTAGTAACAATGATATTGGGGACAGGCGTTTTTGTGCTGATCTTGGCAGGTTTCCAGTTTTTATTTGTAAGTCATTATTTATTCATTTATTATTAAAAATTGGTATAAACAATTATCATTATAATTCATACTTTTTTTTTAATTATCAGGGAACTACAGCGACGACTATTTTCATCGTAAAGAGCCTTATATTTTTACCTTACCAAGCCATTGAGGTCTGCATGTTCTGCTTTGCTTCGTCTTATCTTGAAACAGCGGTAGGTCTAATGTTTTAGGTAAATTGTTACATTCCAACAATAAATTATTATTAATTTAATTAATACAGTGCACTAGCGGATCCAGGATTTAATTTTGGGGGGGGGGGGGCTTCAGCCCGAAACCTTTTTTTTTCATAAAAATAATGATTATTACTTTGGAAAAAAAGAAAGAAACTAACTACCTATATGAAATGGTGTTTAAGTTATTCCTTAAGTACTTTTAAATGTTATTACACGAACAATAATACTTTAAGAGGTATTTTTTTAAAAAATTTTAGATCCGTAGATCCGTCCGTGATACAGTGCAATCTCATTAATCTATACAATTGCTGAGGCGAAAAGTTCCGGAAGAACTACTTTCAATAAAAGATTAAAACTGTATAAATACATAAAAATTTATTAAATGGATACATAAGTTTATACTTAACTAGTTCTGCCATAAATACTGTTATAAAAGTTGAACTTCGTTCACATCCTTGGGTATGATTTAGATACCCCTTACCTCTATCAGGTTATTTTCTTTACATGTCAGAATAACAATCCCAATTAGTTTGTATTTTTCTTTCGCTCAGTTAACATGGAGTGGGGTGATAAAGAAAACCGCATAGCTGTGATCGACTTACACAAAGTTGGAAAATATAGGTCAGAGATTTTCAACACTTTGAAACCTTTGGGTATCAGCCGTATGTTCATGTACCTCACTATAAATAGATATAATGAGACCCTATCTGCATGTGACAGACCTCGACTGGACCGTCCTCTCACTGTCAGAACGGCAAATGTGGCTATTCGAATCAGAAGAAATCCCTTTCGAAAACAACAAATCATGTCAGGGGAAATGGGAATCTCTGACAGATCAACTTATTATGTCTCGCATAGTAAAAAGTGACCTTAGGATGGGTGCATTTCGAAGAATGACAGGACAAAGGCTAATCACTTCCCTAAAAAAAAATAGAGTGGATAGATGCAAAGTTCTCCTTGGTCGTTACACCAATGGTCTTCATCGAAAGATTTTGTTTAGTGATGAGAAAATTTTTAAAATTGAAGAAAAATTTAATCGCCAAAATGATAGTGTGTGCAATAAAGTTAAGTACGCGCACAGCTCTAAAGAAACCCATGAAGTCACTGGAAGAGTGGAAAGAGGTCATCACACTTCTTCATTAATGGTTTGGTGGGGAGTTTACTTTGATGGCACCACAAAGCTCCATTTTTGTGAAAAAGGAGTTAAAACAGCCGCTAAAAACTATCAGGACGACATTTTGGAACCTGTTGTCAAGCCTCTAAATGATACTCCGTTTGCGGGAAGTCATTGGGTTTTCCAGCAGGTTTCAGCTCCAGCTCACAAGGCCATGTCAACTCAGCATTGGCTGCAAAAGAACATTCAACATGAACATGAACAGAGTTCATCTCTGCCTTGGATTGTCCCTCAGTTAAGGCCTGATCACAACCCTCTAGGTTATCGGCTTTGGTCCGAACTGGAGAGGATGGCATGCCACAGAGCACACCTTATCTTGGAAAGTCTCAAACAATACCTTTCTTTTTTTTTTTTTTCTTTTTTTTTTCCTCAATTGAAGACCAAAACCAGTGGCGCAAAAGTAAAAAATAAATGGAATATACAGGAAGACAGAGTCTTTTTTTGTAAAACTAAATTTCAATCCTGTAACATCAAGCTACAATTAAAGAATAAATTGAAAATATGTTGAAAAATAATATCGATTAATAATGCCATTAAAAATATCGGCATTTTGGATGTTTTTAATCATTAAAAGAGAAAACGGGATCAATTCTCATTCAGCACTTTTTTAATTTGCCTTCTTGATTCTTAGTGTCAGAGAAGCTTATAATGGAAACGAGAATAAATAGAATGTATAAGTTCATACAAGTGCGTATGCAGCTTTCATATAGGAATAGAGAGAGACTGAATAAAGGAAAATTTCAGATAGATAAATGATTATTGTATATTATAAAAACCTGTACCACTAACAACCCATGAAGGATTTTTGGTACAGTACTATATGAGGAGGTACTGTTACAAGGCTAATGGTTGTGCAAGGAGGTGATCGGGCCAAAGCACTCTCAACCGCCAAGTTATTCCACTTAATTAGTTATTTGATTAATATTACCCGCTTTGCAGAGTCTGGTTGTGCCCCAAGAAGGTCTCCGACCCAAGGATCGATCCACAGCTAATGAAAAAATCTGGTGCGTGCATCACACGACTTTCACTTACCACCCTCTTCTTATCAGAAATAAGTATTTTCAGACAAAGAGGAAGAGGAAGTAAAAATTATAGACACTATATTTATTTACATTTCATTATGGGTATTTTTATTTGTTTAATTATCCTTAAATTTTAATTTTTATATCGCAGTAATCTATACAATTAAATATTAAATAATAACAAGCATTTATAGCATTGATAGCATTTATGAAAACCGCATATTTATATTTACATTATATAGTCGGAGTCAATATTATATTAAGCTCATGTTAAGTATGGAAGCCTGTTCTAATCGTTCAGGGGAGCTCGAGTACACTGTATTCCTTTGGTTCCTCAATTGCAACTATTATCAGTTACGATATTTTATTTCCCCTTTAGTTAATTATCAAATCCTTTCATATTTTATATTCAACTATTTTTTATATTAAATATTAATTTGAAATGGTTAATTATTTCAAATTAAAAAAAATTGAAGGTATTTTAGAGGAAGCTAATATTGAAAATTAGCCATTTAAGCTCTGTTAGAGAACATCAATGAGAATAAAACCTGCATTATTTTAAAAACTGCTAAATAATAAACTGATATACTGAGTTTAATCAAAATCGTTGGAGCAGTTTTTAAGAAAAATCGTAAAAATATGTTAAATTGATAATATAAAATATCACTTCTGGTAAGTCGATTATGACAAAAAAGTTGCTGTAACATCCAAGGTATATACAAACTTTAAATATGAAATTTCACTTTCATATGACTTATCGTTTTTGAGCTAGGCTGATCACATACATACGCACACACACACACACACACACACACACCATTTTGGAGACTTGGTTATTTGGACTCAGGACCTCAAAACATGTATTTCCATTGAAAACTCAGATTAAAAGATTTTCATTGTAATACTTACCCTTACTATATATTTTATATAGGTAAATGAAAGTAAAAAATTACTAATCATCAGCCGGATTCGAATCTAGGAGCTTGAGCTCTGGAAGTCATTGCTCAACCACTGAGCTCCCTTATAAAATATATAATGTACAATAATACTAAGTAGGTTATTGTTATTACAATTTATAAGTATATTTATATATAACACAATATTTACATAGATCTTGTATTTTCGACAAATATCTTTACAACCACTTCTTTCAAATTATTTGAGAGGACGGCGACGACTATTTCTACGCTCCCCTGTGTATACCCCTGATAAGTTAGTCAATAATTGGTTGTTGTAAATCAGCATGGAGACTTTTATTATTTAAGTACCAGGGAACGTCTATGATGTCTTAAAATTTTAGATTGAAAAAATTGTTATTTTGTAAATGGTCTTTAGTACTGCACCATAAATCTGTGAGGTATGTACATACAAGGATACGCCTAACTATATATAGGTTTAAATATGTATGTATATGTATTTAATTTCTGTCTAATATTCAGTGTTAATGATTTGGAAAAAAGAGAGTACAGTAATTTCACTTGTTTGTTTTAGGTCATTCTTTTCATTTGGCAAAATTATATATTGTTATAAAACAAACAAAAAATTAAAATGAACCAAAGTAAATCTATATTAAATTGAATTACTAGAATCTCTGCAGAATATTAATATTTATTATTAAAAGAATTATTACTAAGAACTTGAGGAAAATTAATTAATTTCCTTGATATTAAAATAAAGAAATAAAAATTTCATTAATAATGACCGATGCCTATAATAATAATTTAAAAAAAGAGACATTTTTTTATATAAAAAAGTAACTTATTATCTTACTTTTATAATAGCTTTTCTCTTAAAGATTTTTTCTTTTATCTGATTTTTTTTTTTAATATTGGTTTTGATAGTCAAATTTTAACAATGATAAATCGATATTGCTATAATAGCTGATAAAATTCCAAAAAATATAAATAGTGAGGGTAAAGTATTAAAATCATTCATGAAATTGGTTTATATTATTCAGAGCTCAGATATACAGTTTGCCATCTACAGCAGCGACTGGTACAAGGCAAACATAAAGTTCAGGAAGGCCGCGCAGATGATGATGGTCAGGGCTATGAAAGGCGAAACACTCAAAGCTGTCAGTATGTACCCGATCAATGTGGAAACCATGATGTCGGTAAGTTCCTCTACTTTATGTAATAATGTTCAAATATTAATAGTTTATACAGTTTATACACCAATCTATGTTACTAATATAAAAATTGGTATGTTAATAATTAATATACATATTGGTATAGTAACTATATTACTAATAGAATAGAATAGAAGAATCGACTTTATTCTGGAACAAAGTCCCTTAAGAATAACAATATCGATCATAAAAATTAACAACATCTGGCCAAAATGTATATTACAATAAAAGAATAACTAAAACATAAGTAATAGCAAAAGTATTTAGATAGTTATACAGAAATATTAAAGAAAGAATATGAGCAATAAGGTCACAATACTGCAAAATAGTTGCTACAAACAACAAACTATGAAATAACTAAATGAAATTTGAAATGAATAATAAATTACTTTTTTTGTTAAACCATTGTAGTAATGAAAAAAAAATAATAACAAAAGAGTAAATAAATATTTACTATAAATGATTTACATCTGTACCTTAATATGTTCAAATGAATACAATAATAATATTGTTAACATTATACAAGTCTTATATAATCTATATTCTAAGATGTAGATTCATTGGAGAAAATAAAAGATGATATACACATAGAGGACTGCATTAAATATTAGTAATCAATTAAATACACCTCAAAGACTTAAACTCTTATAAATTGAAAAACTAACAAAAAACAATCCTCATTGAAAGTGACTGGAGATCTTTTCCATACTCAAAAAAAGAATATATATATATATATATATATATATATATATAGAAGAAGAAGAAGAAGAAGAAAAATCATCTTTATTCTGGGACTAGGTCCCTTTAGAATAACAGTATTGTTCATATATATTAACTATAAATCTGGTCAAAAGACTTATTACAATGAATAATGACAAAATACATGTAATACATTAAGTATTAATTAAGCTCTTAGGATAAATTAACGAGGACAGTTGGGTAATAGGGGTTCAGTACTACAATATTGGAGCTAAAATAATTGCATAATAATCACTGAATGAAATTAGAAAGGAAAGTAAAATCTATTTTATAGGTAAAGCATAGTAGTGATGGAATATAAATATATATATATATATATATATATATATATATATATATATATATATATATATATATATATATGATACATAGAGAAAAATGAAATTTTGTTACATAATAAATGGCTATCCAGCGTCTGATTGAATTGTAAGAAGGAATTGGAATAAGAGGGTTCTAAACATGGATAAGTATGGTGCATTGCGGATTTTAAGTGGGATGGAATTCCAAAAGGTGGTGGAGCAGACAATAAAGGAGTGTTGAAATGAGGCAGATTTGTGGAAAGGAGTGAGAAGGTCAGTAATATATGATATTACCAATATATGATACATACAAATTTCTGGCAATCCATATAGTATTTTTCATGGTTACTTCTTTCACTTTTCTGTTTTCTGCTCGAACTTTCTTCTTCTTCTTCTTCAGCAGGCTTTACTTTCAACTCCTGTACCAGACTGATTCCTCTTTTAAAAATATATTTTTCTAGAAATCTCCACACTACTTTCCGGGCTTTTCTATTGGCCGATTTTTTTTCTAGGGAAGGACTGCTCCTTTAATTTTCTATAAAATTTCCAAGTGTTCCTAGTTCTTTTGACGTTTTAATGTAAGTTGTTCATACATTTTTTTTTATCTTACTAACATGATTGTCGGTTTTTATTGGAATTGCGGTGCCAAGCAGGTATGGACCTGATACATAGGACCTTACTTGGAGGTTAAGAATCATTAACTCTGTATACTTTTAGTTTATGAAAAATACTTAAATTCCCATATGACCAACTTTGATACATAGCAATATATACCTAAATAACTTGAGGGAGAACTTTTTAGATAGCATGATTTCATTGAAATAATAATTGATATGCTCATTAGTGTATACCATTAAAATAATGTAAACATAACAAAATGTTAAAAACATATATATATATATATATATATATATATATATATATATATATATATATATATATATATATATATATATATATATATATAAAATTAGAATTATATTCATGCCTACTTTTTTTTTTCCAGATTTTCCAGTTCACTTACACAGTCTCAGCACTGATGTTGAAAACAATAGAATGAACTACACGTTCCTCTTCGCTGTTTATGTTTTTTTCACAATCATCAGCATCATTTTATGATCAAATTAGATTTTAGAATTCAGTCTAATTTTTTTGCCTTTATTTTAATTAATTTTTTTTTTTTTATTCTTTTAAGAAGTGAATCGAAAAAAATGTTGATGCATTTGGAACTGATTTCTATTGTTTCATGTAATTTTGGATAAATTCCAATACTTAAACATTATAAAAGAAGCAGTAATAATAAAATTATAAAAATTTATTTTTTCTACAATTAAAATTTATTTTAATTTTTGAAGTAAATGCTAGAATGAAAAGTTTTAAATAGAATACTATTCTAGAAAAAAAAAACTGATCCATTACTCCATTTAATTTGAGACAATTTTTAATACTTGTTTAAAATTTTTTTTTTTGATTTTCTATATTTTTGTCTACTTATGTTACTAATATAATACTTATGTTTTTACTTTAATTTAATTAACTATGTTAAATGTTATTACAATTTTGTAAAAGATTCATTTTTCATCTTGTTTAGATTATAATTGTAGATTTTTAATCAGAAAATTAATACTTGTATACCTGGGCTTACATCTTTCTTTTCTTTTTTTAATGCATGCTCCTGCATATTTTTAATTTTATAAGAATTTATAATAATGGCTATCTTTTATGCTGATGTTGTAAATTAAATAAACAATTACACAATATAAATAATTAATATTTGGATTGCGAAACGAACCATAATTCCTCCTTTCACTTACCTTTATGGGAAATTAATAGAAATGGTTTAATTTAAACCTCCAAGAAACAGTATATTTCTTTTAAACATTGAACAAAAAAAAGCATTAAACCATTTCAGGTTTTATATAAATATTTTTAGATGGATTTAATGTGAACCGTGTAGGAGTATGAAATTTCTCAAAAATTTGCCTATTGGAATAAATTATATTATAAAAATTTGACATTGCCTAAGATATGTAAAAATACGTTTTTGGAAGCAAGAACCATAATCTTGTTTGTTTTTTAACAGGTTTATCGATATGAAATGTTCTGCAAATAAATTTTCTGTCCTTTTTTATATCCAAATAAAGCATTTTTCCAATTTCTCTTTTACATTTAAAATCGGTCACTTTATTTAGAAGTGATTAAAACAAGTACTGTCATAAACCCTATTCACTCTTCAGACCATTCTTTGTAATCATTGCTACCACATACTATTATAAAAGAGAGAAATATGACATTTTAACAAGAAATAATATAAACAAATTTTTAAATATCTTTGTTATTTCTTTAAAACAATATGAATAAGGTAACCATATCAAATCACTGGTGGAAAGAAACTTTTGCGCCGTAGCCCTCAAAAAATTTTTTTTTTCATTGGTTCAAACCTGTTACTGTGATTGATCAAAGTTAAACACTTAAACAATAACAATTGTTCTATTTCTAAATTATAAAACTAAATATAACCATGTCTTATAAAAAAAAATATATTATTATTATTGTATGTGTAATTAAATTTTAATAGGACTTCAAGAATCAATTAAACACAATTTCATTTAGGTAATTAGTTAGTTTCTTTCTTTCCCTCTCTCCCAAGTAACTATAAATATAAAAAAAAAAAAACCTCCAAAATTTGCACCTGGATCCACTACTGCCTCAAATAATTTTAAAATATTTCTTTTTCTTCGATAATAATAATATTTGTATTAATTCAACTAAAATAAAGGTATAATCAATCAAATTTGTTTTTAATTTAAGGTTAAGTTTACATTTACCTCAAATTGATGTTTTTAAGGATTGCTGGGTTTCTTTATAATGGTGCTCATTTTTACATAATTATAAATTTTTAAATATTCCAAAAAAATTCAATACTGTAAGATGGGGTAACTTTGGGACAGTGAGTAAAAATTTAGTTTGTGGTGATTCCGTGGTGGATACACTGTGTTGGTTTAGTCTGTAAAAACGTGATTTGTGTAGGCATGTACTGCGCTATTACCTTGCGGCACACTACTCTTGGGGCACAAGCGAAAGTTTCATGAAAAAAATAATTTTGAAAAAAAGCAATGGAAATAAATAAAATCTAACTGCACAACGAGTGTAGTGAACTAGAGTTTTCAAATTGCCACAAGGTGATAGCGCAGTACATGCTTACACATAGCACGTGAACCAACACAGTGTAATCACCACGGAATCAACACAAACTAAATTTTATCCACTTTCCCAAGTTACCCACCCAGTTCTAAAGTTATCCCATCTTACGGTATGGTAAATCAATATATTGTTATGGGGTATTAATGACTACAGTAAAACCAAATATAACTTTTTTATAAAAATATTTATTTATTATAAATATTTTTCTGTTCAACACACATAATTGCATTATTTTCAGAACTAATTATAACTTAAGACTATATTTATTAAATGTATCACAAAAAAATAGTAAACCCAGTCTTGAACAAGGAAAAAAAAAAAACCAACACACTTCCCATTCAACAATAAAACATTGAGCGATTTTAAAATCATAAAATCAATGCTATAATAGTTTACAAGAATATGTTTAACATACATTCAATATCCTGATTTCATTTACAAAATATTTATTAAACAGACATTACCAAAAAATTTGTACTACAATATATATTATTAGAATTGTAACATTAGTACTGATATGTTTAAGGACGATTGTGGAATTTAATATCTAAGGCATTTGATTAGAACAAAATAAACTTAAGGAATGTATGCATGCATTACAAATAAAAAGTACACCTAATATTAAAATTATGTAAGAAAAAATAAGTGAGTTTTTGAATATAAGTGTATTAGGGTTAAAGCAATGGTTTAGTGTAAGTATATGGTAAGAGCCCTTAAACCTCTTTTTAAATTGTACTACTTGTATGATTTTTTTTTTAATTGATGTATTATGAATTTTTCTATCAAAATATATCTCAGACATCAGCAGAGGAAGAAACCTTTAAAGAAAATATTGCTGAAATTATTCTGAACAAAAGAGTTATTATAAACAATAACAGGATAAGGTACTTAAAAGATTAGCAACTGGATAGAGGTAAATAAGAGATTAAATATTAATATCTGACATAAAAAAAATCTCTACCATGCTATAATATTTTTTTCTTAAGAGCTAACAATTTAAATTAGGCTTAAAAAAAGTATTGAAAAGCTTTAGATAGATTGTTTGTCATAGAAAATTTAATTACAATGAAAAAATATCATTGACAAACAATGCAATTTCATATTACAGAATAAATTAGTTATAATAAAATATTAATTATGTCAAGAGATCACACGAATATATCTATATTGATTGTGCTAAAATTTTAATATACATATTCACAGCGGTCATAATCTCATTACGGATATACGGAATTTATTACCTTCTAAATAAAGAAATATATTCAAGAATTTTAACAAAAACTAAAAATATTTTTTAGATACATTTCAAAGTGGACCCTACACTATTTAGCATATTTTTGGCAGTATTAAAAAAGAAAATAGTTATAAAAATAAAATATACTTTTATATTAGGCCAACAAATGAGCCATTTAAATGCTAAAGTGGTTTAAGCCATTGTCATGATCAAAGATTAATTAATTATTGAATGTATAGACCTCATTCCTTCAAATAGTTGGATATACTTGAGACTGACCCAAGGGAGAAATTATGCTGTTATTCCTTACCAATAAATACCTGACTTTGTATAACTTACTCTAAAGTTTTAATTATCTCAAAGCTTCAGATTTTGACTTAAACCATTTTTACATTGAACGGTTCATATATACAGTATAAATAATATTTTCCAACAATAACTATAATAACATTTAAAATTCATAGATTTTACTTAGGCCACATAATAACTTATAAACAATTAACAGATAAATACTAGTTTTGATGAAATCATAAACTAAACCTAAGTAAATTTAATAAGTTCACTTAAACTTTAATCATAATATCAAGTATACAATATAGTAGAGCATCGATTATTTTAAAAATAATTTACTAAAAAAAAAAAAAATTGTAATAAGTTTTAAAGCTTAAGTTGATTTCTTATTTAATTATATAATAAAAACAAAGTTCTTATTTGTTTTCCTGGAATATTTTTTATCGCACTGCTTAAACAGTAGAACCCCACTTAATGATTAATTCATCATTAATTAATACAATTTTTTTTTAGATACACAATTTAATTTTAGTGTGCAAAGGAATAATTTTTCAGTAAGATAATTTTTTATCTGTTATAGTAAATATAAAAAAAATACTGAGTGCTATTAAGGATAGTCTCAAGAATTTTCAATAAATTACATCCCTTCACCTTAAGCATAATTATAGTAGGTATGATATATTTCTGTAATACTATTTGTATAAGGTAATCGATACTATACTATAGTATTTTTAGAAAAATATTAGGAAATTTTATTATTCCAGTAAAGTGTCCTATTTTCTCTAGTAAATAATAACTTACTACCAGATAAATTTACTTATACCTCTCTAAGGAATGTTAAGTTCACAACAAATGCAAATTTTCTAAATTATTCATCAGGTATAAATATTGATATTTCTTCAAATATCACTTTCAAGATGATGGATGCAATACATTACACATTTCATTATTTTTAGAATTAAGTGCGTACGACTTTCCAGGAACCTTAGTTTTTGTTGATCTGGACTTCTTTACCTTCTGCTTTGTGCCCAAAATACTTTCATGCTTATTTGAAGTATACCTAAAATAAAAGTTTTTGTAAATATTAAGTTTTCACTTAATCTGTTATAATTGTCAGAAACATTTAATAGAATTTTAACAGGCAAATTTTATTCTGAGAAGTTTGAGGTTTCAAATTTACCTTTCTCTGCTTAAATTTAATTTGGAGAGAGAGAGGAAAAGGGGAGGGTGATTCTGGACAAAATTTCCAACAAAAAAGTCTGTTTGATGCATGAGCTGATTCCGAATGGAAATTGTGTTTTTCTTAAGGTAGTCATGGTTTTTATTGAATAAGAAGGAATGGCACAAAAACTTTGGAGAAAACAGTGATTAAAATTATTGAGGTCAATGATAAATGAGACTTTCAGGAGGTCTAATACAGCTGCTGTACTGCTTCAGTACAGTACCCATACACGAGCAGCATATCTCTGTACAGCGGCCATATTAAACCTCCTGAATTAAATCACTGACCTCAGTAAATTTGATCAGTTTTCTCAAAAAAATGATGTCTGCTTTACAATGGTGTACTTAGAATTTATTTATCTTTCTATCTTATTTTGAGCAATATATTCTTATTAAAAAAAAAAACATGACCACCTTGAGAAATATCCTAAATTGGTCTTAACGCTTTTTATGTTCGGAATCGGCCCATGTATCAAATGAACTGTTTTGTTTGAAATTTTGTCTAGAATCACCCGCCGGAGTTAGGCCATTAACTGTACACCCTATTTATAATTCATATCTAATCGTTCATTCATAAATCTTATAATATCCTAACATAAATATATTTAAAAAATATTTATATAAATATATTTAAAAAGATATTTTACTTACTCAACCACAGTTTCAGGTTGCTGTAGCTGCAAACAAAGTGCCATTTTATCGTAAAATTCTGTATAAGATGTCAAGCTGAGCTGGGGTTCGGCAGTAATGTCATGTTCGATTTCACATCGAATAAATGGTGACGCTACCGTTGCTCCTACTCGTTTAATTATGCCAGCCCTAAAATATAATAAAAAAAGTGCACATTACTTAACATTTTGATTACATTATCATTTAAAATAATGATTATATATTAACAGCTATGTGAGTTAATAGAACCGTTATAAACTGAATTACTACTTTTCCAACCCACATCAACAACTTATAGATTTTATTCCTTCAAAAAGTAGAAATAAAAAAAAATTAAAAGTTTTTTTTTTTTTTTCAGTGTTGATTTGTTTACAGAGGTCATAAACTAGTGCCATTTTATGTAGTCAATAGGGCCCTAAATTCCTGATAATTTTTGTTTAATTTGGAGTTCTTTTGAGGAGTCACAATTTTTTTATTTTAATATTCTTTTGAATACAAGTATTCAATATAAATTAAACAGATCAAATCTTAGGTAAAAAATTTGTATGATCAATTTTTATTTTTTGATTACTTAAAACAATTCGTATTCAAAAGTTTTTTGAGGTGTGGTAAACAAAATTCAACTTTGTTTCCACTGAGAAAATATTTATTCCCACATTGTTACATCAGTTCAATTTGTTTCAATATTGTAATTCTCTCAAGTATAGCTAAATTAATCCAACCAATTTAGTAATGGAGGGTTAAATATTTTTTTTAGGATAGGATAGCCCATTGAGGATAGCATGAAAATGAATTTTATTAATGATAAAATTAAATACCTATTCTGCACTAATGAATCAGCAGTTCTACCCCATAGACTTATTTCTATCTTTCCTGATAGATCAACCGATGCAACCGAAGAAAATCTGATGTCTACAATTTGACCAATAGCCAAGGGGATCTTGACAAGGTCGTCTTCCAAAAGCAAAACAGCCTAGAAAGTAATTAAAAGTAAATTATTAGCTAATTTATTTATTTATTTAATAATTAATTCATGCTAAATTTATATCGCATACCTGATAAGCTGGAGTGAGAGTAGAACCAGTTCCAGAAAATACATGCCCCATCAATTCACCGTTTCCTTCAAAAAATACAAACGGTCTGAACTCTACACCATTCACTGTAAGCTCAAGGCCAGCATTGACTACATCACTGTCTCCGGAAGCATCATCAGAAGAAATGAATGAACCAAGCCCATTTGAAAACAATCCCAACTGAAAAACAGAACATTTAAACATTTAATTAAGTGGTAACAGAGGTATCTAATGTTGTTTATGTTATATTCCTGCTTTTCTAATGAAAGAAAATTTTTGCCATCTGACATTCCCACTACTCTTCAAGCTTTCAAAATTCAAATTTTGATTCCAACTTTGAAATTCAAAGCAAATAGGCTTCTCAGTTTGTTTCTAAGAAATTTAATGGCTGTAAATATATTATGTCATTGTGTGATACATGCTTTGTCATGAACAATGTACAATATGGAGAACATCTGCTAAAAAATAAGTAGATATAGCTTGTTTGCCTCCAACACAATATGCTATAATACGTAACAAAAATTAAATTTAAATCTCCTTCCCCAATGATAGATACGAAGAAATGCAAAACAGACAAAATACTTATACCAATTTATAATTAAACGGGCCTTCAAATAAGAGAAAACTTAAAAATGTCTAATAATAAGATACCTATAAAAATAAAAAGTAATGAAAATAAGGCTATTAGAATATATATATATTTATAAATAAATTAAACACATTAAATAAAGTTATTTTTGAAACTCAATATTTGACTAATGGTATAATGAGAAAAGAAATGTTCAATAAGGTTTTATATTGTTCATAAAATTAAGTCAAATAGTGAAAACTATATGTTGAGCCTACATTTTGACCAAACTATGAAGGTCTTCATCAGGACTAATGTGCTGGAAAAGATTCCGTGCAGAACTATCGCTGGCACAGTCTATCCCAAACGGTAGTTCCACATGGAAGCCTTTCTTAACACAATAGCCCCAAAGAAAGCATGTATATTTTGTAATTGTGGGTAAAATGGTTGACTGTCGTGAATAATGAAGAGAAGCATAGTTGGGGTGATCAGTCAAATAAATTATTTTGGTCGAAAGATAGGCTTAATAAAAAGTTAAAGATTGAATGTTTACACTATATATTTCTTATACAATTTTAGCCATGAAAGTTTTAGTATAAATAGTTTTTCAAAATTGTAAAAATGTCACATGAGTTCTTTCTGCAATAGCCAAATCAGTTAAGTAATTTCTTCAAATTTCCAACTCAAACTCCAAATTTTTTTCCTAAAATGGCAGGCAATTTACTAAATACCAAGTTTTGTGGATCAGTCGGCTTCATCTACTTTCAGACATCTTGGAGCAATAAAATCAAATTAGTACTAAAAAAAAAAATGAAGAAGCATAAAAATGTTTGAATTAATTATTCAACTTTTCACACACTGCCCTCAGAAATGAAAATCACATTGAACATAGTAACTTGTTAAATATTATAAAATACAATACTAAATATCAAATTAAAAAAACATATAAAAAAAAATTTCCTTACCGTAAACACAGTGTGAACGGTATCATTGTCCTCCAAATTAACATGGACATATCCTTGTTTCAAAATTCCAGACATCACTTCCTGGGTAGTGGACAGGAAACCTTGTTCCATAAATCTCCGCTCAAATGCTGTCGACAAACCTCCTTGGGCAAGATAATTATAATGGTTCAAACCTTCTGAGGATAGAATAGATTTCACCTGCTTCTCAAATGACTTGTTTCTGTTTAAATAAAAATAAACTGTAAAGACTTAACATCAATTACTATAATTTTCATCAATAAATTATTGAGTTATGCTATTTAGTATAATAAAATTCATAGAATAAAAATACGTCAATTTCAGTTTAATTACATGAGTAATGGCCGGTAATAAGAAATTTTAAACTGCAATTATTTTTTGGTTGGAGGTTGCAGACAGAGAGAACACACAAATAAAAATAAAAGATTTTTATTTTATTTTGTGCTGACATTTTGGCCTAAGTTGTAGGCAATCATCAGGGTTGAGAAAAGACAACATAACAACCAAAATTATAAAAAAAAACTATTGTAAAAGGATATAAGAACAAAAAATATGTTATCTGCTAATAAATACATTTTAAGAAGTGAATAAAAATTAAAATATATGAGTAAGCTATAATAAAAAATTAAGGTGTGTGCTTTAGACCACACGATAGAAGTGAAAACATCAACAAAGCGAGATTAATAATATGAAATATAAAATTTAAATAATAGCTCATTATAAAGGATATGAAATGCTGAATATTTCTCTTGCTTTCACTATGCAGGTCTGATTTTTAGTGTCTGAGATATTTAATTCATATCTTCAATAAAACTCCTTATCATTTGGTTTTTGACACTATTTTTTTCTATTTCTTCTCTCTAACACAGTGCCCCATTAGGGCACAATATTGATTAACAGCACATTATACATAGGATGAAATGCTGAATATTTCCCCCGCTTTCAATATGCAGGTCCGATCTTTAGTTTCTGAGATATTTTAATTCATATCATCAATAAAACTTGTTATCATTTGGTTTTTGACACTATTTTATTCCTTTTCATCTCTCTAACACGGTGTCCCGTTAAGATACAATATTGAATAATAGCACATTATACAGATTTCAGGACTACAACTTAGGCCAAAACATGGGCACTAAATAAAATAAAAATACTTTTTTTTATTTATGTGTTCTTTCTGATTTGAACCTCTAACTCACTTCCCAACTATATTTTCTACAATCAACAATTACTTCACCATTACACTTGTTTAAACAATAAAAAAAAAAACATGGAACTTTTTTAGTGAAACATTTTTGTCAGCTATAATTGAGGTATTAAGTTACAGAGCACTTACGCAATTTAGGAGAAAAGGGCATTTGCAAATTCTAGTCTATTGTCATTTTTTTTTTTTTTTTGTTTTTTGTACATCAAATTCCACTATAAAATTGTTGAAAATAAAAACGTTTTTGGAGTGTTTAAGATGTTTTTACACTCACAAAACATCCCTAATAAAGTAAACTGGGTACATTCAACATAAGTACAAACATATTATAAATTGAATAATCATTATTTAATTAATTATTTATCAATTAAAAACAACTTATAACACTGATCTAAGAAAACTTTTTTAAAAAGATGCCTACTTTTCTGAAATTTGTACTAATCTCTGTAATAAGTATTCCTTCGTTTCTTTCAAATTTCCCTTTTGTCGCAGGACGCTTAAAATTTTAGCAAGAACCAAATCGGTTGGATTTGATTCTAATAGAATATCCAGAGCTATTGTTTTTGCACTACTATCATAGGAGCCATTTGTGAGTAGAATTCTTTCACAAGTTTTAATTACTTCTTCATTCCAAGAATTTTTACCCAAGCTCCAAAGTGCTCTCATAGCGCGCATTCCCACACTAAAACAGATAGCATTATTTTGTTAGATCTTAAAGTATACATATGCAAAATAAAAATTGTTTAATTCAAGAAAATAACCTGGGAGAGCCATTCAAAGCATATTCTAAAATGAAGTTCAAAGCCCTCGGAGAAGCAACATTTTTAAAAGATTTCAAATATATTCTATGGCATACATCGTCATCTTTTTTACAATTTTTAAGTTTCTCACTAAATAATTCAATCGCCTTCTCAAGAAGCTGAAACAAGAAAATTATTATCTAATTAGAATTTCCATAAAAAATAATTCATTCTCTTAATATTTTATTGATTATCACATAAAATGTCAGTTATCACGATAAGCTCTCTAGTGGTCTTGGATCAATTTAGGAATGGAATGTTTTTTTTCCTGGAGGTTTGACGGATGATTAGTTTAAACCCCATGCTCAGTTTCTGATGATTGAAGAATGATAAAAATATTTTATATAAACCACCACTACTGAGTGTACCTAGTTCTGCCATAAATGCTGTTACAAAAGTTGAACTTTGTTTACATCCTTGGGTATTATTTCGATAATCCTTACCTCTATCATGTTATTTTCTTCACATGTTAAGATATTAATCCCAATTAGTTTGTATTTTTCTTTCCCTCAGTTAACATGGAGTGGGGTGTTAAAAAAAACCGAATAGCTGTGATCGCCTTACACAAAGTTGGAAAATATAGGTCAGAGATTTTCAACACTTTGAAACCTTTGGGCAGCAACCATGTGTTCGTGTACTGCACTATAAATAGATATAATGAGATCCTATCAGTATGTGACAGATCTCGACCGGGCTATCCTTTCACTGCCAGAACGGCAAATGCAGTGAGAGTGGTGGCTGCTAGATTCAGAAGAATTCCCAATCCGTAAACTCATAAAAAATCATATCTCAGGAAATGGGAATCTGTCAGATCAACTTATTATGTCTCGCATAATAAAAAGTGACCTTAGGATGGGTGCATTTTGAAGAATGACAGGACAAAGGCTTACCACTTCCCTAAAAAAAAATAGAGTGGATAGATGCAAAATGTTCCTGGGCCATTACACCAATGGTCTTCATCAAAATATTTTGTTTAGCGATCAGAAAATTTTTAAAACTCAAGAAAAATTTAATCGCCCCCAGGAAGCTCTGATCTCAACCCACTAGATTATTGGCTTTGGTCCGAACTGGAGAGGATGGCATACCACAGAGTACACCCTAACTTGAAAAGCCTCAAACAATCTCTGGTCCGAGCAGTTAAGTGCTTTCATCACGAAGTGCTGCGTGCTGCTATTGATGACTGGCCACAGAGATTTAATGCCTGTGTCAAGGCAAAAGGGGAACATTTTGAGTAATTTCATTTTTGTTTTACTCTTTATAGATATACATTTTATTTTGTAATAAAGTTTTTGAAAAAATTAGTTCAGTAACAATATTTATGACAAGACTAGGTATATGTTAATACTACTATGTATAGTAGAGGCTGACGTGTGAATTAAATTATATTTAAAGATTAAATATAACTAAATAGACTTAGTCGAATAAAGAAAATTTTAATAGCCCACAGTTCATCAGGATCCGAGAGGATTACTGAGGCTTCTAAGAGATGTAATAAACATTAATGGAGCAGACTGCTGCACACCTGCAAGATAAGAAGACCTTCCTTCTAGCAAGAAAAATTAGCAGCACTTTTTTCCTAATGCAGAAATCAAAAGAAAAGTTTAGAAATGATGAATCAGAAAAAAATTGGAAAAAGAGACGATAGAAAAGACAATCGGTGGTACACGGCAGTCTAGGAGTCAAGCCTGAGGAAATCCTAAGAGTAGAGGGTTGGTTACAGATGAAAGCACTGGCAAGAAGGACTTAAGGGCAGTGAGCTTAGAGTTCTTCTCAGAGAGGGAGGTCTAATAGAAGAGAAAATCAAGTTCAGACCTCGAGATGACAGCAACAATATGCAGAATGTAATGAAATAAATGAATTATATGGAGAAATTGGTTCATGCTTACTCTACAAATTCTGCTTTATTTAGTAATTTATAACTAAATTAATTATTATTAAATTGTATTTACTTTTACATTACACCCATATTGGGAATGGGATGGCAAAGTGGGCTAACAAGTGTGCAAAACATGTGTTGCCTAGCAACCTGATAAACTGAAGATAACATCATAAAATAATTATGAGTTTGTGTCCTGGTGCCGGAGGGGCTTAGAACTTTGGTATTTACTTCCTGCCCTCTCCTTTAGTCAAGGAAAAAACCCCGTATAGCCGAAAAGGCGAAGACAAAAAAAAAATACTACACCCCTCCTCCCTGTCCCAAACTTACAATTTATATTAATCAACCAGATATTTCTTTACCTCATTATCTTTTGTATTTTCAGAATATTTTCTTATCATAGATGAAACAGTCTGTATTAAAGTTTCATATAATTTTAGGTCAGAAATCTCTTTTTGTGATAATTGTAGCAGATCTGAAAAAAAAATATTGTATTAAGAAAACAGATAAAATTATTTAAATCAATTAAGTTAATAAAACAATTGTATTATTAAAATACCTTGAATAATGGTTTTTTCATATGCAGGCGATATTGACAATGCCCATAAATACCGCTCACAGAGGTCTAAATTGTAATTATCAGATGTTAAATTCAAAAATTTCATGGCTGCTTTATGACTTTCTTCAGTTTGTACTCCACCAAGGATGTCAACTAACTGTCCTCTAAAAAATGACCAAATTATTAAGAAAAGTACTAAAATTAATTACTTAAAATAAAAATAATAAATTAATACAATCGAATTTTGGGATTTAGAAACAGCTTTGATCGGTGACTATGACAGATTTATTCCCATCTTACCATTCGTATAAAACAAATCCTCGTACTCATCATCTTTGAAAAGTTATATAATTATTGTTAGCTCCAATTTTTTTTTTTTTTTTTTTTGAGATATGAGATCCTAGTTTTGCTTATAAGTTCAAGTCATATATTTTACAACATTTCATTATTTTTACTTTATATTTAATGGGTCAAGAAGTAAAATGAATTAAATATAAAGTACAAAATATGTTTGACAAAATCTGTATGAAAGGGCATATAATGTCAGAAACTATCGGAAAACTTTCTTTGAATCTTAAAAAAGCGAAACTGTCTTAGAAATAGCAATTACGTAAAAAGTGTTATATTAAAGTTAATATATCCTTAGAATAAAAAATTTGAATCTCAAAATAAGCTTTTCAATATTCTTATCATAATGAAAAATTAAAGGAAAAAAATTATTCTGACTTGATCAATGTTTGAAACTAGTTAACATATAACTTAAATAAATAAATCTAAAAATAACAATAGCATTTTAATTTTTTATTTTCCTTACCTAAAACTATTTAAAAATATTAATAAACAATTTTAGAGTTTTATGAAGGAATCTTATAGTCATACTCTAACAAAATTATAAATAATTGCAATTCATTCATTTATAATGTTATATATAATACATAAATTTAAATAATATACTTAAAATAGTTGTTAAATAAATCTATAATTCTTAAAAATATAATTTTGCATGTGAAAGCAAAAGTTTTTTACGAGCTACAATGATGATCAAACCTAGTACTTAGTAAGATATCTTAAAACTTCATATAAATAGAAACATTGTACCTATCGTAGAACAACTGTACAACTTCAAAAATTTAAATTTTTAGTAAACAACAAGATTACTGTTAAACAACAGTCAAGCAAGTAGCTTGTTTTATAAATAGAGAACAACGATAAAAATTATACCAATTATTTATGGTTCTTATTTGATGTTTTTATTTTATGTTTTTTTTTTTTTTTTTTTTCAGAACAATTTTGGGATATATATATATATTATCTATTCCTTATCTATTATTCTAGTTGAGTAGAATGAATGAGAATCTCATAAAGTATAAATCTTTTATCTAATAAAGTTATCATAACCTTTATCTATTAGCATATGCTGACAAAGGATTTTCAAACACAACATTTACTGAAACAGCAAAATTTCTGATAATCAATCAATGGTACATTTCAGAAGGAAAATTTAAAAATAGATTTGCCTTATTTTGCAAAACAAATTTTAATTGTAAATTAAATATTAAAAAAAAAAATATTGATATGTTGCATTATTTTCTTTTCTTATTAATTTGGCATTTGATAACAATATGCTGTGCGAATTTTTCGCACGAGCCTACTAGTTATTATTATTGAGGTATTCTGAAGAAAGTACAAAAATATTTACCTAATTTTTTTGCTACTTTTTGATTTCAAAGTTTTGTAAATATCATCATAAGAAGCTTCTTTAGCAGCAGACAAAATATTCAAAGCAGCTATGGCTGATGTTTTGGTTCCAAATTCTTTTTCGTTCAAAGCTTTGAGGTTATCTTTCACTACACCTGAAAACTGAAAATCAAAGAGTTAAAACTGATTTAAGTATGAAAAAACTATAAATGAACTGAAAGTAAAGTTTATAAGAACCTTGTTAGTAATTTTTTTCTGTTTAGTATTGGAAACTTCAGGACTTAAATTGTGGGCTGTATACTTATGGCCGAATTCCTTTTCTGCATTTGATATTACCTTGTTGATATCATTTCCAAGAGAATTTTTAGAAGCATAATCTGCTTCTGTAGACAGAGACAATATTATTTGCTTACAAAGTATGGGTATAAAACAGCAAATAAATATATTAATGTATGTAGTAAGCTGAAGTATAGACAAATACTCCTACACAATTAATTATATCTAAATTAGAGACCACACAAAACTTGCCAGGAATAAAACTAAAGTTCTGCAATGCTCACCATGGTAATCAACTTATTACCTCTTTTCAATGTGGAATATATTTAAATTATTTTATAAATTCGAATGATTAAAATTGGTAATACTATACACAGCATCTTTCATATATAAACTTCCTAAAGACTCAAAGCTGCTATAAACAAGGAATAGTATTTTTGAAGAATTATTCAAGAAATCAGTAAAAAAAAAGTTGTATTTTGGCTGTCTAAAAAAAGAAAATTAACTGAAATGAGGAACACAAATTTTTTTATTATTATTCCTATCCCTTGTGTTGTTATAAAAAAAATATTTTATTCTTAATAAATTAAGGTCCATAAAGAAATTAAAAATATAGTTGCGATGGATAACTTAAACATGTTATATATGCTACCTCCCAATCAACTCCTTCTCATATTATATCACCGTCAACCATCTCTACATCATCAACAAGTTATACTTGATTGTTATGAATACAAATTCATTTAATAAATACAACACTTGTACTAATAAAATAAAATATTTATATATATCTCAAGGAGATATGAAACTACTTACCATAAATGAGTTCCATTTTTGATAAAATGTGAATGTCAAAATCCGAAAGGGACGGTTTAAGAACATGTTCTTCTTTGGAAACAACTGACAACAACTTATTTCCACTCTCAAGATTAATTTCGCTGCTTCTACTCGAGACAACATTTCCTCCCCAAAGCTGAAATAGTAAGTAATTTACATACATATAAATGTATGAATTTATTTGTATATCTTACTCAATGTATAATTAAAAGATTGTCATAAAAAAATACACCTATCAAACATGCCATAATAATGTTTCAACCACAAATAATTCTAATTTTAGAATAATTGGATATTAAAATTTCAAAATATAACAAAGTTCCATAGTACAGTAAAATATCACTCATCTTCTACAGGAAGGACAAGATAATTTTTTTTTAAATTTAATTATGTTGTATAGGTACCTAATATGATTATTATCATATCGTTCTGATTTTTCTCACATGCAAATTTTTTATTGGAAAATATGTATATTAAAACTAAAATATATATATTAAAACTTCACTTACATTGCTTTCCTTAGCAGTTTGACAATTGCTTTTTAATTTATTCACTTGTAAATTATCAATTACTTCATACTTCACATCACACGTTCCACTTAAATCGTTTTCTCGACCTTCAGATGATTTAGTCTGAAACTGAACACTACAGATATTATTAAATCCTTCAAATTACTTCAGAAAAAAATAATTGAGAAATTAGAAAATACCTGTAAAAGACTGGCTAATCCTTTTTTAATACTTAAAATGGATGGATCATCATCAGATGAACTGTACAAGTGTTTTACAATACCATCTGAAATTTCAACAAAGAAGGGCGTACTTTCAATGGAATCTAGAGTTGATTTGGATTCTTTAAAATTGGCATTGGGTAACTTTTTGGTTGCAAAATGTAATTTAATTCCTTCTAACTGAAAAATAGAGTTTTTTAAATTTATGCGGGTAATGTCTCACAAAGAAATTATAACATAAACCTAAAATTTATATTACTTTTACTAAAAGTAGTTGAGGATTTATCTGTTGAATTTTAGCAGCAGCTGTTATCTGATAACCAACTGGATTCGAATCACTATCAGAGAGTTCCAAAGTAGAAGATAACTTATAAGAACCACCATAAATAACAGAGGAGGCTTTGCTAATGGCTAAAACTAAAATAACACAATAAGAAAACATTGTAATTTGTCTATTACAAACTCAAATGGTAACTAAGGATAAAGAATGGTAGTGAGGAGCAGGAACCACAGAGATAGGTTGTGTTTGATAACCTCAGAGGTAACTCTGGATCAAGTTCAAGGACAAATCCTTTGAGGTAATTAATCTTGTTTAATCTCTGTCCACTTAAAAAAGAAAAATATGTTTCTTTAGTTAAAATATGTTTATTATAAAATATTTTTGGAATAATTTAGCAATTCTACGTAGTTCAACCAACAAACAATAAAACTTCAAAAACCAAAGGTTTTAAACATTAATTTATTCCTTCATAAAAATATCAAAAGGATACTTCCCAATATATAATTAAAACAATAAAATATTATTATCATTTACAAAACTTTCAATTTTATCACTGTAGCATTTAAGTAAACTGTTGTATTAAATTGTAATTAGCTAAAGCTGGTTAAAATATCTATAATTTTTTAAAATGTATTCTTTCTTTTATTTTGTATTCTAGTCTCGATTTTTATAATTATGAGATGCAACAAACTTTCCTTTAATACTCATTTAATTTTTATAATATATTTAAAACTTCATTGAGAGTATACCTACCTCTACATTAGCTAATAAACCTAACTTAATAAGCAGTCCATTTAAGGTTGATAATACAACTTAATAAAACATGATGTTTTGATATGAAAGTGAAGTTACAATTAAAGATAACAGTTTTTCAAATTAAAAATTACTAAATAATTGTAAGGTAATGGTATTAAATAACATCAATTCAAAAATAAATTTTGGTTTATTTATAGAGAAATGATAACAGTTTCTGTATTTTAAAGATTAAAAATTAATTCATAAAAGGTAGTGAGGAAATGGGAAAAAATTATAAAACAAAAAAAAATCAACACAACATTAATCAATACATAAAATGAATTGTCTCTTACCACTTATAAAACTACTATAAATTAGTGCCAGAAATAATAATTTACAGTACATTATTAAGTTTTAATGAACTTATAAACACACTTCAACAACCTAACAATTATGAACTGATACAATTGCTTATGAATAGTAACTTAGGTTCATGATAAGATAAATCATTGAAAGGGAAGATAAGACAAACTTCATGATAGTACAAGTTTAATCAGAAGTAACATCAGCTATTGTTGATGTCAACTTTACAGAATTCCTTAGTTCTTTCTTCAGCAACTTTACAGATTTCTTGTGTCTCTTCTACAGCAACTCTAATTATTTCATTAGCATATTCACAGACTTCTTCAGTTTCTTTCTCAATAGATTCACTGATCTTCTTAGTATTATTTTCTAAATCTTCAAGTATTTCTTTGGCTTCTTTCTTTGTAATTTGATGTATTTGCTTGATCTCTTCTTTAGATTCATCACTTGAAGAGTCATCATCAGTTGAGCTTAGGTCTTCATCAAAGTCTAATATTGTCTTCCTCTTTTTCAAGGGTACGTCTTCATTTTCAACAGGCCTCTTCTTTGATGTTGCTGCTATCAATCCCTGCTCAACGGAATCACTAAGTTTCTCAACCAAGTCAGATCGTTCATGTTCATAACTTTTGTCGTTAAACTCAAATTTTGGCTCAGCAGATAATTTAGCCAGTTTTCTCTTTTTTCGTTCCTCGGCTTCTTTTTCCCTTTCACTCTGTTGAGAAATCCATTTCTTAAGTCTTTGTTCTTCATTAATATCCCTTAGTCTTCTTCCACTTAAATCTCTACAGGCTTCTCTGTTTGTGGTTTTCTCAATTTGAGCACCAATAGCTCTTAGCATAGAACCAAATCCACCTTTACCACCACATAATCTAGGAACAACATGGATGGTACCTTCTAAATTTTCATAGCAATAGATTGGTCTTCCACACTTTTTAAGAAAATATTTATCAGGAGACAAGTTGCAACGTTCAGATATGAAGCAGTGGAGATCTTCTAAGCAACTTACTTTCAGCATGCATATTCTGTTTTCTTCAAACAGAAGACTCAAATTTAATTCCAACGTTTTACTGCAATCCATGTTGTCCTTGTAAACTGTAAGAACTCCAAAAAATGATAACACTTAAAATGTCTAAAAATAATTCAACACTATTCAGTTGTGAAACGGGAAGGTTCTTTTACAAAACTACTTTGAAGGACTCAAATATGTTTTGACACTTTAGTGTAAACAAGACGCCATTTGAAAACCAAAGAGGTCATAATTAAACCTTATTCAAATTTGACCAAATTATGAATAACTATTACTGAAAACTAAAGTGATACAAATAATGATGGATTTCAATATATTAAAAATAATATTTTTAATCTTAAAACATGAACCAATTAAATATATGTACTTGCTTCGCCGGTACATATACTAAAATTGGAATTAAATTTATAAGTTAATGATACATCTGTAGTTCGTTGAAGATAATGAATATTTTTCTAACTATCTGTATTTTACTCTTTAGAAATAAATATTTTAGCCATATATTGCTTGCTTTTAGTAAATGCGGGTAATTAGCAATGAAGAATGTGTGTGAAGACACACATACACACAAACACACACACAGAACATTTTGCGGGACTTGGTTATATGGATTATGGGGAGCTCAAAACTTGTATTTCCGTTGAAAACTCAGATTCAAAAATTTTCACGATCGCAATACTTACCGTTACTATATATTGTATATATAGGTAAGTGAAAGTAAAAAAGGCTCATTCCCAACAGCTGAGTTAAAACAGGATTTCCCTTACTTTAGAATACCTATACCATTAAGGGATCGGGTCCACTTATCAAATGGAAATGTTGGGTCAAAACAGAAAAAAGTATTTTTTAAAGTTAATAATCACTATTTATATGTTATTAATTGCTATTGTCGATAATACGGATTTTTGGAAGTAAAGCGCATACCACTCCTACCGTTTCTCCTTTCTTCCAATTTGCTATTCTATTTTTTTCATTAAATAGAAGATAATATGTTGGAACACGTAGAGTAGTTAGCTATCTAGGGTCTACCATAACTAGAAACAACCAAATTGAAGAGGAGATTAAGGTTTGGCTGAAGGCGGAAAATGCTTGTTATTTGTCTGTGACAAACCTACTTAGCTTGCACCTCTTGTCCGGAACATAAAAACTAGAATCTATAAAACCATTATCTTACCTCCTGCTTTTATGGATGTGAAACGTGACCGCTTACATTAAGAGATGAACAGCGTTTTAAGATTTTTGAAAATAAAGTATTGCGTATAATATTCGGAACGAAGAAGGATGAGTTAACCGTAGAGTTTAGACGGTTACACAACGCCGAATTGCGTGAACTTTATACGGTTAATATAATTGAGGAGATTACATCTCGGCGAATCAAATGGGCTTGTAAAATTTTGGGTTTACTAACGAAAGAATTCCTGAAAGGCTAAAATTTGTCGTAACGAATGGTAGACATCCGAGGGGTAGACCGAAGCGAAGGTGAGAAACTTTCGTTAAAGCCGATCTGAAGGGACTGGATTTGGACGACGAACGGTGGAGGGAGGTGTGTAATAAGTGACGTTAGTTTATAGATAATAATAATAATAAGCTGATTAACCTTTAAAATAAAGCAATAAAGTATTACTTAAACGAATTTTCCAAGGAGTGCGTGCAAGAACAAACAGAAGAAACTTCGAGCTAAATTGATAGTGTTCGGCCAATGCTCGTGGTTGTTCGCTGTGCAAAATTCGCCTTCAATCCGCGCCACAACGTGCCGGTTTATTTTTTGTTTTCTTTTTCAACCGATGTCTAACATATCTTTGGAGTTTATTCAAATAATAAATAAATGCGACATTTAATGTAATTGTCAGATATTATTTAATAACATTTTAGTAGTAAAATTATGTATATTTGTAATAATTAATAGGGAAGTTCCATCGTTCGATTTTGTCATCTCGGTCTCTTATTATTTAATAAACATCAAATCAAAAATCTTCACTTTTTTTCGGGCATATCTAGAAATCCAGATTCCCTTTACTATATGCCCTTTGAAATTACAATAATCATTTAAATTTGAAAGAATTACATAAAATCGATCTTGATTGAATGAAACGAATTCTTTAAATATTAGTTTATTTTCTTAACTGTAACTACGAACATTTATTATTACATGTATTTAATTATTTAATATCTCTGTTATTTTTACTGACAGTTTATATTGCCCATATGTACTTAAAGAAAATTATATTATTTTAAAAGAAATCAAACGAATTGTTTCGAGTAGGTTACAATGGGTTCTTATGGCTGGTAATGAAAATTGACCAGGTTAAATAATACTTTCATCTTTCAAATTTGAGAATAATTTTAATTGATGAAATATTGACTTTTGAACCATTTCATCACTGTTGGTTGTTTTAATTTTAAACATTTATGGATTTTATTCATGGATGCATTTGGTAGTGATTCCTTATGAGAGAAAATCAAGAATAAACACTTTTGACTTGGTATTCTATTGAGATATTATATTTTATAATTTAATCAAAAATCTAGGAGTAGTTAAAAGTTGGACTTCAAAATGTGAGGCTAACTTGGGTGGTAAAATGTAATTTTGAAGTCCAACTTTATTGATATAATTGGGAAACTTAATAAAATTAAAGTTTTTTTTGTTTTCCCAAGGGTTTGATTTTTTCCACAGTTAACATAGGCTTATAAAAATGGCACAACTTAAAAATACAATTATCTTACTTTTGTGTAATCAAAATCATCTTGTCGATTGGGGCTAGGCAGAAGTGTAAAAGCGTTAAATTGTGGTTATTTCAGACTTTCTTTTAGAACAGTGATATTACAGATTCTAGTATGTTTACACATAAATTCACCAATTTCACATTATATTAACAATTAATTTCTGAATTGTGCTCTAGTATTTTTTAAAACTAGTGATATGAATTCAACTTAGATCGTTTCATGGTAGTTTTTGAATACTACTGACTTCTGTGGAATATTGGTGACATTAATCCATGCTCAATAAAAATAATGTTTGTGCTAAGTTTCATAAGGTGAAACAATGAATGTGAAAGAATAAAACCTCCATCAGTCATTTATGTTACGAAAATACTTAAGAGTGTTATTCTTTTATTTTTGACAGTCAAAGGAAACTTTTCATTAAATTAAGAGCTTGCACATTCATGGTCTAACCTTTGGACTGAAAATATGTAACTTATACATGTTTCATTTAATATATATTTGAATTCATTCTAATAATAATGCGGTTTTTAGCTCTTGATCCAGAAAGAAATTGATTCTACAGCTAATCTTTTAACAGAAGCTCATATTAATACTGTCCCGTTTGAAGATTTGTTATAAATAATGTAAGTATTAGTTATTAAGCTTCTAAGAAGGCTTTTGGTACTACTGTAAAAATGTTACTCAACTTTCTTGGGTAGAAGATCTCATGATCACACTGTAAGTTAAAGTGGAGAAGTAAAAAAATGGCCGAAAGTGGACAGAAGTTACTGAACTTTCTGATAAGCCCTTGAGGGTTTCTATGTCCTTTTTGATTAAGTGTAAGCCAATGGCAGTGTTTAAAGATTATCAACTGAAAATTACAAGTATTCCTGGTGTAAATTTAGGGAGTTTATACTGCTATTCTTGGAAGCCCATTTATAATGTGATCATGGATCTTGGACCACTTGTGAAAGTGGAGCGACACTTGGTTCCTACCGCTTTCAGAAAAATGTATACAATTTTAAATATTTCCATTAAAAAAAAAAAAAAAAAATGAATTGGAAACCGATCAGAGAAATGATTAGTGTACAATTTATTTTATGAACAAAAGCAACATGTATGTGAACCAATATTAAAATCAAAGTACAAAATTTGATGTACTGTAACTATGCTAAAACTGGTCCGGTTTTGACTGTTTTCGGAAATTGAATAACCTTTAAAAAAATAGTAGCATATATTATCTTTCAAAAGATCATATAAATTTTACCATAGAATGCAAGTTAGGTTTCAGACATTATATTATATATTATATAGTATTATAGGAAAGTTTCATCAAAATTTTTAAAGCTGTTTTTGCATTAGTCTATGGAAAAACATATTTTTCTCTTATTGTGCAGAGAATGCCCTATTTGTTCCATTGGCATCGGTAATGGTATATTCAACACCTACTAAACAAATAAAGAAGCAATAAAATTGGTTCAATTGTTTCCGAGATAATCGTGGCACAGACAGACTTTCCAATGACTAGAAATATGTTTTTCGGAAACAGGATGGTCTGAAACGTTAAGATTCGTTGAAAACCACACTTTGAAAATTTGACCCGATTGCAATACTTTCCTTAGATAGTAGCAGTAGGAAAGTAAAAATAATTGACAGATGCCAATCTGATATAATAATATAATGTTAATTTTGTCATTTAGTTTCATATACTATTTTAAGATTTGCTCTTAAATTATTTTAATATTCACTTTTATTTTCTAGAGTGAAGATAACGTCAAAATGATTTTGACATCTGCAGACAGTCACATGGTGCGAGACATTGCCTTGGTGTATAGTTTAGTATCATTCATAACACATTCTATTGCAACCGTTACATTGTATATGACGGATTTTTTTCTATTGGCTGGAAAAAGGGATATTTTAAATCTTCACATGGTTTTAATGTTCTTGGATGTTGTGAAATGGCTTTATCATAAAATGAATCTTGAAAAAGACTATAGAATAAGCTATAAGAAAAAATCCTTGTCATTCTTTCCTCTTTTCACCAAGAGTTTTGATATTGTGCATTTATTCAAGTCTTTATGTATAACCTTTTTAGGAAGCCTTGTTTACCATTTCGTTGCTATTTTATTTGGAGCTGAAGTGTTTGATAAATATGAAGAAACTTATTTATTTAGTTTACACATGTCCATTTTAACAGTTTTCCCCATGTGCCTTAATTTCGGTCCGACATCTATAACACACCTTGCATCAGGTCTGAAACCGATCAATATGCTTCACAATCTCTTGTATAGAAGTTTTCAGATAACTTTATTTGGTGCATGGTGTGGTGCATTTGTCATTCCGCTTGATTGGGATAGACCATGGCAAGTATGGCCAATTCCTTGCAGTTTCGGTGCACTCATAGCTTGTAACGTTTCTTATCTAGTCATGTATATACAAATGTACTTTCTCCCCTTTTCTATTAGCAGTAGTGTGAAGAAGAAGTAAGATGTTTAATACAAGCATTTTGTCTGTACCAAAGATAATTTCTAAGTGAGAATTTGTGTTATTAAAATAACTAATATGTGTTAATTCAGAATTATAGTTCGTGTTCATATCATATTTATTTGTAATATTACTGATTGAGAAATATAAGTATTTATTTAAAAGATTGTTGGCTATTTTCAAGGATGTATATAATTATGCATTTATAGCTAGCAAAACATTAATTAAAGACTGCCTGTATTTATTTATTATGTATATCTATGCCCGCTTACTAATTTATTTGCATTACTCTGGTATATAATGAGTGCCCTGCACTTTATCAAAATATCATTGTATTAAAATTAGTAAGATTACTGTAAATATGTATGAAATGTAAGTAATTTAAGGATGTATAAAATTTTGTATGTAAATTAAAAATGTCTAAAAAGGGATCTTAATTCTTTTTTAACATCATGTTAGGCCAATTGAAAAATAATGAGCTGGACTGAATCAAGTTTTTAAAATTTTATATAGCAATAAAGTATTTTTTTTTAAAGATTCAATACTTATTGCATGGTTATTAAAATAATTTGTAGTATTAAAATGCAGATTATTTATGTACTAAAGTTATTGTATGAAATATTGTAAATCATTTAAAACCACTACTAACAACTTTAAGTTAAGAATTTTGAAAAAAATTTTTACTAATAAATACATTGCAATTTTTCAAGTTTTATTTGTATTTCCTGTTTAAGAGTTCTTCTGTTCACAATTATAAGGCCATTAGATCACCAGTTTTTATTTATAATAACATAGGCTTTTCAACCACGTACGAATTATACAATTTAGCTCTATAGTAAATTTGAAAAAAAAAAATTAAATTTTGGAAAATAATTAAGTTTTTTTCTAGAAATAAAAACAATTTTTTAGTCTTCATATTATTTTTCAAGATTGTACTAATATAATTTTCCAATTCAATGAGTTTCGTAAGCATAACGCTGTCAAGAGATGCAATACTGTTAGTTGGATACGACAGGAAATAAACTGAGGGAGTGTCCCCTTAGTCATAAGGTGCTAATGTGTTATTCTTGAGTGTTTCATTCCAAGTCTTATTAGTATAATCTCTTCACTTCTTTTCAACTGAATGTCTGCTCGATTTGGAACTACAGAGGGCTCGGCCACTCTCAATTATTATCTCTTAGGTCATGCTAGAGACACTGCCATTTCTCATCTCAGTCTTTCTATTTACCAAAACCACTGTTTCATTTGTAAAAGCGTCCCCTACTGGAACTCCTTCCTTAGTTGCTTTTTTTGCCATGGTATCGGTTAGCTCATTACCTCTAATACCAAAATACCCTGGTAACCACAAAAATTGTACCTTACACCCCACACTATATTGATTTTAAAAGACGGCATGATTTAGCAAGGCACTCTACATGCTGATAGAACTGTGTATAAAAAACGATATCCAGATAAGTGGTATAAGCTAAAATTTGGCAAGACTTGTTACAAATCAAGGATTCTATCTGTATTCCCGACCGATGGCATATTCTTAAGCAATGTTAAACATAAAATTCAATAAAACCACTTTAAGAAAATTATAATGGAAGTTTCTCATGTAAATTATACAAATTTGTGTTGACGATTGTAACACCTATTTAACAGCAGAATATTGAAGTTTTAACAACAAACTGAATGATTTTTGGTTGGAGAATTTTAATTAGCCAAAGATATTATATTTATGAGAATTGGAATAACTTTTGATACAATATTCCTTAATTATAATTGTGGATTGACTGTAGTGAATAATTGAAGAAAAGATTGGTTGGAGTGTTCAGTAAAATATAAATAAATTATATTTAATTTTATTTTTGACGATGTTTCAGCCCAAAGTTCAGGGCTGGTCTAAAGAAACTTATTTATTTATGTTGTCTAACGGGAAGCTTTCGCTAGACCAGCCCTGAACTTTGGGCCAAAACGTCGGGAAAAATAAGAATAAATATAATTTATTTATTTTTACTGAACACCCCAACCCATCTTCTCTTCAGTTCCTAAATATATTTTATATACCACATTTAAAGCCCACTTTTATGAGATTGATAATTCAATTTTAATACCAAATATGCAGCCTCTATTACATACTTAAATAAAAGAGGTATCCGAAATGTTTCTTATATTTGAGAAAGAGTTGGTCTGGGGATGCGGTAAAATAAATATTAAATTTTCAAAATAGTATTTTAATTGTTAAGCGGACATTTTAACCCACATTGTAGGTCTTAATCAGGGTGTGGCATCGGGCACTGCAGGAAGCATTTGATAAGACTGAATATTTTAAAATACTTAATAAAAAATAAATAAAGCACACTTAAAAAATAATTATTTTATTTTTAAGAAAACATTTCTAGACTGAGGATTTTATTCCTCAAATATTTAACTAAAATTGTAAATATTATTACAATCAACAATAAAATTTTATATTTGATGTACATAACTATACAAGAATAAATTTCAGTTAAAACAGTCTTATCAAACACAAATTAAATATACCTTAAATTTAATATTTGGCCACACCTCCCCGACCAACTCCTTATATTATATCACGGTCAACCATCTCTACTTCTTATATTTATTCAAACAGTTGTAGTTACGGAAAAATTGCAAAATATTTCATTTCCAAAAGATTATTTTGCCGTTTTAATTTTTAAAGAAAGTCAAAATTTTATAATATTCAATTAGTCAAAATTCAATTATTAGATGTATTGAAAACTTGTTCTACTTTACCTCAGCAAACTCTCTTGGCTTATTTGTGAAACATCAATGTTTGAATTAAACCAGACGGTAACAGACCTTAAATTACCATAAGTTTTAAAATACTTAATAAATAAATAACATTTACAAAATAAATAATTTATTTGTAAGAAAATATTTTTAGACAGAGGATTTTATTCCTCAAATATTTAACTAACATTGTAAATATTATTATAGTTAACTATAAAATTTTATATATTATCTACAATATTATACAAGAATAAATTTCAATTAAAACAGTCTTATAAAACATAAATTAAATATAATTTTAATAACAAATTTCAGATAAATAAAACAGTTTGTCTTTTTCTAAAGATCAGATTAATTTGAAAAATATACTTACTATTCTTCTTTCAATAGAAAAAGGCAAATGTTTCTTATAGGATCATATAAATAGTTATCACAAGTGAATGATGTAAATTAAAAATGGTCCCAACAATAAATAAACAAAGCAAATAAAGATTTCGCAACTTAAATTGTTATTAAATTAAAATTAGTTGTCAAGTTTTTAAAAGAAAAATTAATAACAAAATAAATCATATATATACATATATTTTAAATGTGTCAATATTATAACAATACTTTAATCAATTATTCAAAATTTTGTACTTTTTAATCGATTTTTAGAATAAAAATCATTTTGTTTAATTAAAAAATGATAATTTGTAAAACAAAATGATTTTCCATCAAAAATCATTACTACGTTCCTCTCAATAAAACAAGTCTAGATATCTAAATCACTAGCCATATACATAGTGAAACTTGAACCACACAAATACAAATTGAAAACATGAATAATTTAAATTAAACATGAATAATACAAATGATAAAAATTAAAAGAAACATGAAAGTCTACAAGTTTTTTTTTTCAGCATTCATTTAAAAAAACTTTTGAATTTGTTTTGATTAATGAAACATAAATACAGAGAAAGTTTAAACTCAGTACTGAGCTCATCGATGGAATGCCAGTGTTATTTCTCAATTTAGTTTATATATTTATATTACCTTCTATTCATATTTATTTCTATTTCGAAATTCACTAATTTAAGTAGTAGATATTTATTTTGTAATTTTTAATGTTTTGTAATGTTCCGCTGGAATTCAGCAGGCCAAAAACTCAACATGAATCTCTAGCCAACTGTGCTAGATTTAATCAACTGATGAATTCCATCGATGGAATTAGCATTGAACTTAAAAACTTCTCTATAATAATGATAGAATCCTGGAACAGGTATTGATTGATGTGCTTAAAATCAATATTCCCTTGTCAACACGGATATAATTACAACTAAAATCTTTAATAATATTTACAAAATATACATAATTCTTTATCTTTGAACAATTTTTTATTTTTTATTTTAATACAACAAATGTAAGATAAATCAAGGGAAGCAATACCACTCTCAATTAACCCAGAAAAACCCTCCCTCCAATGAGGAGAGATAAGAAAAGATTAATTGACGACAAGTTCAGATACTGGATAATTGAAAGATATGATATCCATATTTATATATTGACACCGATATCCACAATATTCATTGATAACAGGAATGAAACAATTTTCATTTGTTTCACAGCAATAAGTGGAATCCAATATTTAAATGTGTCAATCTAATCATTCGAAATGGTACACTTATACCCAAAGACAACATAATATTCTCATCTTTAATTATTAAATTGGTTTTCATATCGTTTAAGCATTCACAATTGAAGTAATTCTTTTAAGCATTTTACATTTAAGCTATCTAGCAGACTTGGACAATATTTCAAATGGAATATTTTAAAATATAAAATAAAACAAATTTTTTTAATCTTACACTTTGACAAGTTGCATAAATTGTTTGTAACTATGTTTTTTTGATTTCCAATACAGCAAAATACAAAAGAGTCTTTTATTTTATATTTGAAGTACTTAAAATAAATTACTAAATTGAATTGAATAGATTTCTTTAAGTACGGCTGATCATTTGCACGAGAATATGAGCTTGGTAAATTATTAAGGTTAATGGTATTGAATTTTCAATACAATGGTCTTTAGCTAAAAAATTGGATAGCAATATAAGAAATACTTAGGACTACAGAGTCTCATAATAGGAAAAATCATATTAAAAACGATTCTACCAACACTGCTATCAGGCAAGACTTTTCATATACAACACTAAAAAAAAAAAAAAAATACAAATGAACTTTTATCTAGAAATGAATGTTTGGAAGCAAAACTTACTACATTACAAATTGACAAAATTTAAGACATTTTTACATTCAGATGATAAAAATAAGTTCTGAATCAAATTCATTGAAAATGCCTTCTAAAGTTGATCATAATAATACTTACAGTGAAAACTTGCTAGTTTGATAAGAAAAGTCATGTTTAAGTTCTGTCATAAACATTAAAGAATGCCTGCCTGGTTGTGGACTTAATCTTTATGTTCCCATCATTGAAGACATAATATATAATAAGCTAAACTAAAATTTAATCTAAATACAGAAACTCTAAATTTTATAGAAATTACTACTCATTTGGACTAGATATCAGATGCTTTGGTCATTAGTATTAGACAATTTTTTTAATCGACCATCTTTAGTTTCTCGAATAAACTACTACCAGGCCTGTTAGGTGGAGGAGAAAATTTCAATTTTTTAGTAGGACCCACAGGATAACTGGAACTACTTTTTCTCTTCAAAGGCTACAAAAACACAGAAATATATGGATAATAAATATTACTGTCAATCCACAAAATAGATAAATGATCAAATATATAATTTAAAGGTATAATTATGATATTATATCTAAGATAATGTAAAATTACCATTTCTTTTGGTTCTTCTTTCGGAGGTGAAACAACAGCAAATACCATATTTCTCTGCCCACGGACATTTCCTATAGGATTCTCACTTGATACATTCGTAATTTCAGCTAATTTTGATAACAGTTTCTCACCTCTACTTAAGAAAGAACCTCTCCTGGACTATAAAAAAGAGTTTAGCGATTATGTTAGTCACTTCTTAAGTAACTATAATTACATTAAGTATCTTCAACTTACTACAAGAGAAAACTGCTTCCTAGGATCTGGTGATGTAAATTTGGTCTGAGGAGGTTTAGGCAGTGGTTTGGGAACTGTTTTCTTAGCGAATTTGAGGAATTTTACATTCTCATCTGATATCTCGTTATCATCGTTCTGAAAATTAACATATGTTAATTTAAAATACGTTAATAACGAATAAATAATAGAATAGCATATGTTTTTTCTACTCCTGTCTTTTTAAGTCAATAAAATGATTTTCCCGGACCAGAAGAGAGGACGGTGCATTAATATCAGAGTAAAAAAATCTCCCCTCTCCCCCCTGGCACTGAGACAAGGAATCATAATTATTTTTTATTTTATAAGCTTTGGTATATCAATCATCAAGTTACCTGGCAACCCTCCCCCAATGATAACATATAAGAAAAGAAATTCTAACAATGTATGTATCAATTTCACAACTGCCCCTTGGAAAAGGTATTTATAAAGGTAATATAACATCTAAACTCCTCTCCCTTCCTCCCCACCCTCGATCTTGAAATTGATTGAACTTGAAATTTCACGAGATTTTCCAATTTTAATATTTTTTATGATCCAAAAATTTCATACATTTTTTAGGCTGGCTCATAGAAAAAAAAAGGCTTAACATTGAGGAAGGATTTGCTTGGATTGATGCATATAAATATATAATATATTCCAGTGAAACTATCATTTTTGAAAAGTACTGCACTCAAACTACATTCAATTAAGTTTTCCAAATTTAGAATATTAATAAAAAAAAATTGATAGAAAAAAGCTATGCACAATTATCATTTAAAAATTCACTTGTTTATTTTTTAAAATTTATTTCTATTCAAAAAACAAGATACAAATTTTAAGATATTGGCAAAAGTGCAGTAACTGTAAACAATTAAATAAAAGTTAGAATAAAAATTTGTTATGATTGGTAAATTCAATACTTATAATTTGTAACAACTAATACACAAGTAATAATTTTAAATACATTTAATGATGTACATGAGTGGAATTTCCCTGTAAATAAATAAATTGCCTGACAATAAATCAAATAATGAATTAAATATGCCAATATTATCACTATCTCAAAAATATAACAGCCCAAATCAATTATTGTTTTTCGCACATGAGTTGAAATAAAACTTAATGATAAAATAAATAAATATTAAAAAATTAATGAAGATAGAAATTAATATACTTACTTTTAGGTTGCGTAAAAAATTTTCACGTTCAAGCCTTGTTTTTCTCCAAGATTCGTCTTCTTCATCCTCTTCCCCATTGTCTCTGAATTCACCATCAATATTTGTCAAAAAAGAACCATTTTCATTATCTCCATCTGTAATTAAAATAATGCAATTTTCAATTAAACAACCAAAATAACAGTTCAACAAATATTGCAATGTGAAATTAATTTTCTTCCACAATCCAAAGAATTAATCAGGTCAAATAAGAATTAAAAACAATGAGAAAGATTAAAAGTACTAGAAATGATTAAAACTGTATTTAAAATATTCAAATTAATTTAACTGAGCGACATATACATTAATATATCCTAGAAATAAACTAATTTATCTTTTCTATTTAATCATAAATATCATTTGATATTTAATATTTTCTAATGATTAACTAATCATAAATATCAACAAAGATGGATAGTTTAAATATATCTCACTTTAATGTCTAAAAAATATATAAAATTAAAGCTCCTTTCTTCTGAATAAAATACAGAAATTAAATGAACAAAAACATTTTTATATATTTTAAAGGCGTTAACCACTGGAACAAAAAACTATTTAAGCTACTTAGATTTATGGATATTCCATGCTGAAAGCCACAAAAGGAGAAAGAGAAAGAATTATGTATAAAAGATTAATGTATAATAAATATAAAAGATTTATCTATAATAAATGTACCTTGATTATACCATCGGAACTGTCGCTGCCTTTTTGGACCATCTGAGTGTAGTTCACCATCTTCAAGAAAGAGTTCTTGCAATGCTCTAATTTCTCTTTTATCTTCATCTATTAACTCCTTCCTACAGAGATGAAAAAAAGTTAGAAAAAAGAAAATGTCAGAGATATTCTGTTCAACTTATTACTAAATTTCTCTATTACTATTAAAATTGTATAATTATTCCAAATTGATGTTAGATATAATGATTTATTTTTTACTATAAATTACTTGCAATTATATTTTAATTAAATCATTCTGTAGATAATAATTACATTGCTCAGTTGTATTATTTCTTAGAAAAACTTTATTAGAATCTGTAAAAATAACTGTGCTTACATATGAATTTTTTCCAATTCTGATCTCACTTTGCGCTGGTTTATAACATCTTCATCACCCTCTTCTCTCTCCATGACATCTAATTCTAATTCGTCTTCATCAGCACTCCCCCACTCAGAGCCAGACAATTCTGCTTCTGCTTCTAGGAAGCGCTTAGCGGCTTTCTTAGTAACCTAGAAATATAATTAATTTATTAACTGATTATAGATTAATCTTAATCTAATTAATATATATATATATATATATATATATATATATATATATATATATATATATATATATATTCTATTGTAACTGTTCATTATTGTTATTCTAAGGGGACATCGTCCCAGAATAAAGTTTATTTCTATTATTAAGTCTATTTCTATATATATATATATATATATAATCAATTACTACAATATCCAAAAACACTAATACACTCAGCTAAAGATTTTTTTTTAAGTTTATTTAATTTAAATCTAAATAATAACAATTTAGTAAAAGAGAGTACCATGGTTTAGATAATTTTTTTTTTAAAGGAAGGAGATAGTCCGGGGTGGCGGTCATAAATAGGCTGAATAGTGGTAAAACTATTTTATTAAAAGCCAATGTTTTGACCCGACTTTGCAGATCTTCTTCAAGGAGGTGTGTCCAGCTAGGAGTTTAACTTAGAACTCTAATTTCAAGAAGATTTTCAGTTCTAAGTGAAACTTCTAGCTGAACACACCTCCCTGAAGAAGACCTGCAAAGTCGGGTTGAAACATTGGCTTTTAATAAAATAGTTTTGCCACCATTCAGCCTATTTATGACCATCACCCCGGATCATCTCCTTCCTTTATAATGCAACGGTCAACTATTAAATATTCAATAAGCTTTTTTTTTTTAAATAAAAAATACTATTATTACCTTTGTATAATCAGCTTCCTCCTCATCCTCTACAAATTCTACAGCATCTTCTTCATCTTCACCAGATAATACTATTTCTTCATTATCAATGTCAATATTTGCGATATCTTCTTGCTCACTATTTTCAGATTCATCAGGAGATGCAGGATTTTCATCCTCATCATCGTCATTCTCACCATCAGCATCATCTTCATCATCTGTTCCAAGAGAGAAACAGAACAAACCTCAATTAATAATTCCAATCCTTAGAGATAGGAAAAAAATTCAAACCTCAATTAATAATTCCAATCCTTAGAGATAGGAAAAAATTCATTAACTATTATTAAAGGCAAGTCTCGATAACTTGAATTTCAAGAGGATCGCAAATCACTTCAAATTATGCATAGCTGGTGTTAAAAACAGATCGACTAATATGATTTGGGTCTTAGATATTTCCTACCACAAAGGAATTATTTGGATTTATAAACATTATGAAATATATTCAGAGCATTTGCTCAATGAAGAGAATTCGAAAAACAAAGATAACTGTACTATCACACATGATGTTAATTTTATTTTGGTGATTACATAATTTCAGTGCTTTAAAGTATGACACATTGAATGCAAAACTGGTACAAATAAAAAAATGAAGTTTTGAGATACTCCACATTTCAGAGGAAGCTTTATAAATGTAGGTACAGAGTAATAATAAGTGTTTCTAGATAACAAATAAAAACTTTCTTTCTCTATTAAAATTAGTCAGTCTCAAGCATACAGAGGGTGTGATGGGCAAGCATGTTGAAGCGCTTTAACATTTTAAAGTAGGGAGTGCTTTATGAATGCTTGAGTCTAGTAGTACCGGTTCAAATTTATTTTAATACAACGAAAACAATTATTGTTGTACCCCTAAAACAATTCCCTTTACCTGTATACCAGAAATGGTGAGGTAGGATGAAATAATTGATGAAGAAAAACAAAAAAACTAATGGCTGAAAAGCCAGATCATAATTTTATAACCAACTCATTACTCCAAGTAATCATTTTTAAATCTAGATGAGTGAATACTGACATTAATGAAGAATATATCATTATGAATCAACAACATAAATTTTAATCGGATAAACAACATAAATTTTAATCTAATAACTAATTAAATATAACAATAATAGATACCTGAAAATGTTAGCTTCGATTTCTTCTTCTTTTTTATTGTTATTTCTTCATCAGATTCTTCTTCATCGCTAGCTATTTTATCACTAGAAAAAAATAATAAAAATAAATAACCAATTATCCATAATAATAATAATAATAATGCTTTATTTATTCTGGGACGAGTCCCTTTAGAATAATACAGAAAGACAAAAATGTGGGCTAAGGAGCCTCAGAGATACATAAACAAAAATATAGTGTAAGTGAATAGTCAAATTAAAAAAAATAATAAAAGAAATTATAAGTTACTTTCTAATTTAAATCAGTTAATAATAAAAAAAAAAATGAAAAATTGAAAATAAACAAAAAGTAAGAATAATGAGGAACGATCTGATAATTTATATACATATTTACAATACTATTTACAATTTCATGGGGACTGGATGGATAAGAAATGATTGAACAGGTGGGTTTTAAAGGTAGGAAGAGTTTTGGATTGACGGATGTCGGGAGGGATGGAGTTCCATAGGGATGAGGATCGGATAATGAAAGATCTGTCGAAAGCAGCAGTTCGATGGATCCTTAAATCAGAAGACCGGGAACGAGTATAGCGGGAACGAACGGAGGATTTGAATTGAAGGAGCTCGGAGATGTATGAAGGACGGTGGGATTGGATGACTTGAAAGAGGAAGGATGCCAGGAAATACTTACGACGGTAGGAAGGATAAAGCCGCTTCAACTCTGCATAAAAACGGGAAACAGAGGCGTCCCTTGGGATCCTGAAGATGAATCGTACAAAGCAATTTATCAAACATTTTAATTTTGCCTCAAGATCCCCAGAGACGCCCCCATATACCATACAGCAATAGCCAAAGTGTGGAAAAATTAATGAATATATGAAATTAAAATATATTTATATTAACAATGAGTTGGCAATACTCTTCTGTTGGTGTATAATTGGTTGATTAAACAGGTATCTTTTTATAAATTCTATATGTACTAAATGAAATTAAAATGACTTGAATCACTATCTACTAGTCACAGTATGAAATCTGTGATTTCCTATTTTTGTTTTTTTTTTTCATTTCTTTTCTAATTTCAAAAGGAAAGGAAGCAAGATAAAGTGATAGGATGTGTAACATATGTCAAAGAAGATGATGGATGAAGAAAATTCATCCAAAAAAAAAATTGTTCATACTATGAGATGAAAAAATAATTTTATTCTGGGACTACAGTCCGTTTAGAGTAACAACAGAGTTACAAATTTATGGGTCTTAGTCTGGCTAAGAAGAATACAAAAAAAAACAAACTAATTAACTATTCATTATTATATTGTTAGAGAGTTCTAAAAGAAGGAAGCATGAATGATGAAGGATCTGCTGAAGGAAGTAGCTAATGGGAGAAGATATATAAATCTACAGGTTGAGACCTTGTATCAACTCTAAACGATTTCCGTCCAATTTCTTTCCTCTCAAATCTTTCTAAACCTTTAGAGCGACTAGTTCAAACCCAGGTATCCGAGTTTTTAGAACAGAATAACCTCCTAAATCCCAACAAGTCCGGTTTCCGGCCTGGCTACTCCACTCAGTCTCCCTGAGTTTGCTTGCTGAGTCAGTTTGCCTCATCAAAATTTCCCAAGACCTTCATACAGCCATGGACCAGCAGAAACTCACCATCCTTATTCTCCTTGACTTCTCCAAAGCCTTTGACTCATTAGACCACAAAATTCTCCAAACCAAGCTTAAAAATATTTCCTTTTCAACTAGTACCCTTAATTGGTTCCAATCCTTCCTTTCCGAACGCTCCCAGTATGTTGTAGTCCCCAATAACCTCCCATCAGAACCTTTACCTTTGTCCAGGGGTGTCCCACAAGGCTCCTCTTTATCTCCCACCCTTTTTTCCATCTACATCAATGACCTTTCATCCTCTATCCTACACCGTCAATACCATCTGTACGCCGACGACGTCCAGAGTTACCTCTCCTTCAATCCAACTGAATCCTCTGGCACCATTCAAAAATTACATATAAACGCAATATGTGCCTGGGCAAATCACAATAGGATTACTCTAAACGCCAATTAGACGAAAGCCATTCTGATCGGATCTCCCTCACTCCTCAAATCCATACAGATACTCCCCAATCTTTTCCTGAACAACTCACCTATCTCATTCCATACTTCCGTATAAAACCTTGGTGTTACATTCGATCAAACCCTCACCTGGAAACCACACATCTCCCAAATTTCCCGTCATACTATCTCTACCCTGAAACAGTTTAACAGTCTCCGCTATCTCATTCCATATAAATCAACTCCTGGTTTCCTCGCTTGTGTTCCCCCACTTCGACTATGGCTGTCTGGTGTACGCCGGACACTCAGGAGAATTCAAGGCCAAACTTAAACGCCTAATGAACTGCGCAATACGTTTTGTTTTCGGAATCTCAAGAGATACGCATATAACCCAGTATTACACCAAGTTGAAGTAGCTCCTATCCATCCAACCGCCGTCTGTACCTCCTTGCCAACTTTCTATACCAAATCATCAGAACTCAGCAGATATCCTTCCTATATTTTTCACAGCCTACAATTCAAATATTCCATTCAATCCCGTCTCACTAGATCTCGTACCTCCGACCTCTATCCACCTCCCCACCGAACAGCAGCGTTTGACAAATCCTTTATAATTCAAGCCGTCTCCTTCTGGAATACCATCCCTCCCGAAATCCGACATGTACAATTAGTTTCCTCATTTAAATCTCTCCTTTTTAACCATCTACTCCTTTCCTAACCCGATTGGATCATGAAATGTAGATAAGAGAACTTTTAAAGTTCCCTCAGAAATGATTTTCTTTACTTATGCTATTTTATTTTTCCACGTTTGTATTATACATATCAGAATGTTTTTAGTGTAATAGTTCTATTTTTTGTTTTATTATTTTTTCAAAATCTTAATCTTAATAATAATTGTAAATAATTAATTTTATGTATGGCCACACAGGCATTTATTCTGTATGGACAACAGTACCAGGATAATAAAAAAATATTTTCATTTTCATTTTAAAAAGAGAATGGATATAGAAATGTAGAGTAAGAAGTTCAAGATGTAGGGAGGGTTTTTGGTTCTGAGGACTTGGAAAAGGAAAATACCAATGAGGAATTGTCGCCAGGAAGTAGGATAAAGCCACTTCAACTCGGTGTACCTGAATGAAACATGAGGACGACTGGAAATCCTGAAGCTTTATCTTACAAAACAGTTCCTGAGTTTCTTCAGTCTCATTCTAGCCTGACAGATAGCCCTCCATACACCAAGCAGCCATAGTCGAAGTGGGAGGTTACAAGGAGCTGTCTGGTTTTCAGAGTAGAGATATGGTTATTGCGGCGGGGTTCTGGTCAAAGGTTATTTCTAGGTTTTTGACTGTTGAGAAAAAATGGAGGGGACGATTATTGAGGTAAAGTAGAGGAGAGTAAGGAAGGCAACTAAGGAGATGTCTGGACCCGATGAAAATAGCCTTAGTTTTATCTGCATTCAGCTTTAGCTCATTTATTTCTGCCTATCTGTTGGTGCAGTCAATATCCTCTTATAGGTTTCGGGGAGCCTCAGGCATCTCAGAAGGTTCATATGATTTGTAAATTTAGAAATCATCGGCATATAGGTGTTATATAATAAGTAAAAACAAAAATATTTTTTTGTTCATCCTATAAAAGTTACTTCATTTGCACATACTAAAAAATGACATCTGAATGTTGATACTATAGTTAGTCATTCAATTTGATTGTGGAAAAAGTACTGTTTACTTACTTTGTATTTTTATCAATATCATTTAGAGGAGAGGTCTGTTCTCCATTAATTCTTGCATGAGAGAAAGATGTATCCTCATCTTTTGCATTAGTATGAAGTTGGGTAAAAGACAAATCATTTTTTTCAAGATCATTCAAATTAAAAGGTTGCGATGTAAAACCACCAGAACACAAAGCCATCAAGTCATTGTTTCTTTGTGAGCCATCGCCCACCAGATCTACAGAAAAAATAAAACTTCAAAATTCAAAAGTTAAAAATAAAATGATTTGTTAACAAATATTAAATAGCTCACCAGCTTCTAAAACAGGAAGTACCTGCAAAAAAAAAAATTAATTCAATTAAAATAAATGAATAAGATTAAACTTATATAAATAATAATAATTAAGTTTGCATCATGGAAATTTCATTTGTTTAATAAACTGTATATGATAAAAAACATTACATATTAAATGCAATAATTCAACTCCTCCCCCGATCAACTCCTTCAAATATTAAAAAAAAATGTTTTCCATGTTATAAATAAAAAGGAAATATTCCAAATGGATCAATAGTAAACATCAGTATATGATTTCAAAAAATAAATAAATAAAATAAGTAATAGAATATTACACCAATAACAGATCATTCCTTAAACAAAACTACAAGCAATGCATGGGTGGAAAGCCAGTAAAAGTTACTAGAAAGTTGTGATCAGACAAAAATTCAAATATCTGGTTTCTCAGATCTATTGCATTAGAGTGTTAATGCGTTGTGCTTACCTATCTATTGTTAACAGATTATTTTAAATATTAATAGCTTTGGATTCAACTTCAACAAATTAAAATATAATAGTCAATTAAAAATCACCTCATCTTTGTCAACTAGAGATGCTAGATCAACACTTGGAGCATCAGAGTATTCATCAGCATCAGAACCTTCATCTTTATCAATGACTTCTTCATCTAGAAATTAAAATTATTACCAAAAATTAATCAATGAATGACACCAATAAATTTTCTATAGCAATATTCTAGAAAAAGCCAAGGCATGTTAAATCGTCAATTAATATTAATATAATAGTAGTTGGTATATAGAATTATGTAGTTGGTGAACCATATACATATATTATCCACCAAAAAATTGCCATACATTTTCTGTTTTTTTCTTCTTCAGATTTTTCCAGGTGAAAACAACGAAAATGGTAAAATGGCAAAAATCATGAAAATTTAAAAATCTTTTAAACTACTGAATTTATTCTTATTTTGTTATAGTGTCGAAAACCGAGGAAATTCTAAAAATGCAATAATGGCAAAAATTATGAAATTTTTGTAAACCACTAAACTTATTCCTAGTTTTCATAATGGCCAAAACTAAGAAAAGTGTGACAATGGTGAAAATTATGAAAAATCTTTTAAACTACTGAAATTATTCTTATTCATTATAATGGCAAAAACCGAGAACATTGTGAAAATCGCATTAACGGCAAAAATAGTAAAATTAGCGATAACCCAGAAAATGTCGAAACCATTGCAGAATAGGATTTTAATTAAAATCTAGAAAAATAAGAAAAAATTTAAAAATCTTTTAAACTAGTAAATTTATTGCTATGTTTTTTCCGGATAATTTGTTTCTTCTCAATTATCGTCATAACACAGGTGAAAAAGAATATAAATTTTTAAAAAAATTAGATGAAATTATAAAAATGCTGAAATTGTAACTGACAATACTGAAAACTGTGAAATTGATGAAAAAGGCGAAAACCACAAACATGGTAAAATGATGAAGTTTAATTGTCCATGGAAACCCAGTAAATAACATGGTTCAAATTGATACTTTTGTTTGTTAAGGAGAATTGAATGAAATAGCAATATCACAAAAAATAAAGTTCATATTACAATTAAAATGGTTCTTCTAAATAGTTCAAACAGAACCCTACAATGAATATACTAGAAAAGTGATAAATAAAGAAATTAGACCAATCGGGTGTCTACAATCTCTCCCAAAGCCACAAATAAGTCAATGAATGAATTTACTGATACAATTGTAATGTTACAACAATCAATACTACGATCTTCATTGACTATTTTAAAATATTAAATGAAGTTTTAAAAACCTAAATAAACCAGTGGAACTACTATTATGTGAAACTAGTGAATCTAACCATTTTCAGATTCTTCAGCTTCTTCATCAGCGAAAGGATTCTTTTCTTTAACTACGTCTTTTATGATAACATCATCTTCAATTTCAGAATCACTTTCAGATTCTGTAGCAGTTAGTTCTTCGGCTTCCTCCTCATAATCAAGTTTTTCATCTGAAACAAATATAAATTTTTTTTAATGATGTAGAGATGGTTGACCGTTGATATGATATGAGAAGGAATTAGTCGAGGGTGCGGTCAAAAAAATAAAAAAAAATTAAAATATATAAATAATTTTAATTTTTGCCGACATTTCGACCCACTTTGCAGGTCGTCTTCAGGGCTACAAAAGATACAAACATGTTGAAAATATAAAAATAAAATAAAAAATAAATATAAGTATATATAAATTACGAAGAAGTTGTCAGATACAGAAATAAAAGATAAAGAAAATAAATACATGATAAGAAAATAGATAAAAGAAAATAAATACATGAATGTTAACGAATAAATGAATGTTAACGAATAAATAGATTGAAAATTGAATAACTATTGTTACAGTAAAATATTTATAAAATATCCATATTTTAACTTTACTGTAACAATAGTTATTCAATTTTCAATCTATTTATTCGTTAACATTCATTTATTCGTTAACATTCATGTATTTATTTTCTTTTATCCATTTTCTTATCATGTATTTATTTTCTTTATCTTTTATTTCTGTATCTGACAACTTCTTCGTAATTTATATATACTTATATTTATTTTTTATTTTATTTTTATATTTTCAACATGTTTGTATCTTTTGTAGCCCTGAAGACGACCTGCAAAGTGGGTCGAAACGTCGGCAAAAATTAAAATTATTTATATATTTTAATTTTTTTTTTTTTTTTTTGACCGCACCCTCGACTAATTCCTTCTCATAAATTTTTTTTAATAGATTACTTCTTTATTGATAAATATTACAATCTGTCTTAATTAAGGAAATTTATAATAAAGTTCAGAGAGCACATTCACACCTTTTTTACAAAATCAAAAAATAAAGGGACTGTGCTGCGGGATTAATGTGATGAGTAAGGTTCTAATGAAATTTAGAAAATTAGTCTGGGATAAGATCAAGAATAAATGGAATATTAAGGTCATTATGCAAAGTTTTATTGGTGACATAGAAGAGAGCATCGACTATTGTACGGAGGACTTCAGACTGGAAGGATTGAATAAGTTTGATATTAGAAAATTTGGTTATCCCCCACAGTTATAGTCCATAGCTCCAGATGGGTTTTAGTATTGGCTTGTAGATCAGTAATTTGTTTTCAATAGAAAGTTTAGATTTTCTATTCAGTAGTCTATATAGCTGGCCATAACGTCGGTTAAGTTCCTGTCTTTTAAGTCTGTATGCGGATTCCACATTAGTCATCAGTCTATGAGAAAACCAAGATACCGGATTGTGTCGGAGAAGGGAAGCTGGATGGAGTTAAAATAAACTGGTGGAAAGGAATTATGACGAAGGGTGAACGTTATATGTTTAGATTTGGATTCATTGACTTTGATGCACCATTTCTTGTACCAGTGTTCAATCAGAGATAGGCGCCTTTGCAGGTTCATGGACGCTGTTTCTGGATCTGAGTAAGAAGATATGATAGCAGTGTTATCAGCGAAAGTTGACAGGTGTGTATCGGGATGGACGGAAATGTCAGCAGTATAGATGATGTAAAAAATGGGACCCAAGATGATGCCTTAAGGAACTCCAGCCTCAATTGAGTAACAGTCAGAAAATTCTGTACCACAGCGAAGTCGAAAGGAGCGGTCAGAGAGGTAGGACTGGAGTATTAGACATAAGGACTTTGGTAGGTGGGATTTGAGCTTGAAGAGCAGTCCAGCGAGCCATACCCGGTAAAAAGCTTGCACTATGTCCAGAAATTCACTCGAGCAAAACTGCTGTTTTCTAGGGCTGAGGATATGTGGTCAACAATTCGGAGTCCTTGTTGGATGGTGGAATGTTGGAAATGAAATCCGAATTGATGGGTAGGGATTTTTCGGGAATCTATTATGGGTAGGATTCTTTTCAAAAATTTTTGAAAGAATTGGGAGTAGGCTAATTGGTCTATAAGATGATGTATTATTGGAAGGCTTGCCTGGTTTCAGGAAAAAGATGATAGTGAAATGTTTCCATAAGAGAGGGAAGTGGGTAGTTCGCAGGATACAATTGTATATATACGTTAGAAATATGATGGCTTTGGGTGGTAGTTGTCGAAGGATCTGTGGGGTTAGAAGGTTGTATCCAGGAGATTTACGAGAGATTTTTCGTATGATGGTAAGGAGAGCGAGATAAGTGAAGAAAGGAATTCTTCTACTTTTATTGTAGGTGGGATGAGATCCCGGATTAGGAGTGAAGGTATAGGGAAGTTATTTGGCAAACTCCTTGGTTTTGTCTACAACAGACACTGCCCAGGTACCATCACCTCGATGAAGAGAATGGGAAATATAATGGGATTTCAGGATATTTTTGGTGGTATTCCAGAGGGAATTATCATGACCAGAGAGAGAGGTGAGGTAGGAGTTGAATGATCGGGATCTGAAGGTGGCTAATTCTTGTTTTAATTTTTTACAGTAATAATTGTAGGAGTGGCGATTGGTGGGATGTCTGGTACGTTGCCATAATAACCTGGAACAGCGTTTTATATCGATTAGATCAAGGAGGTGTTGAGGTAAATTGGGTTTCTTGAGGATTTTTGAGGAATGATCAGGAGAGGAAGCCGTCCATAATGCATTTGGATTTTAGTGGTAAAGGAATGAACAGCATTGTCCTGAGTTGCTCTGAGGTAAATTTTATCGGAAAGGATTTTACAAAAGAGTTTCCAGTTAACTGGGCCTCTGATGAAGGATGGTGGAGAGGGTTTAGGAATAGGAGCTAGTGATAGTTAGAGTATTAATGGGCTGTGGTCTGAAGAAATCTCATCAAGAAGTGCAACGGAATGGTGGAGGGTACCTAAACCATTGTGGATAAAGAAATTGAGGATATTGGGATTACGGTTAGGATCAGTGGGCCAGAATATAAATTAAAGGTGTTAAATATTCAGGACGCAGTCATAAAGTTTTTATTAGTGCCGACGTTAGGAGAACCTGATTTGTGGTCTTAATAAAAAGAGCCAGAATTAGATGGTAAGGTCATGTGGAAAGAATGCCAAAGAGGGTGCTGCATGAGAAGACGGATGCCAAAAGAAGTAGAGGACGATCTGAGGAGGAGAAAAGAATTCAAGGATGGAGAAAAGTAGCACAAGACCTTGGAGATTGGTTGGCTGAAGTGGAAGAGGTTCTTGCAGGACTGTAGCGCCATAATAATACTCAAAGTAAATTACCTTCTCCAAAAATTTCTTCTTCATTTAATTTAAATTCTTCTAAACGCTTTGCAAACTGTTGTTCTCTACTTTGAGCAATTTTATTTCGAAGGGTTGCTTTTAATTTCATTCTGGTTTCTCCAGGTTTGGATGTGTCGCCTACTTTAATTTTTAAACTATCTTCTTTTCTTTTTATTTCTAACTTTTCTTCCTTAATGTTGACTATTTCACCGTTTTCATTCACCTCGCTAATAGCCACACTATAAAATGAAATAATGTACAATTAAATATAATGTGTTGCTGAGATAACAACAATATGTTTTAATGCATTATAAAGTTAAATACTATAGAGCCTCTTAAATAAAAACTGAATTTGTATTTCTCTAACATAATCCTGATAAATCTGTGATATATTGGTTCCAAATAGGATAGATAAGTAAGATTCTACTTTAGATATTAAAATGAGAATATGCAGTGTTTAACTTATAAATATTTAGTTTTAAAATACCATAGAGATTTTTATTAAAGTACATGACATAGCTGTTTTGTAACAGAATTACCCAATGTTTCAGTATAAATCATAATTTAAGAATAGAATAAGATGAAAAAATTGGACTTACACAACATCTTCTTGAACTTTGACTTTTGGTTTCAAAGTAATATGCTTCATAAACCGTGAAATAAGTTTTACAGCTCCCGGTTTCTCAGGAGATTTTTCTAAATCTATTACTTCATCTGGTTGACCACTGAGTCTAGGAACTTTGTTTAACTTAACATCTGATTTAAATCTATTACTTTTGTTTAGAGTTTTATGATTTTCATTCTTACGAGAATGAACATCAGGCTCGAGAAGACTTAAGTTATCAGCAGAGTTAGATTGTTCAGAAAAGTCATCTTTCACTGAAGTTTCAGATGAAGCAGAAGAAACCTTATTTAGAATAAGTGAATTAAATTCGAAGTTTTCTTCTACCGATAAAGCCAAAACGTTGTCTTTATCTGAGAGATTTACTTTACTTGCCACACTAATATTACGAACTATATTTTCACTCTTATTTTTGATAACTAATTCAGTGGGAGAGGATTTTTGTGATTCTGTAATGTCGATTTGTTTAAGACTTGTCTCTGAATTATCATGATTTAATAATAGATCTTCTTTATTCACAAAATTACTTTTTAAATCTTTTTCAATATTCTGACTCATTTTATCTTGAATTTCTTGTGATTCTGTTTCAGTATAATGAAGACATAACTCCAGAGAGGATTCTTGCATAAGAGTGTCATTTTCATTTGTTAAGTTATTAATTTTCTCAACAGCTAGTTTGATTAAAGGAACAGAAGAAGGTTCACCATCACTTGTATCACTTTCAGACTTGTAAAAGGATTCGGCTGTTTTTTCTCTTTCTTCAATTTTTTCCCTAAGAACAAAAAAAAAATTATATAAACATCGAATAAATGAATGCTACTTAGACAATAATAATAATATTCTAAATATGATAGTTTAAATAAAATATTAAATAAAACGATCAATATCTCCAATTATCTGAGACCTGATGGGTTTCAAGTTTCTTACACTTTTTTCAAGTTTTCTTTTGAGTAATATTATTTTTACTTTCATCAATTACAAAATACACTATAGACATATGTCTTTAAACAATAAAAAAAATGTGAAAATAATTTTACACTTATTAAAATCTATAAAACAATCTTTTTAAACAAATAAACCAACCAAACTTTGCTGAGTTCATCAGTTGATGTCTTTAATGGTACAACTGGCAAAGATTTCCTTCTATCTAAAAATTCCGATAGGCTTCTTTGCTTAGGACGATGGTAAGGAAGTGAAATTCGAGACTGACGAACGAGTCTTTGAGTTTCACTTCGAATTTCCTCTATAGCTGTTTGTTTGGATTTTCTTTGTAAATTCTGAAAATTTTGATAATAAAGTTAATAAATACTACAGAGTTTATGGTAATAAAACTTTCACTATGTGTATTTTATATATGTTTAATAGGTTTATGCCCGAAAAACTTCCAATAACAGGAAGGTCAAGTTGTTTTTCAGATATAATAAACTATCCTATTCATAATACAAAGGTTAAAATTTATAAGATGTGTCGTGAGAAACTAAGTTTATCAACATATACTGGATTCAAATGTTTGGTTACTTCACCAACATATTGATCAATGAAACGTAATCATGAAGAAATGAATGAAATATATGTAAAAGATAAAAACAAACATTTACATCCAAATACAAAATTTTTTATCTTAATGTGGATCCTCAATCAGAGATGATAACTCTTAAAATTAAAAATATCACAAGGCCACAGTCAAAAAAGTCATAGTACATTATCTGCTACTGTGATTTCATTTTTAAAATTTTTGTTAGTTGTTTAAATTTTTCTCCTCAAAATTCTATTATTTCTTAACATTAACAAAATACTAACATTTCTCTTAGCTTTATCCTTTTTTTCTTTCTTTTTCTTCTTAGAACAATCAAAATTTTCTTCCACTTCATGATCACTAATTTTCAATTTGTCTTCATCAGAAGATCCTTCAGCATCATATATGTCACTGTCTAAAAACTAAAAAAAGAAAAGAAATTAAAAAATACACAGTAAAGTTTGAATTTCAATCAACAAATAAAATATTTTTTTATTTATTATATTTAAATCTTTTATTAAATATATTTATATGCATTATATTTAAAATACATATATTTCAATGAAACCATTTTTTCAGCAATAAATAACTTAGTTGTTTACATACCATTCATAAATTTACGATAAACCATGCTATGTTTTAAGGAATATTTTGGTATTACAATAATACTTTTATATTATTATTCTAGGATAATAAAACATAATTTATAGACTAATCAAGTTGATGGCATAGCATTATATTAAATATACTAAGTAAAAAGATATTAAATGTTAAGTAAAAGTTAACCTTCTTTTTGGATGTATTATCGGACTCATCAGTATGATCTTCATTTATTTTGATTGGTTCATTAATTTCGCAAACATTAATCTTATCAGAACAGTTATCATTAGCAGCTTCCTCGACATCAGCATCAGATTCAGAATCACTTATATGGCGTTTTTTTATCAAACTTTTTTTTTTTAAATTACTTTCAGGTTCATCATCTGAAGATGGAGATTCGTCAACTACCATTTTTTCATTTAAAGGCTGAAAATAAATATCGAAGATAAATTTATTAGTTAATAAATATAAATAAACTATGAGGATTTGATGGGGAGGTAGAGGGGGGGGGGTCAACTCCTTCTCATATTATATCACGGTCAACCATCTCAACATCACTATAAATAAACTATGTGTGAATTAAACTTCAGTAAATGAATTTGACAAAAAAAAACCTTCATGATAATAATAGCAACAACAAGAACCCTCTGGCTCAGAATAAAAACATAAATTAACATTAAAAATTTTATATGAGAAGGAGTTGATCGGGGGTTGCGGTCAAATTAACACTAAATGCGGAGCCGCATTCAGTAACTTTGCAAATTGGCAAATATATATCCAAAGATTTTGCAATAACCTATGTTATTCTACAAATCTGATTTTACATCCAAGTGTACATGGCTGTAATTGTTGGAGTAAAATATAAGAAAATGACAAGAGCAGCATATGCCAATGTTATTGTGATCAATAGCAATTCTTTAAATGCAAAGAGACCTCTATAGCAGGTAGATAAATCTGAGATACTAGAAGTAATAAATATTACAGTTAATCCCAAGAAGACTGACAGTATTATTTTCTCTATCATGAATAAGCAACCTCAACCCAAGGTATAAGATAGTCCTTATGAAACATAGGCCAGCATAAAGCACAGGTACTTAAATGTCACACTTATCAAGCACATGACACTATTCTGTCATTGCCAACAGATCAGTTTGGTGAAGAATAACTACTTGAAACTGAAAGTAAAGTTGGTGAAATAATCTTGACAAAGATAATAAAATATTAATAATCATTTTTAAACGAAAATATCTGAATTCTGATATGTCCATAACCATAGTTATCAAAAGAGTTCTGAGATAGTTAATTAAATAGATGGTTTTAACAGGTGTTGATGACCTAGGGGTTTTAGCAAGTTTATAATTTTTTGTGGAAAACATAAATTAAAATAATGTTGTAATCAATAATTACAACTATTGATTACTACAATTACAACATCAAGCTATGAATGTGTTGTTTAATAAATGGTGTCAACAAAGGGGTAATTTAAATTCTTCAATTATTAAGATATTAACTGTAAACAAAATTGAGCACTGTAATATGTAGGAATTATTATTTAATGTTTCATTAATAATTTTATTAGTAATACCTTATCATCCTTTGTTTTATCTTCAACTGCTCTTTCATCAATAATTGTTGAACAATCTTCATCATCAGAATCTAATATTCTACTGCATCTAGGTCCTTTTGAACTTTTGGCAGATGTAACTTCTTCATTTTCTTCTGAGTCATACTCATTATTGTCAATACTTCCCATTTTTTATTAAAAAATACTTAAATAATTAACACTTCTTTTTAAATCAAAGAAAAATTATAAATAGGAAACAGGCAGTATTATTAGAGTGTTTAGAATAAAAAGTGTTTCAATTTCGCGTTATAAAAACCACATAAACTTCTTAACTTTCACTTAAATAAATAAATGAAAATTCAATATATTTACGTAGACTACATGAACTTCGCCTGAAACCGCCAAAACTCATTTACTCCCGGGTTATTTAGTTAGCATTGCATAGAAGTATCTTTTGATTAATTTACTGGATTAAATTTTAAAAGTAAAATAAGATGTTTTACGTTAATATTTAAATATTAATATTTAATATTTGTTTTTATTTTATTTGTTTGTTATGCTTTTTATGGTTTTATAAGAGTATATGGGTAAAACAATTTTAATTTATTCAAACACTACTTTTTGATGTTAATTTTATTTTATCTTAGTTAGAATTAATTAAATAATCTAAGAAATTAAACTGGTAGTTATTGTCCCATTATCTCCGGAGGGTGTACCGCATTGTTTGCTGAAAAAAAAAAACTTCTATGAAATGCCAATGGCCAATGGGGTTCAGTGTAAACTGTTGTTTTGGTTATGTCTTATTAGTTAAATTGTTATCCCTGTAGTGTAGGACGTGGGACTTGTAATTGTTATAATTTATTGTTATTGTTTACTAAGTTAAACTTAATTAAGCCTCGGATTTGGAAAATAAAATGCTACGCTTTCTAAGCCGAAAGAAAGGTAGAAATGGCCAAAAAACGTCGACACATTACAAATCGGAACATCATCGAATGTTGGGAAGTAACAAAAATGTTCAGTGTAAAGTTTTATTATTAGATGGTACAGATTTATCTATTGATTTATCGGTAATTTTGGATCTTAGTTAAAGTGCATATTGGAGTAATTCGGTTAAGATCATTACAATGATAATTCTTTTTTAATTACAGAAAAAAGCAATTGGTAGTGATCTTTATGAACAAGTATTTTATTCATTGGATCTCATTGAAAAGGATTATTTTGGATTACAGTACACAGATGCAAACAATGTTCAGGTAAGGTTTTAAACAAATTAAAATTGTCAAATTTCATTTATGCCTCTCAAACTTAATGAAGTGAATTTGATTTCAGCATTGGCTTGATCCCACCAAGGCTATTAAGAAACAAGTTAAAAGTAAGAAAAATTAGTAGAAAATTTTACTTTAAGAGTAATAAGTTGGTGATATTGACTCATATTTGAATTGTTTACTTTTTTTCTAGTTGGACCACCTTTTACTTTAAGATTACGTGTTAAGTTTTACTCTTCAGAACCAAACAGCTTACGAGAAGAATTGACAAGATATCAATTCTTTCTCCAACTTAAGCAAGACATTTTGGATGGGAAACTTGAGTGTCCTGAAAACATTGCAGTTGAATTAGCTGCTTTAGCATTGCAATGTATAATAAAAGTTTTAATTATGAATCATTTTTTTAAAATTGATTACTATTCATTATTAATACTTATGTTGTTAAATCTTAGCTGAACTTGGTGATTATGAAGAAGCATACCACACTCCTGCATTCATTTCTGAATTCAGATTTGTACCAAATCAGACAGAAGAAATGGAATTATTGATTTTGGAAGAATTTCAGAAGTGCAGGTACACTAAGTTGTCAAAGTTTTCATCATTAAATTTATTTGGAAATGTTAATATTTTTTAAAAATATTATATCAAGTCCATTCAGATTACTGTCTCCTTACGTTCTTTGAACTACTATTAATTTACCAAGTGTGATTATATTTTATTTGATAATTAGTCTCATATATTTCTTTGTCCTTTTTTATTGATCAGTATTTTGTTAACCAGTTCTTTTTCATTCTGTTTAGACCTTGTTAATCAAGATATTTGAATTTAAATGTTGTAGGACATATATTTGTCAAAGAATTGCTTATTAATCTATTACATTATTTAATTGACTGTTAATCTTGTACATTGATTTTAAATTGTTTGTGTCATAATTAATATTATTATTACGACCAAATTCTATACTCTATAATCAATATGAGTTAAAAATTTCAATAAAACTTTCAGTATTTTTTTAGCATAAACATATTTATTAGATGTCATTCTAAAGTTAGTATAACTTCTAATTGGCAGCTGGACCAAGATCACATCGACTGCAATGTAAATAGATTTATGAAAATAGCCATGTATTCACAACCATGTTCATATATTCATTGGGTTAAAAGTTTTAACTTTTTATAATCACTTGATCACCGCTATTGATATTCACTTTCTCAAGAAACCAATAAACCCTCAACGGATCCTTTCATTTGATGTCAGGTTGTATTGGTTATTCACTTGTCAGGCCTTGCCAAGCAGTAATCCTTGTTATTGGAGATGATTCTCTTTCATAAAATACTTTCCATGATTTATTTCTTAGTAAGTATGATAAGGATTAGTCGCATTTGTCTACTTTCAGACAGACTTCCCTTCTTTCAGAATTATATCTTCAATGTAATCTTGGCCCAGTTGCTAATTTGTAAACTAGTACCGTTTGCTAGTTTCCAATTTTAGTGTTAGGGCTTATATTAATGAAAATGATTTTCCTTCTGACTTTTGGATAAAGAACATTATCTCCGTCCTAGGGAAATTTTGATTTTTTTTAATATCACAATTTTAAAATAATAATTGTTGGTTTATATGATTGTTTTTATAAATGTTTATAAACTTATTTAGTAACTTGTATGTATTTGTTTTTGTTTTATTATTTAGAGGACTTACTCCGGCACAAGCTGAAACAAATTATCTAAACAAAGTAAAATGGCTGGAAATGTATGGTGTTGACAATCACATTGTTTTGGTATGATGAATTTAAATATAATTATTATGTTTTATGCTTTCAAATTGCTGAAATTAGTGTAAATTATGCTTTTAATTTTTAAACAGGGTAAAGATGGCTGTGAATATTCGCTTGGGCTTACCCCTACTGGAATATTAGTATTTGAAGGAACCCAAAAGATTGGGTTATTTTTTTGGTATTTCCATTAATTTTTAAAAAGTATTTTTTAGCTAAATTTGATCATTATAAATCCTTAATTTGATTATTATTTTTAGGCCTAAAATTGGTAAGCTAGATTTCAAGAAGAAGAAATTGACTTTAGTAGTAGTTGAAGATGATGATATGGGTCGTGAACAAGAACACACCTTTGTTTTTAGGTTTGTTTTATCTTTAATAGTGATACAGTTTATTTTCTAAAATTAATTCATATTTATGTTAATCTATTAATGTCATATTACATGGCAATTATATTTCCTAGAAAAAAGTTCAAGTTCTATTTGTACCACATTTTCTTTCAAATTAAGATACTTTTGCCTTTTATGGAAGGTCATGGGAGGGTGGTAGAGGAGGATTTAAAATTGTTTCATAAACATAGAACACGGTTTTAGGTATGATTTATTTGTATTTATATGTGTTTATGGGAGTGTACGCATGTGTGAGTATACATTTCTTTATCAGCTTCATTTTGACAATTACTATGGCTCCCAATCGGATTAAACCTTTCAGTGAAAAGAGTTGAAATTCAGCATGAATTGTTGTTTTCTAAGTAAAAAAATACCAAAGAAGTGGATGTGGGGAATAAATTCAAGTAAAAATTTGGGTACGTCCAAATATTTTTTCATGGTTTTAAATGTTACGAGTACCTGTATAGGCCCTCTGAATCAAGAAAATTTGTATATGAATTGAAATGTTAAAGATGCGTTTCGGGGATCTCAATTGTTTTATCCCACCAGTACCATTTGGTGAATTTAATTCTGAATCTAACTTTGAGAAATTCAAAAACAAAGCATGAGGATGAAATTCAGTAATTCATTTGAGTCCTTCATTTCACCCTACCCTGATTACTGATTAGTAATTGGCTGTCAAGATAAAATAATCACTTTGACTCAGTACACCATGTAAATTCATGTAATTATGAATTTATTATAAGAACAAATTTAACACTCTAACCAAACTATTTACAAAAAGAACATTTAAATTACACACTATAATCAATGTTTACTATATAAATGCAGTTTAACACAATGTACACTATTTACAAACAAATATTCTGTCTTGCTGCATCTACGCTTTTACCTCTGCACAGTCTTCCCGTGTATGCAGTAGTCCTAGGCATTGTTGCCGTGATACGCGATTCATTCTCAGGCCTTCTCCCACATCAACTATCCAGTATTTTAGTATAAATTGGTTAATTGAATGGCCTTATATCAAAGACGGACCGATATATCGGAGATATAGTTACCGAAAAATCGGAATCTTAATTCAGGAAACCTGTCGCACCAGCAAGCTGTTTCATCCTCCTGATCTCAGAACCTACAAAGAGAAGACTCTGTTAGCCGGAGATTAAACATGTGATATTTCAGTTTGCGGTGGCCAATTTAATTTTCTTTAGAGAGCCCCTGCTCAAGTTAATTAGTATATTAACAATCTTAAATGACTCTGTTTATTCAAGCACCAGTATTTCTTGGCTTCAGCACCATATATCTCCCAAGTTCAATTATTTATTAGACATACGTTAATGCCGCAGATAGGTTTATCTCGGAATGATTGATCTTGGTCTTTCATATGATGTCACTCAGTTGGTAATTTCTTTTACTTTTCTTTTTAGTGTTGATCAATTCAAGTTTTAAATTTTCAAATTATTATTATTATTATTATTGGTTGTTGTAATAATAGTCGTCTTAACGCCCATATATGCGATCTTAAATAGACAACCATGTGAAAACCTCACATATCCACTTTATCAACCTAACATATGTTTTATTAATAAATAATCAAAGTCAAAACATTTATTAATGATATATACAATTTATACGAACGGACTATGAAAAGCCCAATGAAATTTCTAAATAAATAATAGACTATAGATAATTAATAACACTTAATCTAATGAGTAATCTAAACTTAACTATTTATAACTAAACAACAAGAACTTACGGACTAACCTAAAGCTGATATAAAAGTTACTAACTAATATAAATCTGAATAATGTACAAAAATACCAAAGACTTCATCCATATAAGTCCGCTTCTTCCAGCAGTTACAGAGATAAAGAGAGAGAGAAAACTAACGTTTCTTCCAACGCACTTAGACTCTCTCTCTCTTTACACTGCCTTAATGCGCATTCACTGCCACATAAATTAACTCTTTTGTTTGGTGCACTACAGTTGTCATTACTATTATTATTTGCTGGTTATAATTCATATTATATTATTAATTCCTGACTTATGGGTTGTAGATTGCATAATGAAAAAGCTTGCAAACACCTTTGGAAATGTGCAGTTGAGCATCACGCTTTCTTCAGGTTAAGAGCTCCAGTTAAAGGCCCTTCTGCTAGGCAGAATTTTTTTAGAATGGGCTCTAGGTTTAGATACAGGTAAGTTAATTTTATTTGAATAAATTGGTTTGATGTTTGGTATCTAGAAGTTTTTTGTTAGTTGTAAAAGTCTGCATTTTAACCTTAACGTATTCATACAGTATGGAGCAATGAGCGAGAAACAAATTGCTAACGAAAGATGTGCTACTTATTTATATAGTATGTACAAGTAGTTATCCCTAACATGCTCTTTAATCTGAACTTTTTGTTAGTGTAAGCACGTTTCTGTTCGGATTAGTTTGAATTATTGAGATCGCACCACGTACTGATTATTTTAAATTGTTGATATTAATAGTATATGATTTTGTATTTTCTTAAGTGTTGTAAAATAAAAAAGCCTGATTTACAGATTATTATTTGTTCAAAAATTTAATTACATTGAAATAATTCCTGGGTTCTCACTGGCATAGTTCGGGATTATTGAATATAAAACATTACTACAACTGATAAAAAATATATTAATAGAAAAAAAATTGTTAATTCACAATTTCTAAGTTAGTATAATGAACACTACAAATAAAAATCTTAAATGCTAGAATATGTTTACGCACTAAGAAACAGTTACTGTCTTGAATTGATTTAAATTCAAAAGAAAGGTTAATGTCAGGAGTAGTTATTATGTTATTTTTGGAAAGAATATAGTACCCAAACTTTATGTTCCATTATTGTCTTGACAAATATGTTATTTCAATATTTAATTAATGAATTCGTTCGCGATAAACTTTTCACACCGCATAATATAATATACCACAATCATGACTGCAGTCTAATAAAAGGCTTCTACAGAAACAGATACTTACTGAAAGGATGATGTACTTGGCAAAAGACCAGGATGAATATCTAGCATTCTCCTACCACAATAAAATCCAATAGTCTTTTGAATTTTATTACAAATCTGAGCATTATATTGACTCCATATGCTCCAAAAATTCCAACAAATATCAATTATCTAATTTAGAAAATCTAACCATTTGTAAAATGTTCATAATCACGATTTGTTGAAACACTAGAAATTCACATTTTCATACATAAAATAAAATGATATGATATGGTTTAAAATGTTGTACATAATTTTTTATTTATTTTTTTAAATGAAATTTACAACTGTATTACATGAAAAATACTACAAGTAAATGTGACATTACATAATTTATAGTTAAATAAGACACCCCTCGATTTTGTTTTATAATAACTTTATATACTTAATTTATAATAACTTTTAAATATATTCTGGCCTGTTTTCATATTATTGCTGGTACAAAGTGGAGTTTTCTCTCCTCCAGATCATCCATTGTCTGTCATTTACGATATTTTTAGTTGATTTATGAAGTGCTGAAGTAGTTGTCTCTTGAAGCTGATATTGCTGTTAAAAATTGACTTCACTGGTTTTTACTTGTATGGTTCAATATTTAATTTCATCTGACATCTTTTTCTATTACTTTGATATGTAAACCGTTAATACCTATTAATCACTTTAACACTTTATTTGCTTGGTTCTGTATCTTCTACCCATTTGAGTGAGCATAATACAAAATGAAATATATAAAAACATAGATTAAAAATTTAAAAAATGTTTCTCTACTCTTATATATAAAAATAATTATAATTTATAGGATGTATAAATATTATTACAATATTAAATTATTTTGAAACAATTTTCATTTTTTAGTGGCAAAACCGAATTCCAAACTACCCAACTGAACAGAGCAAGAAGGAGCGTTCAGTTCGAAAGGAAGCCAAGTCAACGTTACGCTCGAAGACAGTCCCATGTCTACCGAGAAAAAAACAAGTTAGTTTTTATTTTTGGTTTAATTTTTTTAAAAGGAAGTTTGTCTATTGAAGTAAGATTTTTTAATTTATTATTGTTTCCAACTAATAAATTACAAAAAGTTATGAAATAAGATACTTTATTTTATTGATTAATATTCTCTGACTTGTTATATTAAACCAATTTTGTTTTATTTATGTTTTTCTCTTGATGAAACAACTTATTTGCCAACTAAACATCTAATTTTCTTTTTATTTATTTTTACATATGTTTTTTTGCATTATCCATTATTTTATATTTATTGCTTTTCATCAATTTTCTATTTTTTCTGTCTTTTTTTTTTTTTTTTTTATTTGTGATTTTCTTTTGTAGAAATGAAAACAAATCTCAGTCAGTTGAAGCAGAAGTCTCTTCCACCAGCCCTGCTAGTAGTGTCGCTTCCCATTCAGGTACTTGTTACACAAAAAAAAAAATACGTTGTCTGCTTAAGGCAACACAATAGATGTTAAAGCATCCGCAAGGCGGTTAATAATGTAAAATACAAATTTTTCTCTATATTCACAAATTAAAAACATTCACAATATATACAATTATAATTGTGTATAAATTATTTTTTGTTATATATATATTTTGTTATACAAAGTAATTACATTTATAATATATACAATTATGCAATATTGTTACTTTTTTTTTTTATACATAAAGTTCTTCAACGGTGGTCAGTAATTTATCGAAACTCTAACGAATACAAAGGAAAATTGAATAAAAACACTTAATTTCTTATTTTAATGGCTAATTAAAAAATATATCTATATTGACTTCTGCAAAGTGGTTTCTGAATTGTCCATGGTATTTAAATTTTGAAATAGTTTTAGGTGTTTAAAAACAGCCTTTATTATTTGTTTTTTTGATGCTATGTGAAAAGTACAATTTTGGATTTATAGCTACAAAGAGAAAGAAGTGCTGAGAATTTCCCTCGCTTACAGTATACAGATCAGAATGTTATTTTTTGAGATATTTTAATCTAAATGTTCAAAAAAACTCGTTATTTGGTTTTTGAGACATCTTTTTCCCTTTTTGCCTCTCTAACACAGAGTCGTGTCAAGATACAATTTTGAATAATAACTTATTACAAAAAGGAAGTAATGCTGAACATTTCCCATACCTAGTATAGGTAGGAAAGTAATAAGTTAAAAAAAATGTAATAAGCTATATCAAATTAGCTATGTAAAAAATAGAATAAGCTGTATCATTGCTAATACTGGTTCGATTCTGATGATTTTTTTTTTTTTTTGTTTTGTTGGTAATTTAATTACCTTTCAAAAGTTTTATTATAAATTTTACCCTATAATATATATTTAGAGAGTTAGGCCCCATAACATTTTTCTTTTCTTAATAACTTTTTTTCCTGAACTTTTTGGGGAATTTAGTCTGTATGCGAAAAATGATTAGAACATTATAGGAAAGTTTCATCAAAATTGTTGTTAGAGCCGTTTTTGCGCTACAGTCTATAGAAAAACATGTTTTTCATTTGTTGCATGCAAGCTATTGCGCATGGAGCAACGAATTTCTGTCACAGTCATCAGTAGTCAAAACCTTACAAAATAAAAAAAGAAGCAACAAAATCGGTTGAGTAGTTCCTGAGAAAATCTTAGCACAAACAGACAGACCAATGGCTAAAAATGTGTTTTTCGGACTCAGGGAGCTCTGAAACCTATAGAAAACCGCATGTCGGAAATTTGACCCGATTGCAATACTTTCCTTACCTAGTATAAGTAGAAAAGTAAAAATACTATATAAATTTACTGGGCTCCAATTTCTGTTACATAAGTATCATAATGATAAAATGGTCTAAGTATTATTTTTCTTTGTCAGTGGTAGGCTCATTTAATTCACCTTTAACTATAGATTTATTTTTACTTTTAATTCAATGTAATGATTTTAAGTCTTATTTGTAAAATACGAGTGCATACTTGTACAAAATGTTTTGTGTAAATAAAAGATTTAAATCAATCTTTATTCTAGTCGGTCCGGTTGCTGAAGAGAGGCTCGATGTTCTCATCAAAAGTCTGGTGAAGGACTCGACAAATAGTGATGACAAAAATGATTCGAGTTCTATAGTAAGCAACAAAACTGATACTGGTAAGAAAAATTTCATTTTATAATTGTTAAATATTTTTAAAAAATATATATATATATATATTTACTTAATGAAATTCTTCATCTTTTAATTTCAATTCAGAAAACCTTTTATGTGGTTTTGAATGGAATCTACTTTAATATTTGAACGTTTACGAACTTTTGACATTAATGATTTTTCATTATGTTATTAATGAATTTTCATTTAATTTTGAGCGAGGCAGTGTCAAAAACCTATTTCTAAAAAATATTATTAGTCTATTTAACTTCATTGGTAATTTTGGATATATTTCAAGTTTATGGTTTGTAATATATTTTTGTTTTTAAGCAGATTTTCAATGAAAATTATACAGCTGAGTTGGACAACTCAGTATTATTCATTCTATTAATATTTAAACAGTTTTAATTTTTTTAGGGCTTGAAAAGAAAAGTATAAAGTTTTCTTTTTAAGGAATTTCGGCTAGATTAAAATTTTGATTTTTCTGTCATTTTGCATTCTTTTTGTATCATTTTTTGAGGAATTTTTCAATTAAAGGTTTTTTAAAACTTTCATGTTCATTAAAATATATTAGAAAGATATATTTTTTATATTTCATCATATTTCTAGGATCATTTGGAAATTTGAACTACTTTATATATTTTATTATTTATAAATTATCAGTTTATGTTTTGGGGCAATACTTCAGAACAGCTTTTCATTATAGTTTATTAAAGATGAGACATCTTTAAAGTCAATACTTTAAAATTATACTTCATTTTACATCCATTAAAAGATCTATCAGCCTTTACTTAGCCCACTTTCTCATTTAAAATTTAATATTTTGAATATCCTTAGGATTGTAATATCTGTAGTTATCTAAGAAATTTAAGTATATTCAAAACTATTTGTTATCAAGCTGTTGACTAAATAGCCATTTTTATAAAAATTTAAAAAAAACTGCTTTTATAACCTACCTGAATATATAATTTAAATATAAATTCAGCAAATGTAACTCTTTATTTGGTTTTACGTTCTTATAAATATATCTTATCTTTAAAAATACAGTTGATTATAGCTGCTAATTTCAAACCATTTATTGATATTTTAATTTTCTGGAATTGCATTAATTTTTTTATAATTTTCATGAGAAAAAAAATCTATATAGATAGAAGATAGAAAGAATGCTTATTGTTAATCAAAATAACATAACAAAGATCTTACAAATATTTAAAAAATAAATACAAATTTTCTTTGTTAATCTATCTCTCTCTTTGCCTCTATATGCACATATATATATGTATATAAATAATTAAATTTAACATATATGGCATGGATGAATCGATGATGATTCGCTTGAAAATAGAAAAAATCTATACAATCATATGTGTTATTAAACTTGTATATAATTTGTAAGTAGCTCTTTTCTCTGTTTCATAATCAAAATGTTACAATAGGACTTCATGTACTAATCTTAGCACGCTAACGGAATTAGTTTCTGTTGTATTATTCCTGATCCATTTTTTTAACTTTAAAAAAAAATATACTGCCTGTTTGTATGTATATGTATGCATGCGAAGAACACTCTATTTTCTTCATATCTTGTTTTAATTTAATTTTTCTAATTTTTGCCATGATAACAGTTTCCTAGCTGTCTATTCTTCAAAAATAAAGTATCATAAACTATAATGTACGATATCTTAATTTAGGAACAGAATTTCTAATACTTGCAAATTTTAATGAAATAAGATATAGAAATTCTTATAAAAAGATTATTCCATTTGTAGTACAGTTATCCATGAAGGAGTGCTAAATTAGAATCCTTATCGATTCTTTGTTCAGTGTGAATATACCCAATAAAATTTTGTCGAGATTAATCTTAAATTTTTATTTAAAAAATTTCTCGAAAATGAAATGTTTTCAATCTGGAGATTGGTAAACTTTGTGAATCTAATGAAGTCTTTCACCTACAAAAATATTGGGCCGTTTGTCATGACCTCCATCCCCAACATGTCAAAATAACGAGGTTACTTTTGTTTTTGAGAGCTAATATTTTTGTAGACTATCTTTTTCTCTATTTTTTTATAAAATTATCTTATGATTCATGAGGAGAGCAAATTCATAATTTTTTATGAATTATTTTTTTATTTTGTACCTCATTTAAAATTAACAAAGTTTACTGATCTCCAGATTGAAAATACACTATTTCCAAGAGTTTTCTTAAGTAAAAAAGTCATAGATTACAATAACATGAAGCCATTCACAAAGCTTTAGACAGGTGTTAATAATTTGAAAAAAATAGGTCTGAATCATGGAATACTACCATAAATCTTAGGAAGTTCAAGATTATTTAAGAAATAAAAAAATATCTAGGCACACATTTAGACTAATGAGACACAAACAAAAAATTGATAAAATAATAAAAAAAGTAAATAATGATATTTTTGCTTAAGTTGTGTCGGAGCTGTAAATGATGAAGAAAAATACCATTTTTGAAGCTTTTATGGATATGTAAAAGGATTGCTTTCTACATGCCTATGATTTTGCTGCTTAATTAATCATTTAATTTTAATTATTATTATGCAATATTTTTCCTTTCTTAACCGATTATATTAATTCAAATGCTTACAATTTAATAAAACTTTGGTTACTTCTTGAATTTAAAGCCAAACAGTTTTAATTTTAGGCCAGTATTATTTCTATTATAGATTGAAAACGATCCATTTCCGAGAATTTCAGTAAAAAAAAAAAAAAATTGTTAGTTACGATAAGATAAAGCCATTCATTAAGTTTTAGATGGATGTTGATAATTTGACAAAAACGGTCTGTACCTCAAACTTAAAGTCAGGTATTAAATAAGTTGAGACAATTCACTCTACTTTTGACACATTTACTATGCTACTTGAATAGAAGTACCCCCAATATCTCGTGCAAGGTAACCTGCATTCATAGTTTTATAAATTGGAACTAAAGAAGTTGTACTTCATTCGTAACCACAGATAGAATCTGAACAACTTAGAGATCATGGTCACATTCATACTTCCAGAAAAAACAATCCAGCAATAAAAGTTTGAGATACGTTTTCTAACAGAAAATAACCTGAGGGGAAAAAAAATATACCAGAAAATTTATGTCTATCCTTCCGCTGAACTTGGGATTCATCAATCAAAAGATGGAATCATAGAAAAAATACAACACCTCTACAAAACAACAGAAAAATAAAATAAAATGAAAATTTGTAGAATAAAAAGAGATATGTGACAAAAATTATATTTGCATGCCAGAGCGCATGATACCGTGAGTGCTGAAGTAGAACTTTTGCAGGACTGGATGTGTGTCTCACTCTATACAGCAAATTTCAAGCATCCCTTTTCAATGAATGAATTCCATATATTAATGTTTAATTGACAATAGATTATGTGTATTTAAAATTTAAATAATAACTGAAATCTTTCAAACACGGGTCATTATTATTATTAGTTTAGCTAAACAACCCCAACCTATAAGGAAGTCTTGGTCTCCTTCAGCAGCAATTGCCATGTGTCCCAATTCTGTGCTGCTGTAATCCAATTTCTTACTCTGGTGAACCATAAATCACATCTGCGACACAATCCGACCACTACAATCTGGGTCTTCAAACTCTGAAACTGCCAAATAGCTGTTCCGTATAAATTTTCTTCAGGATTGATTGATCTGCCATTCATGTGAGGTGTCCTGCCCATCTTAATCTCTTTGCTTTGATAATTGCAACTATATCAGACTCGTTAAAGATTTATCCATTTCTACCCCTACTCCATAGATTCAATGAAGAATTTTCCTTCCAAAAGTAAACAGGTCTCTTTTCATCTACCTTTGCAGTAGTCCAGATCGCAGAACCATAAGTCAAAACTTTATAGAGTATGATCTTGGTGTGCTGTGAGACGAGCCTGCTAGAATGGTGTGAGCTGAGTCCATAATAACAATGATTCACTGAAATCATTCTTTTCTGCGTCTATGCTGAGATTCTGTTGTTATATGTAACTTGTGCACCAAGTTATTAAAATTCTGACACCTGTAAAGACAAAATACAACTTTATTGCAAATGCAACTGTTGGGGAAGTTCGGCTAAACAAACACCATATAATTTGTCTTGTCTTGTCTTGTCTTGGTTGACTGAAACATCTTGTTGCAGGCTCAATAGCCAGGAATTTTTGGGATATGGCCTCAACATGCCAATGGTGTCTGTATCATTAGCATACGCTAGCAGCTGAACTGTTCTGTTGAACACATTGCCCATAATATGAATTTCAGATCTCTTGACAGCTTTTTCAAGATAGAAATTAAAAAGAAGGCATGTCAAAGCATCTCATTGCTCCACTCCTCTTACTGTCAAGAAACATCCTGACCAGTCTGACAAAAAACACAGGTTATACTTTCCTTGTACCAGGGATGCCCATCCACCCTCAAGTATATGACGCATAAACTTTCCCAATATATTTTATTGCTCTCCTCCTTTTAAAAACAGTGCAAGCAATAATAAAATAAAATAAATTGTAATGATGTAGAGATGGTTGACCGTGATATAATATGAGAAGGAGTTGATCGGGGTATGCGGTAAAATAAGTACTAAATTATAGAAATAGTTTTATTTAACTATTATGCCGACGTTTCGACCCACCTTGCAGGTCTTCATCAGGGCTACAAAAGATACAAAATATAAAAGGTACATGGTGAAAATAAAATTTTCATACATGATAATATATTCAGCATGTACCTTTTATATTTTGTATCTTTTGTAGCCCTGATGAAGATCTGTAAGGTGGGTCGAAACGTCGGCATAATAATTAAATAATACTATTTCTATAATTTAGTATTTATTTGACCACACCCCCTGATCAACTCCTTCTCATGAAAAAAATTGTAGATTATATACAATTACACATCCTGCAGTCTATTCCATGCTTCTCCTTATCTTTTGGTTTGATACTTTTCATTTCGAAATTACATGATCCTGTCGAAATGTGCTCCCCTCAAATATTTTGATGGCGCAACTTGTACCGCGAAACCCCTTTCTGGACACATCTCATTCCTGCTCAATCCAATAAAAATGAATTATGCTGCACCACCATACCAAATTATATTTTAAACAAATAATGATGTTATCGAATATTCGCACAGGAGCATAACTAGTACTTTTTGGTCTCCTATTTAGAATAAGATTACTATTGTTGCAATATTAAAAGTAATTTATTATTATTTTTGTAAAGTTATATTCTCTAATCATATTTTGACAAATTATTGTGTTTAACAATAAAAGAGAATTGCCTAAATTTGGGTATTGAAATAACTTATTAATAGTTTTGGTTTGGCCTGTAATAAGTATTACTAGTGATTAGTATTAAATGAGTTATTTTAATTACCGCTATTTCAGACACTGTAATATCAGTGGACAGTAGCGGTGTTCCAAACAACAAGACCGTGATTCCAACAGCCATGCCACGCCCAATTCCGCCTCATCAACTTAAGTGCAATATTCTTAAAGGTAGGAGTCCTGTCTCATTTTGTAGATGTAGTTTATTTATTTAAAATATAATAATTTTTTATCTTGAATGAATGGGCACACTACATGATATTAGCACCTTAGTATATTTTTTATTTTTTTTTAAATTATCATTTATTAATTCTTAGTTAAATGCAAAAATGGTTCAAAGTTTTGAGTCATATTATTTTAGAAAGCTTGTAGATTCTACCTTGCTTAAGTATTGATTGGTGGTTGGCTAGACATAGTTCTTGGTGATATAATTGCACAACATTATTTAGATATGAACTATTATGGTGTACCAGGCTGCTTGTGGAATTCTTGAAGTATTCAAAATCAGATGTTGACCTTTACAGTTTTTAATGGTTGGATATAGTTGACCATCGATGTAATTAAAGAATGATACGATACGATGTAAGTACAGGACGATCTGGATAATCAGAACACGTAGATTGTGCATGCCCTGTTTAGATTATCAAAGGTTAAATTGTAAGATGAAAAAAATTGTTAAAGGTAACTAAAATATATGTATTATCAGTTAAGTAAAAACACATTGCAAACAAAAAATTATTTCTATAAATGATCATATAATTTACGCTGAGTCTCTTGCTAAAGAAAACGCCTGATCTCACAAATTTTTTAAAAGTACCAGACTTCTGTTATCGACATTGTATATATTCGTCCGCTCCAAGCAAATATTACATGTATTTATGGGATTACTATGACTTATCTATAATGAAAAATAAAGTAGACATAAAGAAATTTCCCAGTGAAATAATAATTAGTATAAAAAACATTTCCATACCTGCTTTTGGAATTATCAAGGCAACATTTATTGGCATTAAAATATGTTTTGTCGTGTTTCTTAAATAATTAAAGAAAACTTGACTTTTCAGCTAATATATTTCCGGAAATTGCATATCCTCATGATCTCTGCTACAAAAACCACAAATAAAAGATTCCTCAACTTCTGGATGACTGCCTAATTTTAATTTTTTCCTTCTAAAGTAGTGATGGGTTAAATTGTTTATCGTGAGTAGCAGTTGCAACAGTTTCTGCTACTTTCCAAAAACAGTTTTAAAAAAACTGTTAATAACTGTTTTAAAACAGCAAGAAAAAAAATAAATATATTTTCTGTTACCTTAAAATTTAAAATATATGAATATAATTTTTATCTCTAAAGTAATTATCGATTTGATTGTTAAATTAGTCCCGTATCCTAACATATTTTAAAGATAATAAGTAAATTTATTGATGAAAACAATGAAAAAATAGTAATTAGATAAGAAAATGAGTTGATAGAACTGTTCATTGAATAGAAAATACATAGCTGTTTAAAGTTACATCAGTACGATGGGCCGTGTTTTATTGAAACAGCTTTCAGAAAGTACAGTGCTGTATCTGTATTCAGAAAGCAATTTCTGTATCTGACGTTAATGAAACAGGTTTCTGTATCTTCTTAAATTCATTAACAGCTTCTGTGTCTGTTTCGGAAAACTGTTTAAATTAATCAGATTCAGTGTTTCTCTCTTTTTCCGTTGGTATCTCTGTCTCCACCTACTAAACCTAAAAGTGAGATGGCTTGGGTAAGTTCCTAAACTCATCGCTGAGCTCATCGATAGCTTTGTTTTGCTCAGTTTAGAGATTAATTCAATGCCATCGATTAGTTCAGCTTAAGAACCTGCCCCTTCCTAATGGAAGGTAATCCTTGTATCTGTTTAATGTGGGGTGTAACAGTTTACAGTGTCTGGTTTATGAAAGAAACCGTTTAAATTGAACAGATTGCTATTAAACACCCCACAACTAGTCTAGAGACAACACTATATGATTTGTACACTACCACACAAACCAATTCCGCTGATATGTACTGAGAAACAGAGCCATTTCAATTCTGTCTCTCTTAAGTCAACTTTAACTTTTTTTTCTTTTTTGTTCGTTAGCTGGGGTTTCGGATTTCTAGGGATTTGGATCATCGAGACCGTCCTTTAATAAAATTGATCTCATTTTGGTTATGTTCCATATTTTCAGTCCTTTTGAAAGCCTTCAATTTAAGCTGAAACATTGGTACAGTATAAAAAATAATAAGTTTTACTTATTAGTCTGTTTTTCTTCATTGGCCTCACACTCTTACTCAACAACCTCTCCTTAAATATACAGTTTTTGTTTTTATTTTTATAAATTCATAATTATTATCTTTTTATATTGAGAAATAGTCATTCTTCCTTATGAGCATGAAACTTTCTGTTAATATTATTACAGTAAACACATTATGCAATACAATCTCTATAGTATATCAAACACTGCTATAATACAAACTAATGAGGAACTAAAAAAAGCAGAGTCTAACCGTTCTTCATCTGTTCTAATGGTTTGATTCCGGATATGGCTGTTAACATTATTGATGAATCGTATCTTAAATATTTTTGAATTTATGCAGAAGTTGCAGTATTGCTTGGAATTGGAAGCATCGTTAGAAAATTTATTAACAAGACCAATTAACTTTTTAGCTATGATGAGTGGAAAGGGTGGATCATCCTTGATGGCGGAATACTTTTCATTATCTCTACTAACCACTTAAGCGTTTTTATTTAAGGCTTCCTTCAATGATTACAGGCATCAATGCAAAGGCATAATCTTCAGTCACAGATAAATGTTATTTATACCTCTTGGGAAGGCTGTGAGATAGTTTAAAAGAAGAATTGATTACTGAGCAACCTATCGTTTAATGATATGGAGCCCAACAAGCTCCATAAATAAGTACCGTCATTAAAGGGTTAATTTTCTAGCCTCACCCTTGAAGTCAGTTCTCTTTCTAGCGAATACTAAGAATGAATGAGTTAATAATTAATCCTTTATCCATTGTGGGATAAGAAAAATATTTATTCATAATCTGTCATCCTGAGTTACCGTAATGTTTAGGGTTGCTTCTTATAGAGTTTGTACTAGGTGTCTCCTTCTTGCTCTCTCTTCAACTCTCTTCTGTTCTAAACCATTCCCTGCCTCCTGAACACTGTCATCCAAGGAAATGCGCAGTCTTCCTCTAGATTTCCTTACCTCCACTTAGGTCACTTAGGTTTTCCTGGCAGTTCTTTCTAGGTCTGTCATTAGGAGATGTCCGAACCACCTTAGCTTGTGCTCCTCTGGGATTACCTCGGATGGTTTAACTTCGAGAATAGTCCGTCTGATGGTGTTACAGATCCTATCTCATTGGACCTTTCCATCCACTTTACAAATATAGCGCATTTCCATGAATTGGATTTGACTTCTGTGTTTCAAGTTGGGGGTCTACGTTCGGAAGAGTTCGAAAGAATAGGGAGAAATGTTGATTTATCTACAGCCATTTTGTTATCTTGGTCACCTATCTTTTATGCAGAAAAAAACCTGTGAAATGAACATGATAATCTCCCAGCTGTTCTGATTCTCCAATGTACTTTCTCATTGGTAGAACTGCATTCGCTGAGATGAGCGCCCAGATATTGGAAATTATCCATCTGCTCTCATTATGCCTAGTACTCTCATTATTCTCCAGTGTTTCTTCCCTATGCATTTAGTATTTATTTCAGTTATTTATTCTTGGAAGGAAATGAATCGTGGGAGATGTAGGTTTCTGTGTCCCAACAATAACTGCCAATTAAACGTTTATGAAAATTAGCAGATTTCATCTACAACTCTGGCGAATAACTAATCTCAAATTTTTATGATATGTGGGTCATGGTCCTAAGCACATTTGTGGTCTTGATAAAGAGATTCATCACTGCCAAAGTCATCGTCCCTCGATTGATGCCTTTCTCAGACAGAGCCTGCTCTATGTCTCCCTTTCTCTCTCGTTTGAAAGCCTTTAATAGGTCAGCGAAGCAACAGGAAATTACAAAAAATATTACAGGCAATAAAACCCTTAAAATGTTGAGTGAAAAAAAATATATATAAGTTCTCAATAACATTATTAATACAAATACGAATAAAGTATTTATTTTCATCATGAACTGAAGATATCGAGACATCTAGTAATAATGCTAGTGAGACTGGATAAATAGGAAACAATTAAATGGATTGGATAAATTTCTACCATGCAAAAATTATTGGAGCTTGGTTGGAATGTGTTATCACATCCGCTGTACAGCCCAGACCTCGCTTCTTCTGGTTACTGTTTATTTCATTCTTTGCTGAACTTTTTGAATGGATAACAATTTATCCATGACAATGATATTAAAAAATGCTTGGATCATTTTATTGGAGCTAAAAATCAAAATTTTTAGGAACGTGGAATCATGATGCTGTCCGAAAGATGGCAAAAAGTCATTGATAAAAATCGACAATATTTTACAGCTTAAATACATTTCAATATGAAATCTTGTTTATTTTTTTCCAAAAGTTCGTAATCACTTTATTGCCAAGCCTATATATTCAATTATAAACTAATATGTTATTAACCTGGCATGTTATTCTCACCTCTGGTTGATTTCTGTCTTGTTGTTTTATAAGATCTTTAAATTATATTCTAAAATTTATTTCAAATAATTATTCTTGGTTGTAATTAGATGTGTTGGTTTTTGGGTGAATATTATATATGAGGTGATGGTCTAAATTTATTTTTCTTATGATTAAAAAGTTTTTTTATTTTTGTAAATATTTTATTTTAGATAGTTTGAAATAATACTGGCTTGGAATGAAAAAAAATTAAGGTTCTGAAGTATTGCATGTAATGATGTAGAGAATAAAAATCTCTATAAGCCATGATCAATTAAAGTCATACCTAAAGGCACTTTCATTAATGTAGGGCAAGTAATTTTTGTTGTGGAAAAGTAAGTTAAATTAGGTTTCAGTGTCCTTAAAAACTTTTGAATACGAATAGAAATTAGGAAATAAACTTGGATTTTTTTTTTAAACTAAAGCATTCATTACTTTTCAGGATTTTATCCAAATTCAGCATTAATAGAACTGATAGAAAGCTAAATAACTGCTCTTCCAACTTATTTCAACGTTATCTCTCTATATGAGTGGCTTCATATCAAAGACGGACATATGTCATTTTAAGAGCGTGGTGAAAAAGTCAAATTTTGTTTTATAGATTCAACTAAAACTATTTCTCATGTTTTTATTTAAGAATGTTCAAGTCGAATCATGAAAATAAATCATTAGATCAGGTTTAATTTGAATCTACGTTAAAAAAATTAGGTTTTTCTCAACTTTATAAAAATGACTGATGTCTGTTTTTTTTTATATGAGTCCACTTGTATATTCTCATACAGTAATTTAATACATACATTTTGTTTTTTCTCATAATTTTTAAAAATATCTGCGAAAATTGCAGCTAAAGCAGAAGAAGAGATGAGGAAGTCGCCCTTGCCTACTGTGATAGAAACCCCCACCCAAGAACAGCCACCTACGTCACTCCTGGACCTCAGCATCGAGTATGTTGTTATTTATTAGAAATATGTAAACCTTAATTATTATATTTTATATTATTTATTAATAATCTAAGTATTGAGAATGCAACAGATAAAATCTACTCCATAGCCATTGTAGCAACTTTTGAAACTCTTTCTATTTTTTGGGTGAAATGGTCTTCCAATTACCAAAAGAGGTACATATTTGGTATTACTTGCTTTTTGAGCGTCACAAGGATAGTAACACAGCAGTTGCTACCAAAAACATTTGCCATGTTTATTCAAAGGCATTAAACGTTTGTAAATGTCAAGGGTGGTTTTCGAAGTTCAAATCTGGTAATTTTCCGACTCGTTTCGATTCAGTAATAACAACAATATTGGACAATGACATATTAAGGGGTGGAAGTGGAAGCAAATCCGTATCAGACAATCGAGGAATCATTAGTCTTAACCAACTTTGATGGACCATCCAAGAACATTTGTAATAGATTGGGAAACCATTATATGCAACTTATTGCTTCAAAGACTCAATATAGAAGCCTTTTTTGATTGCTTGATCACTGGAGATGAAAAATGGGTCCACTATGATAATCTAAAATACAAAATGGCAGTTACTCTCTCCAAATGAAACCTCCTTAAGTACGGCTAAGTCAAGTTTACACCCCCAATAGTGATTTCCGTTTAATAATATTAATTTTCACAAATTATTATTTTTAATTTTTTGTCACTCCATTATTTTCTATAACTATCTATATTTGATATTGTTTTTTTCTAAAATTCTCCACTCTCCAACGATATATTATACTATGCCTACTGACTAGTATTTCGGAAAATTCATTTTCGACATCAATACACATTTTCTCTTGTTTTTCCAGTTTTCAACTATCAAATTCTTTCAAAAATTATAATTAGCATTTTTTCGTAACTTTTAATAATGTGAGATGATTAATTATTTAAAATAAGCCATATTAAAAATACTTTAGAGGAAGCCGTATATGAACATTAGGCAATTAAGCCTTGTAAAGTGACATCAATAGGGATAAGACCTCAATGATATCAAAGATCACTTAATTATATAATCATTTGAGCCGTTTTTGAGAAAATTGTATAAATGTTTATAACCTTTGATATAAAGTGGTACTGCTGGTTAGGCGATTTCCAGGAAAAAGTTGCTGTCACATCTAAAGCATGTATCTATCTTAAATACGTAATATCAGTTTGTACGACTTTTCGTTTTTGAGCTAGACTGTTCACATACACAGACCATTTTGCAGGACTTGGTTATTTGGACTTAGTATACTTCAAAATGTGTATTTCTGTAGAAAACTCAGATTCAAAAATTTTCAGGATCGCAATACTTTTCCTTTATATTACATTACATATATAGGTAAGTGAAAGTAAAAAATTGTTTGATAATTAATTATTTCAAAATTATAGTTACTGGTGATCAATGAATATTTTCTAATCATTGAAATTATGGAAAAATTAGCGCATAGTTTTAGTGTAACAATATTAGTACGTAGTTTTAGTGTAAGAAGATTAGCATATAGTTTTAGTGCTACATGATTACCATATAGTTTTATTGTAATAAGATTAGCACAGTTTTGGTATTAAGGTACTATTTCGCTGGTACTGTCCTCAGCCGTGACCGCCATCCCTTACTGCCAACCGTTAATCCTTGTCTACTCATCTGTACCACTAAAGCAGTCCTCAACTGCTAACAGTCGTTACTGTGGGCAGTACCAACCAAATAGTACCTTCAGATGACTAGCTTATAATTGCCAAGATTGTAATTTTCTTTTCTCTCATTATTCCTATACTTTTCAGGGACCTGCCTGGTGAATTAAAAAACCAGCAACTTAATAGCTTAGAGCAGGCCACGTTTGTTTCTGTTGTGAGTATATAACCGTTATAAAAAATATATATTTATTTTTGGTAATTGTGCTATGTGCTTGTTTGTCTGTTTTAATGTTGCTAATAAATGCTTTAAGCATTGTGTCAATATTGTCAGTCAAGCAAATAGCTGTATAGAACCCGCGTAACACCCTTAATGTGTTCTGTATATTAGTGTGAATTCCTGGCAAATATTCAATAGCTCGCCCGCAAGAACATGGTAATAGAAAAAATTAGAAAAACCCGTGAGAGGAGAAAGTATTTTCCTCCTCACACATTCATTTGACCTAATAAACTGTAACTGATTTGTTTGTTTTTGTTTCACCATAAATATGAATTTTTTTTTCTAACAATTTGAATTAATAAATAAATGAGAATTCATAAAGTTTTAAAAATAATTCATACATGGTTGACTTAACTTAATGTATCTATCAAAGTTGGGATATCTGTTTCAACTTTGTTTTTCCTGAGGTCACTCCTCGGTCTGCCATATTCTTTCCGGCGATCTTGTTATATGTCGTCTATACCTTTTAGTTTGTACAGAATCGGATGCCTATTTTTATTTCAAAATCCTCGTTATATCCATTAAATATCTTTGAATTTACATTTCTTAGAGCTTTTAATTTTTCTTATGGATGCCTTTTATTAGGATTTCTGTATTTCTATTTCTATAATGAATTTGAATTTACTAAAGAAAAAAAAAATCATTAAAGTCAGTGCTGTAAAAAGAAATTAATATTTCAAATATAAACACTTAGTTTAGAGGTTTATATGAAGAATTCGGCCAAGCATAAATGATATTTGTGCATATTCTCATGAAAAGGGGCAGTTTCGATCAGGAGATGGTTATATGATATATAGCTCATAGTTATTTTTCCAAAAAAATATTCAGATTGCTCCTTTGCATATTAAGAAATAAAAAATTGTAGTTTATAAGTACTGACGGCTATAGGATGGATAAAGCTACTTCAACTCAGTGTAATATCGAGTAATATGCAGATTGAAATCTCTCGAGAGTCCACCGTACACCATACATCCATAGTTGAAGCGGGAGGAAACTATGAGTTGACAGGACTTATATGGAAGGAGATAACATAGACGATTGAACTGTTTTAGAATTAAAAGCTTTAGAGAAGTCTAGGAGAATAAGGATGGTTAGTTTCTGCTGATCTATGGCTGTATGAAGGCCTTGGGAAAGTTTAATTAGGGCAGACTGAGTAGAATAGCCAGGCCTGAGACCTGAAATGACTGGTAGGGATTTAAGAGATTATTGTGCTCTAAAAAATGCTGTTTGAAGGAGAGAAAATTTTCAGGAAGTCGAGATCGTTTAAACCGTCACCTTGCCTCCATCTCTTTCTCTCATACACTCTCTCAAAGCAGGAGTCAGCCAAGGAGCAGGAGGATGTTGGATGGTTTTTGTGATAAGAGGAGCATGGACGTCCATTCTCAGACGAGAATGGAGTGAAGATGAGTGGTAAAGGTTTCTACCATGGTGTCGATGGATTTTGAGGAGTAAATAGGATCCCACTGGATATCGTCAAGATCTTTTGACAGTATTCCGTGAGTGAGAGAATTTAGGTTTTGGAAGGATATTTTTTGGGCAGAAAAGGATGGGACAGGGATATTGTAGGAAATCTGGATAAGATCGTGGGAAGATAGAAATGGAACCGGGTGCTGAGATGTGGCAAAGAGTTTGTCTGTGAGGTATCTAGGACAAAAAGATCGAGCCAGGACTCCGAGAACTAAGTATGATGGGTTGGGTTGTAGAGTACTAAATAAAGGCTGAGAGAATAGAGGAGGCTTGTTAGGTAAGAATAATCGGAGGATGGCATCAGTAAATTGGTGTTAAAGTCTCCGGAGAGGATGATGTTTGAGTAGGAGGGCATTAAGTTGTACAGAGAAGTCTCAAAATTCTAGGAAGGTGATATATGACAGCAAACAGAATGGCAGATGAAGTTGTGAGGATTTTGGCAAAGAGGTATCCAATGTGCGGAGAATCGGTTTAGGAAGAACAATGAAAGATTTTTGATCTGGATTTTGGATTTGGCTGTCATGGACAAAGAGACCTACTCTACCACTCGTACGATCTACTCTGTCATGATGAAGGAGAGTATTGTTAGGTAGAAGGATCTGGGGAGATAGGATTATGGGTTTAAACCAGGTTTCGGATATGGCGATTAAATGGTATAAGTTATGGAGAAAAAAAGTCATAAAATTCACCAAAATGGGCTAAGAGTGACTGAGCGTTGATGTGGCAGGTTAAAAGGATATTAGTCTTGGAAGAAAGAGGGATGGCTTGGTAAATGGACAGGAGGAGCTAAGAATAGGAATATTTCTACAGTAAATAGAGCCAATATGAGTCCAGAGACTATAATTAATAATAATATATCTACTGAGAAGAACAATAAGTTTATAAAATTTTTCCAGATTGTGTGTAGTACCCAAATGGTTTGTAGTATTCAGATATATTCGTTATCATCAACAATCACAAGCAAAAATAATTTTTATTGCATTTGCAATTTTTATTCTTCACAGTGGACTTTTGGTGTTTGTATGTAGCATATTTTTCACTCCTGTCATTTTATTAATTTAGAATGTGGTATTTTTTAAGTATTCTAATTGTGGTGCATGGGTTCTTGCACTCTAGAAAAGGTGAAATTGCATCAAAAATTCTCTCCTGTTGTCTATTTCTTCTCTCACTCTTATCTTTTATGAAATGGCCAAAATTTATAGTGGTAAAGTTAAAAAAAAAAAAAGATTTTATATAGAAAAGTACATTTTAATTTATTGATCGGTTGTTGCATATAATATAGTCTCTTAATTATCTCAAATCCTGGCAAATAACTAAGCAGTCAACGTTTTGCCAATTCAGGTATCATCGGAATAGATATGTATCAGGAGTATTTGCATTACTTGTGATGAGTGTTGCATGTTAAACACTGTTATTACCTAACTGCAGTTTTTACAATGGAAAGCAACTCAAGATGTCTATGCCGTATCTGTTGATTTCAAAGCAGTCTATGACTCCGTGGACAGTAACTGTCTTTGGAAAATCATAACTGAACTGGGTTTCCCGGGAAGTTAATGAGATTTACGAAAACGTTTGCAAATAACTCTTAAGTGTCGAGATCTAATACAAGGAGAAGTACTCTTACTAGTGGGGGAAATAGCCCGGCAAGTGTGCCACATGGTCCTTTTTGTCAACCGCTGACGGCTACCTTGAGGTACTTATCAGAGTGGGAATATTTTCCCATCGTTTCCTTGGGCCTCCAATAAATGAAAATTAACTGACCCAGGTGGGAATCGAACCCAAAATCTTTACATTTCATCTACTATAAATTTATATTGATTTTTTTTTTTTTTTTTTTTTTTTTTGGGAGGGGGGTGATATACCATGCAAGTACTTATGTTTCTATTGTACTTTAATATAATCTTATATTTTTCTGTTTCGATGATCTCTGAATTGGCTAACAGTGATTAAGTTATTTATTATTGTTATTTGAAATACATAAGTTTTGGTTTTGCAAACTTCCAATGATTTCCTGACAGTTATTCTTATTGAGACGTTTTTATAACTTTATTCATTTAAAGGATGATTTATAGTTTGTATAAATGCAAATGTATATTCAACTATCTTAATCGAATCATTTCTTGATGACTCCATATGTGATCGAACTGCTGTGTAACAAAGGGCTGTTTTTACACTTGACATTTCTGGAGTCATTTTTTATAAAATACTTCTTAACTGCTGACATCCTGAATAGAGACATTAACATAACCCACCACTCCATTAGTTCACTTTCAATAAGTTTGTTTTCCTTCTTTGGTTGTTGAACCCGAGTTCTTTGCAGTATTTTAGTCGAGGTCTTTGATATATTTTAAAAAATATCAAGCACAGCGGCACCCATTTGGATCACTCCAACCTTCCTTTAAAATTTACTTATGAATAAATAGATAGACTGTGATGGATAGACGATTGACTGTAGTAAATAATTGAAACCCCAGCTGATTTCTCGTCTATTAAATAAAATAATTAAATGGAAAGAGTGTGGATAACAAGATATCAATGGTTAATGTCGCATACTAGTTAGTTCAATATTCATCATCTTTACATGAACAAATAATCTTTTCTAATTTCTTCTAAACTTTTCATTGCCCATATAATATTTTTATAACTGTATTTGTTTTTTATATATTAATAACACATGTGTTTTTATTATTTGTTATGGAATGTTCTAATTTAAATTAAAATTATTATTTTCATTTAAAAAAAAAAATTAACATAAGGCAAACTATTTTTTTTTAACCACAGTGCTTTAAAAAAACATAAAATTAATGTTTTATTCAGAGATATTTTCATAACAGTTTTAACATCTCTCTATTATATAAAAAAGTTTTTATTGGCCAGTCATATTTTATTTTCCATCCACAAAGCAGGACGGAGCGTAACAAAGAAACCACTCTTATTATTTCCAGAATTATTTCTCCCTTATTATGGTTTCAAGTTTACAAATTGGCAATAAGAATAATTAAAATTTTATAATAATATAAGTTGTCAATAAGGCACAATGTTATTAAAGTAATTAAAATTTTTTGTGAATTGGGGTTTTGTTCCGTTTATTTTATGTTGATGAAAACATAATACAATTTGAACTTCAGAATACATGTTATTTACAATTATACTATTTGAGCAACGAGTATTACAATTAAATAAACAATTGTATGATTTGTAAAATGGAGATTGGTCCACTGTTAAATAGATAGAGGTTACTCCCCTAGTATCAATAACAGTTATTTCATCGAAATTTAAAAAATGAAAAATTAAACTTATTAAAACTAAGAAGTCAAAGGGGGGATCTCTGCTACCTCCCCCCCTTCTCTCCCACTTCCCCCCAGTTAGCTACTGATTTGGTTGAAATGATAGTAGGTAAACAAAGTTATTATAATGTGATAAAGCTTCTGTTCCTTCTTGGACTGACCGAGACAAAAACCAGTTTGGTTCAAAAAGGCTGAGTGATCTAGAGCGGAAACTCGCAACATATTCAGTTATCTTTACGTTTTAAAAAAGGCTGGGGTGATCAGTTGAAATAGGTATACACCAATAAAATATGAGCTTTCAGTCATGTTTTAGCACATTTTTATAAAGAGATACTTTTATATATATTTATTTATATACTATATAAATTATATATATTTATTTATATAAATATATTTTAGTAATTATTCAAAAGTTGTACAACATTAGGCATTGAGCAGCAGTTTGATCATGTATGGGGATTGATTATATATTTATTATCATTTAATTTATTTATTGGTGGATGGTAGACTGTGTAGTTTAGTCCATTAATTGCTTTCATTATCAAGAGATCTCTCAGACCCGATGTATGTCTGACCATAGGGAGGTGATAAGCTGACTCTATCCCTGAGTCCGATTCCAATGAAATCCCCTTCTTCGCCGACTTCTCCAGTTCCGACAAGCCCTCCAGTCGGTCCAGTTTCTTCTTCCAACACTCCTGTCACAGTAACACACTTTTCCTGGGGAGACGCTGGTCAGATAGAACAGCGTACCCTCACCAATCCATTTCTTTCTTCCACTAATCCTTTCCTCAACAACCCTTTTGTCGGTGATGATGACAAACAAAAGATCGAGAAAGAGCAGGAAGAACTGGAGACAGTAAAGGAAGAGAAGGAAGTTTTGAAGCAGCAGCCTTTGGTAAAGGTAACTATATTTCTTGTACAGTGTCTATATGCTTTGCTATGCTTTTTCTGTATATATTGTATAGTAATTCCTTATTGTCCGTTTATGTTGTCCCAATCAGCTATTGTTACTATTGTCTAAAGTTTAATTCTTTCAGGAATCAACATGAATTTGTAAGTAATGAAATAGACTTTAATATAATTATTATTTTCAAATTAATGGAGCTTTTTTTACACAGATTACTTAGTTCCTCATTCATTGTTACATTAATAAAATTAACTCAACTTTGCTTTTTTTATAGATGGCATTACTTTTAAGTTTAGGCTTCTCTCTATAAAATGAATGGGGTTTATCATTATCACTATTGTACAATCAGGAACGAGCAAATTGTTCAATTGATTTCTGTAATTATTCTTAATAGCTTTTGAAAAAAATTATAATACTTGTTTTGTTTGGATAATTCCTGCTTATCCATGATGTGAGTTATCTGCAGCAACATTAATTTATAAAATATGTTTATAATATTTAGTTGCAGAAGTGTTGAAAAAAAAAATTACTATGACGTTTCACTGATTGACCAATTTGTTTTGCACAAAATTGTATCACAGATTAAAAGAAAAAGTTTTTTGATCAAAAATGAGTTATTGATAATTTCAAAAAAGATATTTATTTTTTTTATTATTCTGCCTATGATCACCTTTTTTTTTATCAATTCATTCATTCATGATGAATGGATAAATAAAAATAAGATATCAATTTTTTACTGTAAATAAGTTGTGAAACTATGTGATTTTTACTGATTCCACAACATTATTTATTTATTTCTGATCTTAATCATGCCACTTAATTCAGTGAATAACCGGTGGTTGCCTATGCTTACAATTTTCATCAGATTGATCACAGTTGTGAAGCATTTTATCTAATATTTAATAATTTTATAAGTTTTTAAAAATATTTTGAATGCCTTTATGTTGTCTTTGATTTCAATTCTTTATAAAATTTTATGTTGAACTTATTTATTTCTGTTTTTTTTTTAGGAACAGTTGAATTCTGCGAAGGTTTCGATAACATCGCTGAGCCAACTGTCTCCTTGGCTCGTGAACTGCGAGCCGACGTCTCCTGTGAAAACCACGCCCACTATCATTAAAACTGTCATAACAACTCAGCTTTAATATTTATTTACGATATTTATTTAGTTTACTTGTCAATCGTGCGCCATTCCATATTGTAGAAATTATTATTGTGTATTTCTAAACCATCGATTTAAAACTCAGAGAAATTTAGCTTATGTGATTTATACAGAGTTAAATGTATACTTTCTGGTGCAATTTCTATTTTCAGGGTGAAGCTATAACAGTATTTCAGTAATTTTACTATATAGATTAATTAATTAGTGATAAAAGAATTATAAAGTGCCTTTACTTTTTGTTTATGTTATTTAAACATTGTTGTATTTCATTCCTACTATAAAGGAAGTAAATATATTTTTTAGACATTCCACAAAATATTACTGTAACGAACCATGATGAATTTATGACAGATTTAAAACTGACAAATAATTAATTATACTTTTTATAAGTATTAAGTACAGTAAAACTCCACGATACATAAAATATAAATTTTATGGTGTAGATTACAATAATTTATATAACAGGACAATTATTGAAAAAATTAATTAATAGTCGATTTTTCTTTATTTAAAGCATAAGTTTTTTTTCTTCAGTATACTCTGTCTTATTAGCCTATAAGAGGCTAAAAAAAATTATTTTTTTTACTTAACATGAGCTCTCTGCATGCTATTTTCATTTTATTAGATCATTTATCCAATTGTCTTGTATATTTTATTTATAAAGTTTTTGTAATTTAAATATATTTCATTATTAATCTTTCTGAGTGTACTGAATTAAAAATTAAAATTTGAATGAACAATGTTACCTTGTTTCCTAAGAAATAACTTGTTCTCTTACTTAAATATGATCTGTTTAAATATAAGTTATTTTTCAATCAATGTCAAAATATATTTTCATGATTTCAATAATATCTTTTTGATGTTATATTAGGACAGCTATAAGCAAACAATTTAATATAGACACTCGGAGACATAGCCATAGGCTGAAGAGGAATTTAAATTCCAGAAGGAAAAATCCTTCCCTCTCTACATAACAGACTACATGTAAAAAATGCATCTTGAATTTGTTTTAAAAACATTCTGATTTGTTTTAGATTATTTCAGTCATGTGCACTAATTTATAAGTTATTTCAAAAAGTTATTACCAAGCACACTAAAAGGTTATTCATTAAGTTGTTTGCTTATACGCAATGTTGGCCTAACTTATAAACTAATTCTAACTTATTATTTTTAGGGGTTTTACTGTACTCATGACATTTGTAATAAACCTATATCCTTAGAGGAAAACATGACTGCCGGGTTTTTTGATACGATTTGTTTGTAATTTTCCTTTAAATAGTTAATAGTTTTTATACGTATATATATATATATATAAAATAATAGTTTGTCTTAATTAAGCATGAAATTTTCCAGTAGTTTCAATCCAAATATGACCTTGTCATATTCAGAAATTGATTAACTTTATTACATAATTAAAAAAAAAAATTATTTTATAAAAGTTTATTAATCTTTTATAAACCAATATTTGGCTTATTAAGGCCGCTAAATGAATAAAGCACATTAAATACACTGAGAGGTGAAAAAATATGACTGCCCTTAATTCATTTTTGTTTGATATCGACAAAGAATTAAAAACAGCGAATATCTTTTAGTAGATGGAACGTATTTTCTATTGATTTCTAAAGGAAAATCTATCATAATTATTCTTGATTCTTGAAAAAAAATTCTAGTAAATTGCATGCTTTTGCCTCTCAGTATAAATAGAATACCAAATTTTTTAATTGTTTCTAATTCCAAATTATGTTGAAAGACAAGAAAATAAACTTAGTTTAAAAAAAGTTATATTTAAACTTACTTGCCTACAATAAACATAAAGACTTAGTGAAATGTCATCTCTTGGGTATCATTCAAGACTGCATTATAATTAGGAAATAATTTCAAATATTTTTATATGAAGTAAAATTAACTTGCAAAAAACTCTCTGACCGATTTATATTGCATTGTTGTTTGTTAATAAAGTCTAATTAATTAAATCGCCTTTGTCTGTTATGTATGAAATATGTATAATTTTTTATGTCGACAATTATTAGCTTTCTATATTTTAGTAAGTGTTGCAAATAGCTGACATTAAAAATAAATCCCTTAATCAGTAGAAAAAAAATTAAGAAATAGTTTAATTATAGAACATGAAAAATCAATTCTTTATTGATTGTTATTGTTTCGTCTGCCATTTTCCTGTCAATTTGTGCCATAAACAACTTTTTGGCTTCTATTATAAACAAAATAAAATCTTACATGGCATATTATATTATGTACATCTTTTGCTATGCAATATTTTTTCATTTTTCTATTGTTAATATCCGTCCCTTTAATATAATATTGCACTGTTCTTATTTATAATTATATGTTATTGTTAGATTTTTTTTAATTATATCTAAAAAAATAAATATCTAGATTTAGTTTATTTATATTTGAGGTTTGAAAATTTATTTTATCTTATATTTCAGTTTTTGAAAAAGTTGTAGATTTCAAAATATATTGATATATTTTATCAAACTTTTTTTTTTTCTTTATCCTAAAAATATATTGTGAAGTCCACTCTTCGTACCTTGAATTTTATTACCATAAGTCTTGTGACAACTCACTTTCAGTCAGGGCTTCATTCTACAGCTTACGCCATGCCTACCTATCCTAAGCAGCTTGAATCTCATTCACACATTTCACAAAATATAGGAAACAAGAGCATATAAAAAGGATACTTCACTAGGCTAGTATTTATGGCCAATCCATCTGCTTTTTAAATAGAAATCGAAAGGCATTACAGTTAGCACTCGTGTCGCTTTTACACATTTGTTTACAGTGTTGAATTTACTGGTTACAGAAAATAATTTCTATTCAAAGTTGAGCTATAAGTGAAAGATGTGTTGCGCCCACCAGATTTTTTAATAGTATATTTCATTTGTAATGTATAAAACTTTTATGTAAGTTTATGTAGTATATATTTTGCAAGATTACAAAGTAATTTCGGCATGGGGATACCCCATCGCCCAGCCTTTGGCTGCAACCAGCCACCGTTCCTCCATGTTGGGGGGAACACTCACACTAACATGCACACAGTACTCAATAACAGCATCCTACAACACCCTTCATTATAGACAAAGGTCAATCATAGTTCACACCCCAGGATCATCTACTCTGGGTATCCGCCTCCAGATGGGGGAGTGCGTCAGGGCGCTCATAGGAGGCAGAGCCCCTCCACCTGACTCGAAGAGCTTCATGACAAGCGAAGAATGGATAGGCCAAATGTTAGGTGGGCTGACTCCACTGCGGACGCACACAATCTCCTCGGTGTTAGGAACTGGAGAGCTGCAGCAACAGATAGAGGCAACGGGTGGAGACTTTTGGAGGAGGTCTAGATCCGTTAACGGATTTTTGCGCCAACTCTGTATGTACAAACAGTACTTGAAACAAATAAAAATAACCACTTATATTATACTCATATATTTACTACATGAAGAATACAATTACCATACATAATTTAAATTTGTATTCAATTAATAATTATACATTGATTGATCTTAAAAAAAAATACTTGTTTGTCATTTACAATATTTCTGCTTATAATGAAATGTTTCTTAACCATCCAACATACACAATCCATCTGAGAAATCTAGAACACTAAAAAAGTTGATTTGTCCAATTATGTTGAATATTCTACTTAAAATTTTAATTTTAATAAACAGAAAAAAAGTCTTAAAAATAAAGAAAACTGTGTAGAACTAACTTTCTGGTAGTAATTGGAACTGGAAAATGCATAAAAATTCCAAAAACCTATTGAATAAAAATTCTATTTATTCATAATTACTTTATATTTGTTTGCTACCATTCCCATAAATATTATATGAAGTGTAAACTTAATGCAAATTATGTAAAAACAGGACTAAAGTTGGTTAAATATCTCAGATCATTGTGTGTGCTGGTGTTACATCTCCTCAGTTTGCTTATATAAAGGTTTTTTATCTACATTTTTTTTTGGAATACACTTTGGATTATGATTGTATTACTGTTACATAATAAGACTTATTTCATGTAAATAGTAAAAATTAAGGTAAATGTACCGGTCATAGACACTTTAAGAGACATTTTCAACATTAATTTGAACCTCAGCTTTAATTTTGGGTCTTTGCAAATGGGTTTAATTGACAGCAAATATAGTTGTTGATCACATTTTTTTTTGTACAGTCATTATTATTAATTATTCATGAAAAACTTAAAGAATTCTGACAGCGTATTTTGTACCAGTAATAGACATTCGGGTTTCGGGGGTAAATAGGATTTCATATAATTAAAAAAATTCTCCACAAAGTGAAACTAAGAAATATCAAACCACATAATAATGAATAAAAAATTCAAACTTATCTTCTAAAGAACAGTAATAAGAAATCCTTCTTGAAACAAACTTGAGCCTTATATTATTAAGAAATCAACTGACAATCTGCTATTGTGGCATGGTATCACTTGAGGTTCACGCGTTATCCTCCTAAATGTTCTAGTTCCAAATATCTTTATATTTGCACTCTTTTTGATATATAAAGTATATTATTCGTTTATGAGTTGAATATTGTCTATTACTGTTACCTTTACCTTAAATCATAAATAATAATAGTAAGGAGTTGGTTGACTGATTATAATTTGAGAAGGAGTTGATCGGGAGTGCAGTAAAATTAAATAATATTATATAGCCATATGTAAAATACTATTGTATTATATAGTATTTAATTTGACCACACCCCCAGTCAAATCTTTTTCAAATAAATAATAATAGATGAAATGACAATCTTCAGTTATAATTATATTTATTATTTACAACAAAATAATATTTAAATTAATTTTTTTTTAACCTAATTTAAAATAAGCTTAACTGAACTTGTACTAGGCTCAATGCTGTTGCATACAATAGATTTAAAAAAATCCTTTTGTATACAATAACAAAGTATTTATTTTTCAGAAGTATTTATTTACCAAGAATTTATAATGTTTGAATACTTATCTAATTTAACAATTTAATTATAATGAAACAATAACTCATATATCTGTATAATTTTTTTTTTTTAGGTATTTAGCTGGTTTCTAACATCTTCTTGAAGAAAATGCTTAGAAATGATAAACTGCCCAGCTGATTGGAGATGTCTTTGGAAAAAAATGGCATACATGCGAATGAGGCCACATATTCTTCTGCCATGGAAATTTTCTTCAGTTGAATCCACATCAGAAAACTATATATTTTCAAGACTCCAAATTGGGGGCATGCAGTCTTTACCTATGTATACATAATCAGAGGCCTGGAACCACCACTCTAAGAAACAAGCAACATACCTCTGACACAAGAATGAGACTGTACACTTTCCAATAGGGCTAAAGAACTTGAAAATAATGAAGGCAGAATCAAAAGACAAATTCATTTAATGAGAGCTATTAAAATTTTTCATGTTGTATGGTTGTAATTTTTCATTACATTTAATTATTGTATTCATTATTGTAATTATTCTCATCATTTAATTTTAGTAATCATTATAGAAACTATTGATGTTATTTATTTTTAGTATTTTAGAGATTGATATATAATTGATTGTTGAAATTGTAAATTGTAACTGAAAAATGGTCAGGATGTGCAGTAAAAAAAATATTGAATTTTCCTACGTTTCAACATGTGGGTCATCAGGTTAATGATTTGAAGTCCAGACAAGAACTCTCCTTCCTAATTTTTTGAATTCATTATTGTAATTATTCCTGTAATTTAATTACTGTAATCGTTAGATAATTATTAGTATTGCAATTATTCATGTTATTTAATAAGTATTACACCAAGTTGAATCAATATGGTGAGGTGATAAGTATGTATACTTAATAAAAAGTAATAAGTGAATGAGTAAAACAATCCTTTTTCAGGAAAACATTTAAAGGTGTTTACTACAAGAGTTGAAAAGAAAAAAGGTTATCTTCCCCAAAACTTAAAATTAGGAACTCTTATATTTACTTCTATTCTTAACAATACTTTTATTGAAAGATGTATTTTGTGTGTGTTATTCATATTTCCATTAGATTTTTCAAGGTTACGTAATAGCTACATGAATAATTGAACTTATTTTATCATAAATAAAAAATATATTTGTAATGAAGATCATTCAATAGAAATGGCAAATTTATTAATACTATGTAGATTTTTTTTCTTTTTTCTATTATACCAAATATTGAAACTTTTTTCCATATATTTTTGCTTTTATACTCACACTTGAGTGCTTCTGTACAATAATTGTAAGATGTAATGTATTTTGTTTCAAATAAACGTATTTAAAAAAAAATTACTTATTCTATTTTTCTTCTTTAAATCCTGAAAAATTCTCTTAGCCAAATTCCTCTATTCCTTTCCCTTTTTAATTTTACTCCACAATTTACTCAGTTAACAAGGATACAAACCTTAATTAGTTATTGAAATAAAATAAATTAAGAATACTGACTGAGTATGCTATATTTACTAAAATATCGTCGATGTTCTGTAAAAAGAATGAATTCATCAAATTTTAGTTTCATAACAATTTACCAATTTGTAAATAGAGAATTATAACTTGAGATTTTCTCATATAAGAATGGCAAAAACATCACTTTCCTTGAAAATGGTTTTTTTTTTTTTTTAAAGTAGTGTCACCCTTTTTACAGAACACCCTTTTTGTCAACATATAAGACAATGTGAAAACTATAATATAACTATAAATATATAATATAATATAAGAATAGGGAAAGAAAAGGATTAATTTAATAAATGGTGAAAATTACACCTAATTGGAAAATTTGTCATCATTTTTCTGATAATTGGACAAAATAAGAATAAATAGGAAGCATTTTGAATTTTTCGAACAATTCTAAAGTATTTTGACCGATTCGCAGCATGAATAAACAAGAAAAATATACGGTAGTATAAGAAATAGATATTATAAGGAAAGAAAAGTAATTATTTAATAAATGGTCAAAATAACACCTAATTAAAAAATTATTCATTATTTTTTCATATTTGGACAAAAAGAGGAGTATTTGGAACAATTCTAATATATTTTGATCAATTTGCAACATGAATATACAAGTTCTATTATATAAAATTTATTAAATGGCGAAAATTTGATGATTTAGGATGAAATAGGAAAAAACAGGAATTATTTTAAATTTTTTAAACGTTTTTTAAATATTCTGATGAATTTCGAGCATGAATAAACAAAAAAACTGGTCCCAGCAGCGACCACAGCAAGAATTCCGAGTTGAAAATCTTTATTTTGTATTAGGATAGCAGGAAATAAAAGGAGCTCACTTTTGGAGACGGTCCTGTTACCGAAAGTGCTGCTATCTGTTGGCAGAACGCAGGAACTACGAATTTTATTTGAATTTCTAGCAAGAAACTCGTCGATTTGTATTAGGATATTAGGAAGTCGAAGGAGCTCACTTTTCGAGTCGACCAGGAGCCCTAGTAGTGCTGCTATCTAGCGGCAGCTCCTAGAACTACAATTTCTTGTCGTTTGTTGGATGGTGCTGGCATCTTACGACGATTTTAACAACTACGTTCGAGTTTCTTATTCCTGACATTGGCTCCCTGGATAGTGCTGCTATCTTGCGGCAACTTTTTGAGCTAGTTGCCAATTTCTGTTCTCTGGATAGTGCTGACCTCTTTTAACAGTTTTTGAAACTAATATTTCATTTTATATGTGTATTGGATGGTGCTGCTCTCTTTTATCGGGTTTTAAAACTATAATTCAAACGGTTTCTTTGAATGGTTCTGTTACCTTCTTATAGTGATGAAAACTATTATTCAAAATTTGTTTAAACTCATAAACAATCGCTGAAATTGTTGTTTTCACCTTGTTATATTGTTTAAATGTTTATTAATTTACTTCTCAACGCGACAGGCCTCCGCAACCTTCCATAATATGTTAATAAGTTAAAATTGTGTGTAATAAATTCTATGAAATTTTTTCTTTTTGAAGTATATTGTTTTAACTGTTATATAATATAAGTTAGTGTATGATTCTTTCATGTCTTAAGCAATAAATTATTTTATAATGTTATTTCCATTAGAAATTACAGAATTTAGTTTAATTATTTATCACTGGTTTCTCAATAGTGCATATAATGAGTTTTGAATGAATCTAGACGTATCAACAGTGAATTGTGTTTATAAATACTGATATGAAATAGTTGTGTTATGTATTTTTAAATATATACTAAACCATATTAAACGAAAGTAAATAAATATATTTCTTTTAAGTGTATGGAGTGAGTGAAGTGGGAGAAGCTTTGATTACATCTAGTGACATCAGCAGTGAATTGTATTTATAAATATTATGAATATGTAGTAATTTTGTTATGTATTCATATATATAAATGGTAAAACATAACAGAAGAATACAAATAAATGTATTTCTGTGAAGAGTTGTCTTTAGTTTTCCCTATTCTTTCTTTATAAGCAAACACTGATACTCATTTCTGTACATATTGTTAACTACATATTTATATCTTCTGAATGTATATCTAATTCAAAGTAAGACTGTTTTTTCAAATGTTGAAGGTATGTTTCTATTATTTTCTATCTATCAAATTATTCATGTTCACAAGGAATAATTCATTTTTAGTTTTCTCAATGTTGTTCTTTTAAATTTGGACACTGGCTTTCATTTAAAATCTTTTGATAATGTGCTGATTGTTAGTACTATAGGACAATTTTATTAAAGTTGATTGACTGTGGTTTATATTATGGAACCAATTATCAGGATTCAATGATTATTTTATTGTGAAATAAAACTCAATGCAAACTTTTGCGTGTTCTTCAAAGATGAAATTAAATCAGATATACAAGAAATATATAAATGTATATAATATAGATAGAAATAAATAAAAACATAATCAATTCAACTAAATTAAGGATAAAGGGAGTAGTAAGGATATAAATAATAATAGAGATACATATTATTTTACTTTATTTATATCCTCATCGCTTAATTTATCGTTATTTACTTCCATTATTTAGTTTTTTGAATCAAAGAAAAGGAAAGTAGAAAAATAAACTGTCTGAAGTTAAAATTTTATTTTTTACTGTGGGAAATTTGGGTTGTAATATATAAAACTTTTATACACGTTTCTTTATTATATATTTTACAAAATTACAAACAGCATTTAAGAGAAATAAAAATAACCATTTATATTACACTACATTTTTCTTATTCACAATATATATATACTAAGTAAAGAATATGTAAGTACACAAGTACATAAGTTAAATTCGTATACATAAAAACAAAATAATGAATTTTAGATATGGAATGTATTGCACTGTTAAGTCAATGTTTAGTTTATAATACTTTTCAATTTACAAAGTAGGTCTTCTACAATAGCAAAACTGATGAATTAATTTATATTTCTTTAAGATAAAATAAAATTCATGTTTCTTCTTAATTATATATTGATCTTCTGAGTTTGATGAACAAAAAAAAAAGATACTTGCTCGTCGGTTACAATATTCCTGCTTATGATAAAAAGTAATTTAATCATCTAACATATACAATCCATCAGAGAGATTTTAAACATTAAGAAAATTGATTTGTTCAACGGTGATGAATATTCTACTTGAAAATTTCTAATAACTAAAAAATTAATTCTTAAAATATAAAGAAAACTGTGGATAACTAACTATGCTTTTAATTGGAACAATAAAATGGAAAATAGTAATTATAACAGTTTATTCAATATAAATTCTATTTATTCATAATTACTTATCTCCCATTCCATAAATATTAGATGAAGTGTCAAATTAATGTAAAAAAAAATTAAATAATAAAAAAAAAAAACAATATCACTATTCTTGCTTTGATGTCTCAAATTATTGTGTATGCTGGTATTACATCTAAAGATTTATTGTATAGATCACAATTTTTGCTTTAATACATATCAGATTGTGATTGTATCACTGTTACAAAATAAGACATTTCATATAAATAATAACAAATTATAAATAATAGTGGATGAATGGACAATCTTCAGTAATAATTATATTTGTTATTCACAACAAATAAATTAAGTGATTGCCCTTTCTATTTGTAAAAATCGTTTTATATTTTATTGAAAAATCCCTTTTGGTACACCTTTTATTTAATGTATTTATTATATAATATTTTAGGTTTTTTCTTCATCAAAACCTTATTACATATAACATTAACATCTCGGTTTATTTTATTAAGAACACAAATCAATACTATATTTAGGTAACAATCATTATTGTAAAATAAAATTTTATTAACACAAATCTTGGACTTAATGAAGTAAAAATTATTTCAGATAATAGTTATCCATAATGTGAGAGTTAAAACTAAAATTTTTCTTTGATTTCATGAAAAGAATTTTTTTTCATACTTTTATATAGAACTTTTCAATAAGGTAAATTTCATTAAAAATCATAGCACAATTAGAGAAGGTGTCGCGATGAGGTGACATGAAGAGCTGTAGCAACCAAGACAGTGCATGATTGCATATCTTGTCATGTCTTGATATTCACAGCTAACATCTGAAATTTAAAAATAAGTAAATAAAAATAAAATTAATCATTATAGCTCGTCCACAAGAATATTGCAGACCAAAGGTGAATGCACGTGACACTAAATCAAAACTGATATTCCTCTTTAAACACTTTGAAAGTTAAATTATAAAATTTATTTTTAAGGCAAAATAAAACAAATATTTTAATTATAGTTTAATGGGTAGTTTTCTGTTATATTCTTGTGAGCAAGCTATATTATCTCCATTTATTTATTTTATTATGCAATATGAAAAATATATATAAACAATTTAGTCCAGGTAAACTATTTATTTAAGTTCTATTTCTTTTTTAAATATCTTTAAATTTTCAAAAACGAGTACATGCTACTGAAAATGTTTATCATTTTGCTATTACTATTATTCAACACTATGGACCATTTGTTGAGTCATAGACTGCCAGTTTTCTCTTTTGCCTTGAGAAAGCATTTTGTTTTGGCCAACACTATGAGTGGTATATAAGTGCTGGTTGGATTATTGTTTTAGATACACTTTATTTTGAGGTCCTGTGTAATGCAATGCTTCATAGGTGTTTCGGAAAAAAAATAAGTGTGGTTTTCTGAGGACATCCTTCTCTGGATTTCTTCTTCTAATCTGGGATCCTGAGTATATGAAGGATTGTACATTTTAAAATCTATACTGCCGTATGCCTTTCATAATCTTCACTGGTAATTATTTGCAGACTCCTCCAATGCCCGAAAAGCTTCCCACACAGTGTTTAGGGTCCTTCTTGCAAGATTCAAATCTAAAATCTGGACTTCCCAGCTAAAAAGTGTTCCTTTTGCTTAAATACATGCATTTATAACGGTTTTGTGACACAGAAGTTAAATAATAGAGAGGCATTCTGCCATACATCTGTTCCTGTTGTGACAAAGCATAGATTGTCCTTCATTATCATTATTATAAGCTGAACCAATTTGGCTGGTAAATTAATTTTCATGATTGCCTTATATGCTCCTTCTCTGTTCAATGTCACATGTTATGAATACGTATCTGATATTCCTTTGTCTTTTCCAACAGAATACACAGTGTAAAACTATGATCTGTCATTGAACTCTGTCTTCAGAATCCAGATTGATATTTTTTCAGGTTTCATTCAGCAATGGAAGTAGTACATTAAAAAAAATGATTAACCATATTGATAATAGGAGGAGAAATATCTTTATAATTATTATACAAACTACATCTCCTTACTTATGTATGAAACAAACCGTTTCCTGCTGGTAGCTGTTCTCTCCAAATGTACATAAATAATTCTTGAATAAATTGTTTCAATTTATACTATTCACTTCTTCACTATGCTTTGCCTGAAATGCTCTGCATTCTTGAGGCCACATTGTTATTTTGTTTCTTAGTACCGTCACGGTTTTTTTCTTTGTTTGGAGACTCGGTCAAGATTGTGATTGATTAACTAACTAATTAATATTTAATAATAATAATTATAAGGCTTAGTGAACCCGAAGGTTCGATGCCGATACCACCAAAATTAATATTTATCTAATTAATATATTTAATACATTACCTGAACAAGGAGATGCCAATTGAGCCCGAGATGCATCATTTGTTTCAATAGATACAAATGTAAACTGGTTTACAGTCGATTGCAAATTGGGAACTATAAAATTCCTGGCTTACATAGAAATAATAGGCAGCTGATCCTATGATTCACTTTGAAACACTGCACATTGCTCCTCATTCATTCCTAGTTTAATTCTGCACACTATTACGGCCCTTGTGAGGTCTTCGTTTTTGATCTGAAATGTTTAATTATTTTTAAGAAATATGTTTACACGATTATTTTATAGATTATAATATAGTGTTCTAAAACCAAGCCTTGAGCTCGAGTAGTAAAGGCTCAAGTTCCACAGGCTTAGCTCTAGAGCTGTTGGACCTCGAACCACCAAGACTCGAGCTGAAGGTTCATATGGTTCAAGCCTTGATGAATTTATTTTTATAAAAAAAAATTAATTATTATACATTTCCGTAAACAAATATATATTTTTTCTGTTGGTTGTAACAATGTGAATATATTTCCAAAATAATATGTGAATATATTATTTTTCTGTTGATAGTAACAATGTGAATATATTTTTGAATAAATAGATAGGAAAAAAGAAGTAAGATTCCAGCCGCGACTCAAACCTTTTACTATCGAGATCTAAAGACTCGAGCCTTGGTCGAGTTAAGAAACCAGGAGCCTTTTCACTTCAAGCCTTAAGGGCCCCTTACACAGTAAATATTATTGAGTCAGTTATATTGATGTAATCAAACTGGTTGATATCAAATTTTATTGAAGCTCTTTCAATATTATTGAAACATTGTCAATATAATTGCACGTGTAAGGCTATATAGCAATATTAAATTAAAATATATATATACATATCTTGAGAAGCTCTGGACGATACCACATTCCGGTGCCCCTCTAGGCAATATGGTTAAGTAGGTGGGTGATATTTTGTTTTACTTTTTTTTTTTTAATGGGGTGTTTAACCCTCCCACTCAGATTTTTTTTAGAAAATGAAATGGCAATATATTTGGAGAGGGAGAGGAGGGGGGCTTTGGGGCTGAAGTCTCCATCCAAAATGGTAAAATGTAACCATGTTTTATGGAAAAATATAAAAAATTATTGAATATTTAAAGTTGACCGTTGCGTTATAAAGGAAGGAGATGGTCCGGGGTTGCCGTCAACCGCTGTCTGCCCGCAACCGCGGACCATCTCCTTCATTTATAAAAAAATTATCTCTTAAAGTATTATTGTTCGTATAATTAGATTTAATAGGACTTCAAGAATCACTTAAACACCATTTCATATAGGTAGTAAGTATCTCATTTTTTTTCCCAAAGTGATTATCGTATATATATATATGAAAAAAAAATCTTTCGGGCTGGAGCCCTTCTCGAACAGTGATGAAAAAAGAACAAATTAAATTAGATACAATGTAAATGAAATGAGTGGAAACAAACTGAATGAAAAGGGCCAGAAACAGATATTCTGGCTCAAAACTTTTGAAAAAATAATGAAAATTGTTTCATTTGAAAAGAAGATAAAATTATATTTTCTCTGTTTTATGTTATATGTTTTAATAAATGCTGTGTGCTTCATTTTTCATAGAGTTATATTGTTTCACTGGAATTTTCTATATTTTCAATTAAATAGTTATATATAGTTTTAGAGCTGAACTTCAATACTATTATTATTTATTTAATTTTGTATTTGTTATTATCTTTCCATATGTATATTTCACTTTCACTTAAATTAAGAATTATTGGTCATAGTTACTACTATAATATGGAAATATAACTCTGGTTACTTATGTTTTCAAAACAAATACTTTCATCAAACTTCTGGCATAGCAATGGGTAACTGCATTTCACCACACCTCTCGAACATTATCCTCAATAACATCGACTTAATATTATTCCAATTTCCTGACGATACTTTTTTCATTAAAAATATGTAGATGATCTCTTATTAATCTTCAGCCTCCATGCTATTCCAAACACCATTTCTACATTCAACTCATACCACCCTCGATTATGTTTCACCATTGAAATAGAATCCAACAATCCCTACCTTTTATTGATTTCCTCATTATAGAAATGATAGCTTATCTACAAAATCCACTTACTCCAATTCTTCTTCTGGTCTTTTAAATTATTTTTCCCCACCACACTTACCATCAAAAAATTAGTGTAGCTAAAAACCTGATTCACTGCTGTTGAACACTATGTGACTCAAAATACAAAGACAACTTAATTAGACTATACAAGATATTGAAATCAAATGACTTTCCTGACTACATAATAAACAGCTTGATTAGAAATAAATCAAAACCTCACCCTCATCAGACTCCCACTAACTGCTATCAATCATCCTTCCTTGGATCATCATTCCTTGATTCGTCAATACAGATCATATATCCCGGTTCTGTCTCAAAAAATCAAAAATTCCTTAACTTCCTAATTTCCATACCTACCTATAGTGTTTAAAAATAACAGTTATACACCAGACTTATAGATCCTGATCCACTCCTATAAAAATAAAATATTGTATACCGTATTGCATGTTCTAGCCCAGACTGCAATTACTCCTATATAGGAGAAACCAAAAATAATCTCAACAAACAAATTTACCAACATACATATAGCATCTCCACATGAACCCATTCCCTTTGAACCTAGCTGAGCATGAACATCCCTAGACCACACATTCGATTTTGAAAACCCAACCATTTAACCCACAGTTCTAACCAACAAAACAACTACTTTCTGAATCTATATTTATTAGCTTAGAAAAAAATTATCCAGTGAACCATAAAGTTGATAAAGAAAAGATCTGTATCACATATTCTTCTAACATTTTCTCCCTCCTCAAACAATAGCCCAAATTTTCATTTTTTCCTCCCTTTCATATATATATATATATATATATATATATATATATATATATATATATATATATATATATATATATATATAGAGAGAGAGAGAGAGAGAGAGAGAGAGAGAGAGAGAGAAAGAGAGAGAGAATTCTTCTCCCTTAACTACTATTCAGGTGCCAGAAACACTTTCAGTACTGCAAACATGGTGAGAAATATTAAATATCATATTTTATAAGTGGATTATGTGTATTATTTTATAATTTGTATAACTGTTTCAAGCCCTTCCTGATGGCAAAAGTGTCAAGTCACCCAAATAATATTACATAATTTAATAATTATGTATTTAATACACAATATTAAATAATTTAATTAACTGTGATTATTTATCAGAAATAAGAAATTGTCTTTACAATATAGTCTTTGTTATTGACAGTCGTTTTGCTGCTTACGACAAACAATAACACCAGGCACTAGCGGATCCAGAATTTAATTTTTGGGGAGCTTCAGACCGAAAGCTTTTTTTTCATATATATAACAATAATTAATTGGAAAAAAAAGGAAAGAAATTAACTATATGAAATAGTGTTTAAGTGATTCTTGAAGTCCTATTAAATGTTTTTTGCATTGATAAGCATTTTTTATTTTTCCTCCTTTATTCAATTATCAAATTCTTTCAAAAGTTATATTTAGCCTTTTTTCAAAACTCCTAACAATGAGAGATAGTTAATTATTTAAAATAAACCAAATTAAAGGTACTTTAGAGAAGGACATGTTGAACATTGGGCATTTAAGCCCTGTAAAGTGATATCAACTGGGATAAGATCTGGCTGATATTAAATACCTTTTAATAATACATGGTATACTGAGTTTAATCAAAGTCGTTTGAACGTTTTTGAAGAAATCGTAAACAGGTTTTTGTTTTTGAGCTAGGCTCTTCACATAAATACACGCACACAGACCATTTTGTGGGACTTGGTTATTTCGACTCAGGAGATCTCAAAACATTTATTTCAGTTGAAAACTCAAATTCGAAATTTGTCGTGAAATTTGATTCAGATTAGTTTGTCTAAGTTGATCTGATTGTCAGTAACCCATACCTGAGATAAATAAATATATTAATACTCTTATAATGTTTTTTATTATTTAAGAACCTCTTATTTATTTAGGAATTATCCCCATGGTAAGAAGTGAGCTTCCGAGGTTATATTATTATTATTTGTAAAATATAAGAGGGATGTTACAACATATATGTGAAAGGTAAGTAAAAGTACAAAACCTGCTGATTGCTTCAATTATTTTCATAAAAAGGTAAATCTTAGGACTAGAAATATTAAATTTGTCTCTTATAAATACGAATCAGTTCCTGTAACGGAGGTCTGGCAGAAAAACACGGTTTCGTAAATACTTTACATGAAAAATATTTAAAAAATAATAATTATTTTTTTTATTTAAAAATAAAAAGGGTATTTAGGAAATTATATTTATTATGATATATCCCGGATCATGGAAAAATAAAAAATAAAAACTTTGCAACAGTAAATTACATTAAATTCTGTTGAAAACATCTATTTTTAGGTGACATTATGAAAAATTATAATATTTCTGTACACAACTTGAAATGAATCTCAAGAATTTGCATAATTTATTTATTTAATGAAATTTACAACTGTATAAAATGCACACATTAGAAATCATGATATGAACAGACTTGAAGAGATACTGCCCAGTGGTAGCACTCTCTATTTAATTCTAGGTGAGAAGATCACTAGGCCATCTTCTTTTCAGATGCCTAGGGGGATTATCAGGGATCAAGGAAGAGGCAAGGCTGGAAAAAAGTGGATTCCGATGGGACTGGAGTTTATCATGAAAGCATAGGTATCTGGCTCGGGCTAAATCAGCGGCATATGGAACATTAAGGTCTTTATGAATGGTTTTATTTGTGACAAAATATGGAGCATTAAGGTTTTCGGTTTGTAAGGATTGGATACGATAGGAATTCGATTGTTTGGTAGAGCCCCAAAGCTCAACTCCGTATGTCCATATAGGTCTTATTATGGTTAAGTAGATGAGTCTTCTGTAATTAATTGAAAGTTTAGAGCGTTTATCTAGTAGTTTATCTTTGGAAAATTGTAGACGCACCCTTTTACGTTCCAAACCTCACATTACACACTGACCTTAACATTCCTTTCATCACGGCAACTGCCACTGACCGCTTTAATAATTTTCATGACAGTCTGACTCTAAATTTCAATCCACTTATTCAAGCTCTTTCCACTGCTATAAATCCATATAATCCGCCCAGAAGACTGCTGAG